ACTCATAGCCTTGCGAGGGAGAAAGTAGGAGAAAGTAGGAGAAAGTAGGAGAAAGGAGGAGGGGGCTCCTCTGTAGCTGAATGGGGGAGTGGGAGGAGGGGGAGTTTCAAGCTCGAGAGGTGGAGGTAAGGGGGCAAGCAGAGATGGAGAAGCGGGTCGAGAACCCCCAGGTCAGGCAAAGGGAATGGAATTGAGAATCAAAAGTTAGAACATAGCAGGAATCGGCCAAGATCTTGGAAACAAATGAACAACCAGCAAATCTATGATGAATCAGCAAACATTCAAGAACTCGACTGACCCTGTGCGCTTTGCAGCTCGATCGGTTCAGCATGTGGATTCTCTGTTAACTTTTTCAACAAGCCAAGCATAGGACGAGGTTTGTCTCTTCCTTCTCTTCCTTCCTCACTCTCTGCAGACGTTCGAGCAGGAGTCGTCGCTTTGAATATGATTGACTGTCATGGTACCGCCGATATGATTTGGTGGCTGGAAGTTGAAGAGGAATGCAGGAGGAGCTCACCTGTCAGTAGAACAGAAGAAAGCTTTGCGAGAGACTGCTGAACTCGTCGCTCGCTCCGGTGAGTCTGACAAGAAGTGATGGAGGATTGAAGGGACGGCAGGGAAGGGCATTACGGCATGCGATGAGGGGCCCGGAACGATTGGAGACAGATTTGAGAAAGTGGGTATTGTCAACACAGAAGAGAATCGAAGGTATGCGACATCTCTATGAACCTGAAGGCGAGACAGAGCGAGAGGGAGGGAGGGGAGACGAGAGGAAGTGGGGAGGAGGAGATTCACAGAGTGACGAAGACCTTGTCAGACTTTATCGCCAGATGCTCTTCACCAATCCCGTGGGCTCGGACTATCTCAGTGCTGGTTTATTTGTTTTCCGCTTAACGTCTTGCTCCTCTCATTCGTCTTTCAGCTATCTTGGACCCCGAGACCATCTTTCAGCGCAGCGACGCCGGCGAACCTTTCCCGTCGCTGCTCATGTCCCAGGGGATCGTGCCGGGGGTGAAGCCTCACCTCAAGGTCGCGACTCTTCCTGGCGCTGGCGGTGCGACGGTCATGCAAGGCCTCGACTCCCTCGGCACCCGCTGCCGCTCCTACTACGAGGCGGGCGCGAGATTCGCCAAGTGGAGAAGCCCGCTGGTGATCAAGGTAGAGGAGATCTGAAGGAGGAGGATGGAGACGCAGCAGGTTGACGAGACGTCAGGATGGCGACATTTCTGACCTCGCGGTTCGCACGAACATGGAGGACCTTGCTCGCTATGCTCTTATCTGCCAGGCGAGCTGCCTTGCCTTCTCTTCTTTTCTCACTTGCCCGCAGAGTGAAGGTCTCATGCCCATCGTGGAACCAGACATCAGCCTGCAGGTCTTGTCCTGTTTCAAGAGCGAAGGAGGCGGAGGGGCTGATCAAGAGAGCAAACAGGGCGACTACGACCTTGAGACAGCCATCCGAGTCAACGTCAAAGTCCAGTCTCACCTCTACAAGGTTCACCTCCCACTTCCCCCCTCGTCTCTCCTCCTCACCCACTGCAGGCGATGTTGGACCATGGGGTGTACATGGAGGGCACAACGCTGAAGCCAAACATGGTGACACCAGAGGGAAGCACGAGGCTGATGGCTGATGCTCCTCAGGTCAACCCGGGCAAGAGCTGCCAGCGCAAGTACACAGCTGAGGAACTCGGAGAGGCGACGATTACCGTCCTCCGCCGCTGCATGCCATGTGCCATGCCAGGAGTGAACTTCCTCAGCGGCGGACAATCTTTGGAGGATGCAGCTGCCAGGTCTGAGTCTTTGGCCCCTTCCTCTTTGCCTTCCTTCGCTCCTGATGCCGGCTGAACTTGAACAGGCTGAACGCCATCAACCGAGCCAAGGGCAACAGCCCATGGAATCTCAGCTTCTCCTGGAGTCAGGTTCTGCCTCTCTTCCCTCAGCTCGTTCGCCTTCCTCCTCCTCTACAGCCCTTCCCTGCATCTCGTCCGCTCATCCTCCGATCAGGCCCTCCAGCTGCCCCTGTTGGAGCTCTGCAAGAAAAATCCTCCTGGTTTGGCTCCATCCCATCAGCTTCTGCTGATTCTCCTTGCTCAGGTTCGCCTCTCCCGCTGAAAGAAATGTCCGAGTTGCTCTCCAAGGAGCTCGCCATGGCGGGGGCTGCCGCCAGGTCTGCTTGTAGTCCTCTCCCCCTCTCTTCCTCGATCCCTCCTACCAGAACCTTCCGACCTTCTCGTTTCATTCTTCTTTCCTTCTCTGTTTGTTCTACTCGCTCTCCTCACCTCCGCTCATCTCAGAGGCGAGTACCATCCTGCTCCTGGTCAAGGCGACCATATTCCCCCCGCCAAGGCTGCTGTCGTTGCTTGAAGTCTTTAGGAGGAGAGAGCAAGCGAGAATCACATGTCAGTCAGCAAATTGAGATTGTCCATCAGCTTGAAGAGCTTCACGCACATCCGCACAGTCTCTGCCACAGGCTACTCGCGTCAAACTTGAGAGCGACACGAGAAGGAGCGACGGAGCAAGAAAGCAGATGGAGGGAGGAAAGGGGGGAAAAGGGAGCTGAGGGAGCAAAGGAGAGTGGAGACGAAGGCGAAGGGGAGGAGAAAGGGAAGGAGGGGTTACCTTGAGGAAATCTCTTGGTCTTGTACTCCTGCAACTCTGAACCACAAGGGTCGCTTGAGCGTATGGCAGCCGGAAAATGTGTAGCCTTGTCGATCCTGCTGAGCAAGTGAGGGATATGGAGGAGTCAGAAGGAGCTCGGATCACAACACCTCGTCCACTTATCACGGCGCTCCTGAAGACATCATTGTATGCGCCCATAGCATCCTGCTGTTTGTCAACCAACGAGGATGCGGCAAGAAGCAGCCGTGTGTGTGGGGAGAAGAGGTTCAAATATAGGAGGAGGAGGAGGAGGAGGAGGAGGAGGAGGAGGAGGAGGAGGAGGAGGAGGAGGAGGGGATTGTGTGGACCTCTGAGAGGTTGGAGAGCGCCTCCAGGTTCGCACCCAGCCCCAGCCCATCAACGCCATCAGCGGTGCAGTGGAGGATGCGCGAGTCGTCGGAGAGGAGGAGCGACATCTTGATCCCGTTGACCCGCATCAGCCCCTCCAGCACAGGAGCGACCAGCCCCTGCAGCACCACCGGGATGGTGGCGTGAAAGGGCTCGAAGTCATTCAGGTTGATGTGTGGCGTTCCTCCTCCCACCTGCTTCTGCCTCAGCCTCTTCCTCCTCACCCTGCTCACCTGCCTTGGCTAGGCTCGCGCCGAACTGTCGCCGGAAGGAGCTGAGAAGTTCCACGGCGATCAGCCGTCCAAGCTCGGGCCCGTCCTCCACGTCATGGAACAGCGCGCAGATGAGCGATCCTCCTCCGCTCCTCCTTGGCGTCTGCTTGGGAGTTGCTGATGGAGTCTCGTGCCGCTCAACAGGATTATGAAACTCAGACTTGTGGCGGGAAAGGTGAGGAGGAGCCGGGGAAGCGCTGCCGCTGCTGGCTGTCGACGGTCTTTCAAGCATGAGCTTGGCGTCTTCAGGACCTTTGGAGGAGCAGATGGAGACGGCGATGGTGCTGAACTCTAGGTAGCTGACGGGAGCCCCGACGTTGTTGGTGGAGAACTCAAGGATGGCAGTGAGGAGGGAACCGACGAGGCGGGGCTGAGAGACAGTGTTGAAGAACTCCTTGGAGAAGAGAACGAGCCCTCCATCAGAAATGATGAGAACGTTCCTTAGCATCGATCTTCTTCCTCCTCCCTCTTCTCCACCCTCTTCTCCACCCTCTTCTCCACCCTCTTCTCCCCCTTCCCTTCCTCCTAATTATTTCCTTCCCTTCGCCATCGCTGCCGGCGTCCAGTAGCGGCCAGTACGGCGAACTCGGAGCGCGGGCCCGGCAAAGGCTGCGAGCAGAACTGAAGGGACTGGAAGCCTCTGCGTTTGCTGTCTAAATTCTCAACTAACAAGTAAAGCTGAGGCGAGCTTGCAGAATATAGGTGTCAGCCCCTTCAAGCTTATCTTGTAATTTTGTCAGACTTGTGACGTGCGGCCCCCATCGCCTAATGGAGGAGGGAGGTCGAGGAGGGAGGGAGGACGAGGAAGGACGGGAGGACGGGGAGGGAGGGAGGACGAGGAGGGAGGGAGGACGAGGAGGGACGGGAGTGGGGGAAGAAATTGAGCAAGCGGATGGAAAGAGTGGAAGATAAGCAAGGGACTGTGAGAAAAATGATAACATCGCTTAAGCAAAGTTTAAGGAGAAGAATTTGAGGAGAAGTCACAATGAAGTGAGCAAGGGTTGTTGAAACATGCGATACCGGATGAGGGAAGAAGGATAGTGGAATGCTGATGGGATGTATCGTCAGGTCTTTCGCGATGTTCGTGCGAAGATCCTTGTTGCTCACCGTCTCCTGTGCTGTTCTCGCTGCCACCAATGCCTTCGTGGCGGTTCAGCCCAGCGCGCGTCTGCTCAAGTCTGGGGCACGGCCCGTCCGTCGACAACAGTCTTTGTCGGGCTTGAAGATGACGGCAGTGGAGCGGAACGGTTGTGAGTGTTGGCTAGAGGTACTCGCTGCTGACATGCCGCGCAGTGATGAAGGAGTCGATCTACGGCCTGAAGCAGAGGCCCAACGGAGACATCTGGGTCCCGCAGAGGGCCAGGCCTCGCAGGAACCGCAAGAACGAGGGGCTGAGATCGATGGTGCGGGAAAATCGCGTGGAGCCAGCCAACTTCATCTACCCGCTGTTCGTACACACCAAGGACAGCAACGAGAAGATCGACTCCATGCCTGGCTGTGAGAGACACACGGAGGAGAGCTGCCTGCGCGAGGTTGGGGAGGCCATCGCTGAGGGCGTCAGCAATGTTATCCTGTTCCCAAAGATCCCCGAGGGACTCAAGTCGAACAGCGCGGACGAGTGCTACAACCCTGAGGGCTTCATCCCCTCCCTCATCTCCAAGATCAAGGGCAAGTACGGCGGCAGCGTCAACGTCTGGACGGATGTTGCCTTGGACCCCTACTCCGACCAGGGGCACGATGGGATGGTCAGCACGGACAAGCGAGGAGATGGAGGCAAGGGCAGGATCCTCAACGACGAGACGGTCGAGCAGCTTTGCCGTCAGGCTCTGGCGCAGGCTCGCGCGGGTGCTGACGTGGTCGCGCCTTCGGACATGATGGACGGGAGGATCGGCGCCATCCGAGACGCCCTCGACTCCGAGGGCTTCACCGACGTCTCCATCGTCGCCTACACGGCCAAGTACGCCTCAGCCTTCTACGGCCCCTTCCGTGATGCTCTCGACTCAGCCCCTCGCGAGGTATCAGACACGCTTGACGCCTCCAGCTGATGTGTCAGCAGAGCTCCAACGCCCCTCCCAACAAGAAGACCTACCAGATGGACCCAGCCAACTCCCGCGAGGTCTCCAGCTGAAACTGCAACCCTGAGGACTGACTCGCTTTAGGCTCTTGTGGAAGCTGCGCTCGATTCTGCGGAAGGAGCCGACATGCTCATGGTATTCCTCGTCTCGTCTCTCCTTCACTCTCTTCCCCCCCTGCTTCCTTGCAGTCTCACCGCTGCTGCAGGTCAAGCCTGGCATGCCTTACCTGGATATCATCAAGCTGCTCAAGGACAACACCAACTTGCCCATCTCTGCCTACCACGTGTCCGGTGATCCCACCCTCACCCTTGTGTCTCGTGACAGGCAGAGCAGGCGAGTACGCGATGCTCAAGGCGGCGGCTGAACGAGGATGGGTGAACGAGAGGGACGTGGCGCTGGAGACGCTCCTTTGCTTCAAGCGAGCTGGCGCCGACGCGATCTTGACCTACTACGCCAAGCAGGTGAGGGAAGGTTTACAGGTTGTCGAGCAGTGACTGGGAGGAACAGGCGGCGAGGTGGCTCAACGAGTGAAGTTGATGGATAAAGAAAAGAAAAAAACCAACATGTGTGAAGATGATGGTGGTTAAAGTAGGCTAGACAGCGAGGCGATGATGATGAGGATAATGCCACGTGTGAACGAGGAGGTGATAGAGGCAAGGCGAGGAGGATGGGGTAGGGGACGAAATAGCAGGCTGTAGCGGATTCAACGAGGAGGGACAGCGTCAGCCTTGTCGTCGACTTGCTCCTCCTGCAGGCAATCAGAGTCACGTCAGGGTTGCTCTGGTCTTTCCTTGCTGTAGAGCAGGAGGTACGGAGTCTCCAGCCTCCTCCCGCGCCCTTGACAGCTCTTGGCGCCGTCAGCGTGAGCGAAACGACAAGTAGGCGCACCTCGAGGGAAGAGATTTCGACGTGCTCGTCATCGAACTTGCACCACATCTCTGCACTCCTCCTCACTCTCCTCTCGCTGCTCTTCCTCTATCACTCACCTGGGTCGTGAGGCTGCGGTCTAGCTCGGGCGTAGGCGACGTAGTGGCCGTGATGGATGGACCTGCTGGACGTGACGGAGGAAAAGAAAGCGAGAGCCGCTCACGTGCCCACATGCGCGATGACAGCGATGAGCCGATACGAGACCCACCCACCCCTCCCCCTCCCCCTTCCCTCCGTCGGCAAAGAAAGTTTCCTGTAGCAGCAGTCAAGGAGAGGAGAGGGAGAGGAGATGAGATGAGAGGAGATGAGATGAGATGAGATGAGAGGAGAAGAGAGGAAGGGGGTGGAGATGAAAGGAGAGGAGATGAAAGGAGAGGAGATGAAAGGAGAGGAGATGAAAGGAGATGAGATGAAAGGAAGGGGGTGGAGATGAAAGGAGAGGAGAGGAAGGGGGTGGAGATGAAAGGAGAGGAGATGAAAGGAGAGGAGATGAAAGGAGAGGAGATGAGATGAAAGGAGAGGAGAAAAAGGTTTCAGAGACTCTGGCAGCTCGACGTGTCTGCAGTCTTTGTCTCCCGTATGAGAAAGAAACCGTAGCAGAGTGACCTGCAGGTAACGAGGAGCCGCGTTGATCTGTCGCCTGTCACCCCCTCCTCCTCCTCCTCCTCCTCCTCCTCCTCCTCCTCCTCCTCCTCTGCTTCACCTCGCTGTGCTTGCGAGCATCGCTCAATCGCCCGCAGCTCTCGCAGTGGTACTGGTCGCTTCCCGACATCCGCTGACAAAGATCATGAGAACCATAAAGCAAGTGAGGAGCGAGGAGGGGGGGGAAAAGAGAGGTAATACCTCCACGCCCAGAGAGCGGGCGATAAGATGAGGGAGGGAGATGGCTGGAGGGAAGGGAAGCGAGTCAGAAGGTGGAAGCTATCGGCTCCTCTCACTCTCTTCTGGAGAGCCAGAGGGCGAAGGAGGAGGAGGAGGAGGAGAGGGAGCCGTTGCACTATCCTCTCTCTCTATGACCCCAACGATCGGAACAGCAAGGTCCTGGCAGACTTTCAACTCCCTCCTCCTCCATTCACCATCCCTGCCCCCCGCCCTCCCTCCCTCCTCCTTTCCTCCTCCTATGGCACTTTCACCCTTTACCCCTTCCTCCTTGTCCCTCGTCCCCTTTCTCTCACCCAAAACGTCTCCAGATGACGCTTGCTCGTGTCGCAGGTCTCGCATTGGATGAAGCTCGCGACTACCCCCTTCGCTCGATGGTCACATATCTCCTCCTCCTCCTCCTCCTGCTGCTCCTGCTGCTCCTGCTCCTCCTTTACCTCAAACAAGCTGGCAGGATTTGCATCCTCTTCTCTCCCCTCCTCCCTTCTGATCGCCTTCCGCTGCTCGTCAAAGTTTTCATGCTCTCTCAACTCTTTGAAACAAGTCTCAACGCAGGTGAGGAGATGCCGACCAAACTCACTGAACCAACGAGAAGATGAGAAGAGAAGAGAAGAGAAGAGAAGAGAAGAGAAGAGAAGAGAAGAGAAGAGAAGAGAAGAGAAGAAGGGAAGGGAAGGGAAGGGAAGGGAAGGGAAGGGAAGAAGAGAAGGGAAGGGAAGGGAAGAGGAGAGGAGAGGAGAGGAGAGGAGAGAAGAGGAGGGGAGAGAAGCGAAGCGAAGAAAAGTGAGGAGAAGAGAAGAGAGGAGGGAAGAGAGGAGGAGGGGAGAGAGGAGGAGGGGAGAATTGTGGTGGAGAGAAGAGAGTAAACTGGAATGGAGGAGCCGAGGGAAATGAAATTGGCGGGAAGTGAGCAGAAGGGAATGAGGAGGGAGAGAGAGAGAAGGAAAAGAAGGTGAAAGAGGAGAAGAGCGTTACCACGAGTCATGTTGTTCACCGCGAGTAAATCGACCCTCAAGGGTTCGCAGAAGCGTCTCGGGGTTCACGACTGTCAACGATCTGCTCAGTCATCCGCCGCCTCCCTCCTCCTCATCTCGCCCCTTCGCTTCCTCTTCTTCTCCCTCCCTCCTCCTCATCTTCGGTCGAGAACTCACATGCGGCTTTGCTGCTCGCCAGCTCTTGGAAGACTTGGCGCACGTTGCGCGTCACTGCCGCCGCGTGCTTGTCTGCCTCTCCTCCCAGCTGTTGACCGACACGAGCAGCTCGGGACGAGAGGAGGTGCGAGCGAAAGTCAAGGGCGTGAAAGAGAACCTGAGACAAGTCATGAAACATCCTGTGACGTGATATGATGTGATATGCTATGCTATCACATAAAATTTACAAAGTTTCACCTGCAGGAATGCAGACATGTAGCAGCTGTCCACCAGTGTGTCATTGCTCCTCCTTTCCTCCTCCTCTCCTCCTTCCTCTCCCTCCCTCCCTCTCCCTTTCCTTCCTCACTCAAATTTCCCGCAGCTTTCTCGTTCTCTTCCTTCACCTGTTCCCAATATTGGCGATCCCGCGCAGTGTGCCACAGGCTGCTGGTACTCCTCGCGTTCCTCCTCCGCTTGTGCTTTCGCATTCTTCTTCTCTCCCGTAGACAAGAGCCGTCCTGAGAGCAGCAACAAGAACAAGCGAGGAGGAGGCGAGGGAGGCGGACGAGAGGAAGACACAGGGCACGACAGGTCAGAATTGAGAGGCCAAGGAGGAGAGTGTCAGGACTACAAAAGGGGAGGAGGAGAGAGGAGGGGGGGAGCGACGAGAGGGGAGGAGGAGGGAATGTGGAGAACCTCTGCAGGACAGCAGCAACATCCTCGTCAGTGACGGTGACGCCATGGCGGTCGAGGAAGGATCTTGACGGAGCATGAGACCCTCGAGTTTCAGTCGCATCGTCACCTGAGCTCCTTTTCCCTGCTGTGGACACGCGACATGCCCTCCACCACAACTGCGCAGCCTCTTACTCTGGTCCTGCTGCCTCTTCCTCCTTTCTCATCTTTTTCTCTCCATGTCCTGAACTCACCCAGCAGCTGCTGTAAACCAGGCGAAAGAGAGGACGGAGGAGTAGGGGGAGGCTGCTCCCACTTGCGATGCTCGCGCTCTTCCTAGTCATGGGTGAGGATGGAGGAGAGAGGAAAGGAAAGAACCTGATAGTCTCCCACTAGCAGTGGACGAGCAGGAAAGGAAAAGCACTTGTACGACATGTCATTGATTTCACCGAAGATGGAAACCTGGAAGGTCGGGAATCAAAGGAGGCCAAAAATGAGGGCGAGGAGAAGACTGAGGAGGGGAGGTGAAGTGAGAAGGACGCTGCTCATGCTGCCTGTGGTAGTTCCGATGATGACAGAGAGGAGGAGAGACAGGGAGAGGATGCCTGGAGGAAATGCTCTCCTTCTTCAAGCAGGGGAACCGACAAGCCAAACGCCACTTCCTGCAGTCACATAACGATACGGGCAAACAGAGAGAAACAGCAGCAAGAGTAGAGGGAGGAGACGATACACGCATAGGGATAGAACATGAAAGACGTAAGGAAGAGGAGAAGAGAAAGATAGGATGAGGACGTGGTGGTGGAGGAGAGAGCACCTCGTTGAGGGAGTTGACATGTATCGTTTGCGTCTTGGCGTGTCGACTAGGAAGGGAGTTGAGGTCTCGGCTGCTTCTCGTCTCCTCCTGCTCCTCTGACGGCATCGTGTTGGTCACCATCATGTAGAGGCCCGAAGGCGCGTCAGTGCTCGTCCTGCGAACCGACGCGTGGACTCGAGTGACGCCCTTCCTCTGCCGCCGCGGCAGATCCAGGCCGACGAGGGCCACGCCCAGGCCCTGAGGAGGAGGAGAAGAGCTTGACGGGGAGAGGGAGGAAGCATCTTGCTCTAGATCCATCCTCTTGGTTTCCTTGCAACCTCGAGTTACGTCACAGTCAGAAAGGCAGCAGATACCTCAAGCTCGCGAGCCAAGCGATCAAACAGCTCGTGGAACCCGTCGAAGGTCGCGCCATCGCCAAGCAGAGCAGCTGCGAGGACATCGAGAGAGGAGGAGCAAGCAGCAGGATCCTTGAGCGCGCTCACGAGCTGCGAGGAGAAGGAAGAAACGGCTTCGAACACGACTTGTCCCCACCCCCTTTTGTACGAGCCGATGAAAATGGCGCCGACCCATCGAGCGAGAGGAGGAGAAAGCGGGAGGCTGAGGAGGCGACGGAGAGCCGCAGAGAAATGCGACTGATCGCATGCGAGTGACGAGAAGTGACCAACCGCCTTGTCCACCAGACCCTGAGGACATGCGGTCACGAGGAGCAGAGCTGGAGGGAGAGGGAGGGAGACAGGAGGCACCTGCGGGCAGAGGCTGAGGACGATGCTCAAGGATGCGCTGGGGTTCTCGCTGCTGCTCATGTAGTAGCTCATCGTCTGCTCCATACTGTAGGCCAGGAAAGATTGACCAGCCGACGGATGGTCCCAAAGTGAGCGGAGAAACTCCAGAGCTCGAACAAGACACAGTCCTGCTGCTGCTCCTGCTGGTGACAGCAGCCTCACATCACTGTACGCACACTCGCAAGCAAAACCTTGAGCTCTCACTTCACGCACAAGATGAGCAGGGAGGTCGGGCCAATCCTCTTCCAGCAGGGGAGGCGGAGGAAACAACAGGAAAGACGTCGGGGCAGGACGATGAGAGCTGAGGGCAGACAAGAGAACTCGCGTGAACCGAACGATCGCCTCGCCTCTCCTCGACGACTTCGTTTCTCCTGGTCTCCAGCCCTCTGCGAGAGCCTCGTCGATGAGTGAGTCAAGGCGAGCAGAGGCCACCTGCTCTGAGGTGAGCAGGAGCAGGAGGAGGAGGACTCGTGTCGGATCACCAGCACATGCCCCAGCACGGCAAGAGGCTCGAGGGGAGGCCTGTCCTCCTGCAGGACGAGCGCCATCACATCCAGTAGCTTCAGCACAGTCAGGATGGAGTCAGGCGAGCACGTCAAGACCTGCTCGTCACTGAGCGTCCACGTGCCGAACCTCAAAAAGAGCAGGAGGAGCGCGGGGAGAGAAGCAGCCACCTCCGGCAGGCTCTTGTTCCGACATCCTTGCTCTAAGACCGAAGCAGCAAAGGACGCCCCCCGGTCTAAAAGCAGCCTGACCCTAAAATTGAGAGCAGCCGGTGGAGGCAGAAGAGCAAGGGGAGGACGAGACAAGGCGGCAGGACAGTACGTGGTTGTTGTCTTAGTAGGATCAATGGCTCAGATAACAGAAACATCACCAGCACATCGAGAAATCATCATCTTCTTCATCTTCTTTATCATCATCATCATCTCCATCGTCGTCGTCGTCGTCGTCATCATCATCAATTCAAGAAAACAATCATCATTATCTTGCATTCTCCTCACCTTGACACGATCTCACTTCCCATTTCCTTACGAAGGCTGTCAGGACCTGTCAAGCAATCTCAGTTGCTTCACCCAACCACACCCGTGCTGACCCTCCATGCTCCACCCAGCCGCAGCTTGAGCCAGAACCTTAGCATCGCCTTCCGTCAGGCGCTTCGTTGCAAGGATAAGCTTCTGAACATGCTCATGTCAGCGACACTCGCAGCGTCTTCCACGTGTAGTACCTCGAACAGGTCGAGCTTGACTTGTAGAGGATGATCGCTTTCGATCAGCCCGTTGAAGATAGTCTCCATCTCACAGTGTCTTCACTCGCACCTCTCACATCCCTCCTCCTCCTCCTCCTCCTCCACCATTTGCCGTCATCGTCACTTCCATCCCTTGAGCATTTTTCCTAGGGAGCGACTGGCCAACCCCTACACAGGAGGGCAATGGCGGAACTGATGGCGGAAGCAATGGCGGTCTGAATGGCGGTATGGCGACGGAAACAAGTGAGAGACGATGACGTGTGGAGGAAGCGGAAGGGAAGAAGACAAGAAAACACAGTCAGACATGCTTGTCTTGTGATAGACGCGATATATGTTCGCACAGTGATGTGGAGGATGTCTTGTAGTAGCAGATAGAGAATGACATGTAGTGGCGGGCTGCAAACCTACTGGCAGAGGTGAAAGGAGGCGGAGGATGTGAGAGCGAGTAGCTGGCACATGTCTGGTCATGCATGGTATCTGTCTTGAACTTGTTCGCAGGCTTCAAGGTTGGTGACGTCACTCGTCGATCAGCCGGCGTCAGCCTCAAGGCTAAAGTTGTGAGGGTGTGCGTTCAAGGGCGAGCAGGAGAGGAGCACGAAGGAGGGTACGGAGACGTTCTGATAGGAGATGTGAGGAGGCCCCACTGCTCCTTCCGCATCCTCACCTCCTGCTGTCATGGCAGGAAACTGGATGCATTCTACTGCTGGCTGCGGGTGCGGAGCTCGGCATGTTGACGCCAGGAAGCAGTGTCCTCCTTCGCAACGTCTCCATCGAAGTTCTGCATCAGCGCATGCGACTTACGATCGGTCGTTGGGGAAGCATGGAACCGTTGGAGCCTGGTCTCACTTGCGAGGTGAATGTAAGTGAGTTCATGAGAACTGTTTGTCTCCTTGACATCTGGTGGCAGTTGGAAAACGACTTGTCGTCGAGAGATGTCGCAAGCGATGATAGTTAGAGGGAGTGAGGATGTAGGGCCTTGTGCATGTGACTTTCATGGTTGCACGTTCCAACACTGGCGTGTATCAACCCGGTTGCGAATCATCTTGTAAGTGTGATGTCCTGCACGAAGTCTTCCCTGCTTGTCACAGTCAGCGATGGCGCAGCAACGTGTCACTGGACCTGAGGATCGCCAATGAGTTCTTGATGATGTTGAGCCCGTTGTTGTGATCCTTCTGCGCATGAGACGACAGCAGCTTGCTTCTCTCGGTGTGATATGCCATGTCGAGATCTTCATAGTGACCATGAGTGAACCCTCCTCCTCCTCCTCCTCCTCCTCCTCCTCCTGTCACCTTCTCTAATGTGGATGGACGAGGCTTGAGGCGACGGCTGCGAGTAGTCGCCGAGCTCGTGCTCCAGCTCCCAGTCCCGGCACTCGAGGATCGACTCGACTGCCTTGGCCCGCACGATCTCGAGAGGAACTAGCCCGCTCTTGGCAGACGATACCTGAGGAGCCAAAAGCAGGACAGTTAGCTCCGATGCATGCGATATGCCCTTGTGCTTGCGCTACCTGTCCCCTCCCTTCACTCCTGGGCCTGTACGGAGCTGAGACGCTGAAGTTAGCATGTTTGTCTGCTCCGAGCATCGCGATCGCCCTCGGTTTTCTTTTCCAGTTGGCTAGACGGATCTCATTGAGAATCTCCTGTACCAGAGCCCTCATTCTCACAGACCCTCCGCTCGCCCGCTCCTGCTCGAAGAGAAGCTCGTCGGGAGCTGCGAGGGAAGACAGCTGGACTCGATCGAGATCTCTGACAGACACTCGACAGCCTCCTCCTGCCCAACCAGCAAGAAGCATCCTGCTTCCGCAAAAGCATCCGCAGAGACCATTGGACATGCTCTTTCACTCAAGCAGCGCTCCTCGTGCCCTCGTCGCACGCTAATGCCAATGGGAAGGTAATTTTGAGGAGCAGCAGGGGGAGGAGATGTGGAGGAAGGGAGAGGAGGTGGAGGAGGGGAGGAGGAGATAGAGGAGGGGAGGAGGAGATAGAGGAGGGGAGAGGAGGTGGAGGAGGTGGAGGAGGAAGTGATGGTGGTGGTGGTGGTGGAGGGGAGAGAAGGTGGAGGAGGGGAGGATGAGATGGAGGAGGTGGTGGGCTGCACCAAGGCAGGGACCAAGGGAGCCGGGGCAGACGACCAAAAGCGATCTGGCAGTGAGTCCCCTATCTCTTATTGCTGTCCTGATTATTATCATATCATAGCACCTGAGGCAGACTTGATGTTGAAGGGTCATGCCGTGATGGCCGACCGACTGTGGATGCCGGCTGCGGCAGGGGCGACGCTGGTATTGATGGTGATGACAGGCCTAGGTAAGAGAAGACAAGGAGGAGGGAGGGATGGAGGGAGGGATGGAGGGAGGGATGGAGGGAGGGATGGAGGGAGGGATGGAGGGAGGGATGGAGGGAGGGAGATGCTAGTCTGAGGTCTCATCTTTTTGTGCAGCAGGATGGACATCCGAGAGAAGAATCGAGGCGCAAGGTTTGCTTCTATACTTGGCATTGAGATCGTCTGTTGACGTGGAGGAGCAGGCAGCTTCAAGTGCTTCGTCGTAGACGGGAAGGCGAAATGTCTGCCCAAACAGCGAATGCTTGCAAATGAGAAGCAGGAAGCCAAGGTAAAATGACTTGACCCCTTCGCGCATGACAAGCGCAGGTCACCATCTCAGCAGCGAGGCTCTCTAAGGTGCTGGAACGAGCCAAAGAAAATCGCAGGATAGCAGACGAACTTCTCCGAACAGGTTGCGCTTACCCTGCTCTCCTGATCGATTGAAGCTCTTCAAAGAGGGACTGGAAGGGTTGCAGAGAAATCAGAAGAGAATCGCGGAGTTGGCTGCCGCGAAGATCAGGGGGATGAAGTAGTTGATTGCTGGGGCCATGTCGGGGTATTGATGCTCTTCTCTAGCCGCATGCTTGGTGCGCTCGAGGCCTCCAACGAGGGCGTCGTGAGGGAGCTGGTTGGCCGCCCTCGCACGACTCTCCGTGTGACATGTCGATGCAGATCGAGAAGGCTTCTGCTCCTGGCCCAGAGGGTCCTCGCGGCCCTCCAGGTCCTTTCGGAGCAGCTGGTCAGTTGCAAGACATCGCTTCCTCTCATGCCATGCTCTCCTCCTCGTCTCATGATGAGCTCTCCTCCTGACTTCTGCCAGGTCTCTCAAACCTCCCGGGTCCGCCGGGACCTCCAGGACCTCCAGGACCGCAGGCAAGTCGAGGCTGCTTGCTTGCTTGCTTGCTTGCTGCTGTGTTCTCACCTCTTCGTGTGCAGGGCGACCCCGGACCCTCCGGCAGGGACGGACCTCCCGGACCTCCCGGACCTCATGGGCTGCAAGGGACGGAAGGGAAGGAGGGCGAGGAGGGAGACGAGGGCCCGGAGGGCAAGGAAGGCGCTCCCGGTGAGTGAGAGGGTCAAGATGCGCGGGGACTGAGGTATGAGAAGGTCCTCCGGGCCCGGAAGGACAACAGGGGCTTCAGGGGCTGCCAGGACGGGCAGGCAAGGGCGGCACACGAGGACAGGTGCTGTGCGCTGCTGCTTGTCAGACCTCACGCTGCTGCAGGCTGGACCAGCAGGACCGCAGGGGATGCCAGGACTGCCTGCTCGCATCATGTCGTGGCGATGAGAGATGGGAGGGTAGGAGGTGTCGGAGGAGGAAGAAGCTCCTTTGCTCTGCTGCGTTTTCTCTCGCTCGACAATATCTGCTCTCACTTTGATCGGGGCCACAACGAGTCGCTGACGTAGGCCCATGCTCCCTGAGCAAGACTTTCATCGCGTGAGCAGCAGCCGTCGAGCTTCACCTTGATGCCTTCGACTAGCGTCTTCCATGATGTCTTCACCTCCATCATCGTCTCTGCAGCCACCGCAGCCACCTGCCTCCTGTCATGCCGTCGCGATTGCAAGCTCTGTTACCTCTCCCTCCCCTCCCAGATGGCGAGCAAGCCGGTAGAAGCTCAGAGCTCGCTGCTCGTCCGCCGCCACTCCTAACCCCCGTTCGTACATCTGACCAAGCGCGATGGCAGCCCTGAGACCTCGATGAGGTGGAGGAGGAGTAGAGGAAAGGAGAAAAGGAGGAACTGCAGGCGAGATGGAGAGGCGATGATGATCGAAGAGGAGGGAGAGGAAGGAGGGAGGGAGAGGAGGAGAACACGAGAGAGGTCTGCCAGGCGCACCGGGCCATGTAAGAGTCATGCTGTGTCAGCGCCTTCTCATAGAGTCTTGTGGCTGACTCGTATCGCTTCTCCTCCATCGCCATGTCCCCCAGCCACACTGTCAGCAACTTCACTCGCTCGCCAGGGAAGCGACGGAAGGGACCTGAAGCTTCGCCGCTTCCCTGCATCGACGCCTTCTCGAGCAGAGCGACGGCAAAGCTCCTGCTGCAGTTGACGTCGCCCCTCGTCTCCGGCTGCTCAACTCGCGCCTGCGCCTCGTCAGATGGTGCTCGACCCTCGTCCTGCGCGCACCAGCCCCTTGAGGATCATCCAAGCTGCGTTACACTGCGCCACCTCGAAACCGACTTGCGCTGCTCGCTGCTCGCTTGTTAGTCTGAGCAGGAGGCGAGGGAAGGGACCAGATACAGCTTGAACGCGTTGGCGTACTTCCTCCGCTTGAACAAGGTGTATGCGTTCTTGAGGACGTCAGCCCATGGCCCTCGTTCCTGCTGACTGCTCAGCTGGTCATGTCAGAGGTATCAAGACTTACAGCTACGAGCTTCATGAGGAAAGCTGCGTCGAAGCAGCTGCATGGAACCAAGATGTTCAGCGAAGCTCCTCCGCCTGCTCTGCTCTCCCTACCTCCTCTCAGTACCCCATCCGAACCAGTAGCTTTGACCCAGCATGTACATCGCCTTGAAGTGACCCCGCTGCTGGCAAGTCAACGTGGCCGGGAAGGGAGAGGGGGAGGGAGGGACCATGGCGGAGGCGTGAAAGCATCTAAAGGCTTCCGTGCGGTTCCGTTCGACTCCTTGCCTGGCAGGCGCATGAGTTCGACTTCCTCTCGCTCTGCCGCCTGACCCTCCTCGAAGCATCTCCCCCATGTTGAACAGCGCCTGCACGTCGTTCCTTTCGGCGGCTTTCTTGTAGAACTCGTAGGCCTGCCATGAGTCAGGCGATCAGAAGAGGCAGAGGACAGAAGGGGAAGGTGAAGCTCGAGGAGGTAGGGGAGAGAAGACCTTGCTGTAGTTCTGTTCAGCACTTCCTAGACCATAGTAGTGGATGTAGCCCAGCCCTACGTAGCCTCCAGGTTCTCCGAGTGCAATGGCTGAAGGAGCGTTAATGAAGTTTCAGGAATAGAAGGAGGCACGGGAGGAGGTGGGAGGAGGTGGGGGGAGGTGGGAGGAGGAGGAGGAGGAGGAGGAGGAGGAGGAGGAGGAGGAGGAGGAGGAGGAAGAGGAGGAAGAGGAGGAGGAGGAATTCGTTTTGCCTCTCTCGAATTTCTCAATCGCCTTGGTTACATTCTTCTCAGTTCCCCAGCCGTTGGCCAGCATGTACCTTCCCGCCCAGCTCTCACGCCCGCCTCATCAGAACCTCCCGGCGACTCACCCGTGATTAGCGAGAGCAAGCCCGTCCTCGGCTTCTGCGGCTTTCTCGAGATAAGCCTAGCGCAGAGATTTCACTGCTAGCGAGGAGGAGGGGGAGGGGAGGGGGAAGCAGCACAGGAGGAAACTGCAGCAGGAGAGTAGAGGAGCTTACCGCGCCCTGCTCCAAGTCGCGCTCGGATCCTTTGATCCCATGGAACTTTCTGATCGCAAACTGACATGCTTCAGTCAACACCTTCCCTCCTCTCCTCTCTCCTCACCTGAATCTGAGCCTCAACAGCCTCCTTCCCTCCTCCTTTGTCCGCCTAAACCCTCAACTCAGCCAGCCACCTGCGAGCAGGCATGTCGACCTTGTGCTGCAGGAACTGCAGCTGAGCATCGTCCTCCCTTTCGTCCTTGGCTGGATCCCATTCCACCTGTAGAGGGTGAGAGGAGGAGGCGACGGAGCGTCTCAGCACCTCCGATAGCCTCACTTGCTCCCCCTCAGCGTCGCTCCCTCCGTGTTTCTGCTCGACAAGCGAGGACATCAGCTCATGGCTGTCACAGCAGCTGCAAGTACCTCGATGGCCTTTGACGCCAAGTCAGCAGCGGCGCGATACCAGTGGAAGGCTCGGCTGCAAAGCTCCTCGTCCTTCTGCGCCAGGAGACTTCCTGCCCCGGAGCTCTCATAGTGCCTGTAACCCATCGCCAGCAGCGCCAGCTCACTTCCTCTCTGAGCAGCGTCGTGCAGCCAAGTCTCGCTCTCCGTAGCCAGGATGGAAACATGCTCTTCCTTCCAGCTCTGCTCGGTGCTGCAGTTCCTTTGCCATGCCGTCACTTGAAGCGCCTGCTTGACTCCAAGCACAAACTTGGCGTCGCGGCTTCCCATGCTGGCTGCCAGCTGGTAGGTGACGTCAGCAGCCTCGATTTCTTGAAACTCTTTCATCTCAGCCAGTAGGTATGCGGCCCGCGCACTCCCCAGCTTGAAAGCGTTTGACAACTTGCCAGCAGCTGCCTCGAAGGCTGCAGCAGCGCTCGCGTATGTGGCAGAATGAGAACCGAAGCGAGCGAAGCTCAAGGCTTTCTCCGCCTCCACGAGCAATTCTTTCTCCTCCTCCTCTTCCTCCTCCTTCTCCTCCCCTTCCTTGCCTTGTGAGAACACGCACTTGAACCCGAGCTCTGTGTCACAATCCAGCTGTGACCAGACCTCCTGCACGTCAGATAGGTACACGGCTGTCCCCCAGGAGACGCACGGCTGGATCTCGTAGCGACGTTTCATCTGCTGGCACTGATCTGTCCTTATCACGTCCTCTTGGTCTCGATGCGACGCGCTGACTTCAACCTTGTCCGCGTCTGTCGATTGCGCGAGGAAGGAAGGGATGGAATCAGAGTCGACGCTGCTCTCCGCTGACGCCTTCCCCTCCTCCTCCTCGATGTTGGCTGTGGCGATGTACTCGAAGTGCATCGGCTCTCTCACTTCGATCTCTATCCTACGCGGCTGCTCCAACTTCCCAAGAAGCTCTCGCTCAACCTCTACGAGCGCTGCTTCAGCCGCTTCACTTGCACCATGACCCTCCTGCTCCTCCTGCTCCTCCTGCTCCTCCTGCTCCTCCTGCTCCTCCTGCTGTTCGGATTTCTTCTGCTCTTTGCTTTCGTGTTGCACGTGCAGCAGGCGATCGGAGAAGATAGCGTGGTCCTCGCTGAAGAAGCGAACGTCCCTCGCGTCTGCTCCCGCTGGCGCCAACTGGACGGACTCGCTCGAGCTCTCAACTAGCGGGTCTCTGGGCGCGAGGAGCCGGAGGTGCTCTAGTGACGTCACCTGCAAGCAGTCAGGAGGGGGAGGGGGGGAGAGAAATACCTCGTAGCCTGCGTAGAAGGAGCCGCGGATGAGGAGCCGATCAAGCGTCTGGATCACTCGCCTTGTTTCCTCCCCCTCTGCTATCCTGCCGTCATGTGTATGACGCCATCCTGACTGCAAGTCGTTGTCAGAAGTCGATCGTCACCTCGTCTCGTCTCGTCTCGTCTCGTCTCGTCTCGTCTTCTCTCCTCACCTCAGGCTTGTCGAGGTTGATGGTGATGTCAGAGAAGGGCACCCAGGGATCGAACACGCCGGTCAGTCCGACGGAGAGGTTGGAGGTCGACGCCATGACGATGTCGAAGTGTGAGAGAGCATCGCGATGGAGCGAGTTGAACTCGGGGTGTGAGATCCTAGTGCTGGCGTGAGGGCCTGGGAGGAGAAGGGGGGAGGGAGAACTACCTCAAGGACAGAGAGGTCGCTCGCCGGACTCTCTGCAGGAAGTGTCTCGGCGCGGAGAAGAACCTGAGGCAGCACGTCACCTCACCACCTCTGTCGCTCATGCTCCAACCAGATCTCGTCGCCCTCATCCCCTCCAGCCAGCGACGCCCCGAAGGTGCTCAGGTTCTGACACCCCAGCCCCCAGCAGCTCCAGCCGTCCACGTCGAAGAAAGGAAAGTTGTGCTCCACCATGGTCGCCTGCTCCCTCGCTTCCCTAGCATCGCACTCGACTGCTGCATGGAACAATATGTTCGAGCAGAGGAGAATCGCGGCGAGGCTCGACGAGGAGCATAACTTTGACATTTCGACGGCAAAGAGAAGCGAAGTGAAAGGGAGAGGAGAGGAGAGGAGAGGAGAGGAGACGCGATGCGATGCGATGCGATGACAGGAGAGGAGAGGAGAGGAGAGGAGAGGAGAGGAGAGGAGAGGAGAGGAGAGGAGAGGAGAGGAGAGGAGAGGAGAGGAGAGGAGAGGAGAGGAGAGGAGAGGAGAGGAGAGGAGAGGAGAGGAGAGGAGAGGAGAGGAGAGGAGAGGAGAGGAGAGGAGAGGAGAGGAGAGGAGAGGAGAGGAGAGGAGAGGAGAGGAGAGAAGAGGAGAGGAGAGGAGAGGAGAGGAGAGGAGAGGATGGGAGGGGAGATGCGATTCGATGCGATCAGAGGAGAGGAGAGAGGAGAGAGGAGAGAGGAGATCAGTTTCGATGCGATGTCAGTTGTTTCGTGTATCTCCCGCCATTACCATTATTAACTAAAACTTATCTTGAATTTCTTCGCCCGATGCTGTTGGCTGTGCGAGTTCTGTTCCCTGGGGAGCAGAGGAGGAGGAGGAGGAGGAGGCGAGAAGGCAAGGCAGAGGACGATGATGATGATGATGATGATGATGATGAGGAGGAGGAGGAGGAGGAGGAGGGAGCGAGCAGCAGCAGGGGACTGCAGGGGCGTTTCGCTGCTGCTCGCTGTCGCATTCTTGCTAAGAGTGAGGGTCTCAAGGGACTACGTCATCCGCATCTCGCGGCGTATGTTGAGGTGGTGGAGGTCAGGGGCCGCATCCTCCTCGTCTCCTCCTCCTACAAGCGGAGCCTCGCCATGTCGCTCGTCCAGGGCTCGGCGCTCAGTCTTCAGCTCTGCGTCACAATCTGCCTACACGTTCTGAGCGCGTTGGAGTTTCTGCATGGCCGGGGCATCGCGCATGGCATGCTGAGCCCCTTCTGCGTTCTCTTTCGAGCAGACGACCATCTTGTCCTCGGCGACTTCGGCCTGTCGCATGCGACTGACCATGGCGCCGACGTCGACTCGTTCTTAGGCATCGTTGACTTTAGGGCGCCCGAGACCTTCAGAGGGGAGACGCGAGTGGCGGGGACGCCGGCAGGAGACGTCTGGTCCTTGGCGTGCGTTCTCTTCCTCGCCTTCACTGGAGCGCTGCCATGGGATGCGGATGAGCAGCACAAGGGTTGGAGCAAGTCGCCCTCCTCCCGCGGCGACGCTTCCTCCCTCCTCTCAGTAGTGCTGGGCATCCTGAGCTTCGCTGGATGCGTGAGACGTTGTGGAAGTGCTCGCGAGAGAAGCGCAGGGAGCGCGAGCTGGTCCTCCTCCTTCGATCGCTTCCGTCAGGATTTCTTCCCTTCCCTGCGAGACTCTGAGTTCGGCCTCGCCAAGATGCTGCACGCCATGCTCAATCCTCACGCGCCCTGTCGGCCGACCAGCGAGACTCTGCTGTCGAATCCCATCTTTGAGGAGGAGAAGGTGAGGATGCGGTTGAGGGAGAAGCGCTGCTTCGATCACCAGCACACCTTCGATCATCTCGATCTCGACGTCGAGTCCCTTCCTGCTCCTCCTTCTCCTCCTCCTGTTGCCTCCGGCGAGATTGAGATGGAAGTGGCAGGAGAGGAGGAGTTTCTCTTTCGCAGCTTCTTCTACTGCTGGCTCGCCGCTGGCGGCGACGTCTTACGCTTCATGAAGGGGACGGGAGGGAGTTCCAAGCCTCCCATCTCGAGGCTCCCGCCACTCGGCCCCATCGATGAGCGATCTCCTGCCATGGCGAAGGAGCAGCTGGAGGAGGAGATCGCGAGCTTCAGTGTGCCCGTGAGCGAGATGGTGCAGGAGTTGCAGGAGGACAAGGAGTCGACGTGCCGAGTATTCCCTCCTTCCTTCATCGGCATGGCAGCACTCACTGGCATCGAGCGGCTCCCCAAGAAGCAGGCGAAGTCGATCTGGAGCTTGTCGAAGAGGATGCGACGTGCGATCTCTGCAAAGGCTTCTCCTCACTTCGACCTCTCCCTTGCTCAGCTGGAGGTCCCACGACGAGCGCAGCAGCTGCAGGAGCTCTGCCCTCAGCTTGAGCTGCCTGCGCCGGTGCGAGGAGACGTGTGGGGATGGCTGCTGGGGGTGGAGGCGAGCTGGAGCCGCGAGAGGTTCGAGTTCCTGCAAGCTCAGACGTGCGACGGCGAGTCGTTGAAGCAGATCAACAAGGACGTGCGGAGGTGTCACCAGTACCATCCGCTGCTCTCCTGTCACGTCGGACAGGTTCTCTCGCACTCCTCAAACCCGCACCCGCACCACTACCACCACCACCTTCTCTGTCTGTCTGTCTGTCTGTCTGTCTATCTCTTCCATCCTGCTCCTCCTGCTCCTCCTGCTCCTCCTGCTCATTATCTTCCTGATTTGTTCGTAGGAAAAGCTCTGCTTGGTGCTGAGCGCATGGGTCCGCAACAACCCGAGCATGGCATACTGGCAGGGGCTTGACTCCCTGGCTGCTCCTCTCCTCCTCCTCTTCTACAACGACCTGCCGACCTGCTTTGGTGAGGCTTTCCCTCCTCCTCTCATCCCTCATCCCTTTCAGGTTGTTTGGATCGCCTCGTCAAAATTCATTTTCATCAGTTTTTCGTTCACGGTCACCCCGAGGCAATTATGCCTTCTGCTGCTGCTGCTGCCTCCTTGTCTCCCCCTGACTCTCACTCGCTGACAGACCTCAGCGCTGCATGCGGTCTTGAGCAGCTTCATTCGCCTCCTCGCATTTCTCGATCCTCAGCTCTTCTGCCTCCTGAAGGAGGCCGAGCTCTCTCCTGACCTCTTCGCCATCCCCTGGTTTCTCACCTGGTTTGCTCACTCCCTTCCTCTCGACACCATCGTCCCTCTCTGGGATCAGCTGCTCTGCGGCCACAGCAACCTGCTCCTCTTCTTCGCTTGTCGCGTCCTCTCCGTCATGCGATCCTCCTTGCTCGAGGGGACAGCAGAGGAGATCTTGGAGAAGCTCAGCTCCCCTGTAACCTCTTCGCTTCTCCTCTCCTCCTCTCCTCTCCAGGCGCTCCGCTTGTTCCCTTTCCTCGCTTCCTGTTCCTCCTCTCCACGCGCTAATCGTTGCCTTGCAGGCTTACTTGCCCACCCTCCTTCATCGCCGCCAGGATGTCTCTGGGCACGTGCAAGCAGCGCTGCAAGATCTGCGCGCGACTCCTTCCTCGGCAAGTCTCGCGAGCTCTCCTCCCTCTCTCTCATCTTGTGCAGATCTTGTCCAACTCGCCTCCACCTGGAGTTCAGCTGGCGGAGACCAGGAAGATCATCGGGACAATCTCGCTGGACGACTGCGGTCCCTTCCTCTGTGCTGGCCTGCTGCTGGTGCTGGTGTCACGAGATGCTCTAGAGGATGAGGGGCAGGGACACGGGTGGGGTAGCATGAGGTTCGACCTGTCCAGCTGGGAGGTCAGCAAGGCAGCCAGCCAAGTGATTGCAGTGACGGCAGAGGACGAGGAGGAGAGCAGGAGACAAGCTGAGGTCCAGCGTGTGACGCTAGAGTCATACTCTGACCTCTTCTTCAGGCTCTCCTTGTCAAGCATCTCCTCCCCCGCGTTTGCATCCTCGCGTGGTCAGACTACCTGGAGATCTTCGGCGAAACCTCCAAGACAAGCGAACCGCAGGCGAAGAAACCCGCACGCACATTAGCCGGGGGACGAGGAGGAGGAGGAGGAGGAGGAGGAGGAGGAGGAGGAGGTGGAGGAGGAGGTGGTGGTGGTGGTGGAGGCAAGGGACTGGGACCAGTCTCATCACTTGGAGGATGGAAGCCTTCGAGTATTCTGCAGGGCATTCGAGAGACTGCAGCATCTTTGAGGTAGGAGGAGGAGGAGGAGGGGAAGGGAGAGGAGGAGGAGGAGGGGAAGGGAGAGGAGGAGGAGGAGGGGAAGGGAGGGAATATCCTCAATTTACTGCAGGGGCGAGGAGAACAAGTTCAAAGACGCTCCTACAATTGACGGTGACCTACTTGCAGCTTTTCCTCCTCCCACTAAAACTGCTGCCTGCCTGCCTGCCTGCCTGCCTGCCTGCCTGCCTGCCTGCCTCGCATGCTCTCTTTCACTTTTTCTTCTCATTTTTCTCGCAGCTTCTGCCACAAATGAGGAAGGGAGGGGTCAGGAGCAGGAGGCGGCGAATCAAAGGCCCGCCTCCTGCTCCTGCTCCTCGTTCTCGTCTGTCAAGGAGGAGACTTCCAGCCTCTCCTCGTCTGTCAAGGAGGAGACTTCCAGCCTCTCCTCGTCTGGAGTGCATGGCGAGGTGACTAGAAAGACGTCAGAGATGCTCTTCAGGCGCTCTTGCTGCTCTCGCCTCCTCTTCTCTGACCCCCTGCCAGGAAAGTCTCCAGCTTGTCCTCCTGGACATTCTCTGACAACGAGGAGGAGCTGGAAGGGGAGGGAGAGCTGCACGAGGAGTTGAAACAAGAGCAAGAGGGGCTGCGGGATGGTGGAGCATCGAAGGAGGTGAGGGACGGCGCCAGTAGCCATAACTGAAGTCTTTGGCAGGACGACTCGCATGAGGAAGATGAGGAGAAGGCGGTAGAGGAACAGGAGAAGGCGATAGAGGAGGAGATGGCTTCGGAGCAGCGAGGAGGGAGCAGGTAAGGGAGTTTGTTCATCCACTGCAGAATTGTTGACTGCCTGCAAACGCAGGGAGGGGAAAGAGGAGGGAGAGGAGGGAGCAGCTGCACCATCTTTGACTTCACAGACGCCAGGGATGGGCGAGCAGGAGCAAGGGAGGGGGAGAGAGGCAGCGAGGCGGGGGGAGGAGAGTCGTCGCAAGAATTTCTTCTCCCTCCCGAGCAGCGTCCTCAGCGGAGCTCTGGACCGAGGAGCCTCGCTAGGGATGAAACTTCTAGATTCGCTTCCTGATGACTGAACCTCCTCTAGCCCTCCTCTTCTCCTCCACTGTCCCTTCTCACCATCCATAGCGAGAGTTGACTTGCTGCCTGTTCCTCTTGCTCTCAGCAGCTCGCTCGAGATACTCCAACTCGTTGGCAGCAGCCTGCAGGAGGTGAGCGAAGCAGCAGCGGGAAGGAGAAGCAGACCTGATGGAGGACATCTGTGATGTGATGCTTCCTCTTAGCCATCATCGACGTCGTCCCCGTCACCTGCCAGCACGTCACTCCCCTCCCCACCTCCTTCCTCCTCCTCCTCCTCCACCACCACTCTCCCTTCTGCTCCCCTCCTCAACCCGCAACTCGATACCTTCATCGGCGTGTGGTAGGCAGCTGCATAGCTGATATACTGGCCATGCTTCTCACCCGCCATCATGTCCGCCTGCTCCTGCGTGAGAGGCACGAGAGCAGATCGAGCAACTCACCACTGTGACGGCGACAGGAGCGATCTCCTGCGGCACCACCTCCTCTCCCTTCGCCATCGCCCTCTTCGCCTGCATCTTGAGCTCGCGCTGCAGCTCCTCCGGCAGGTGCGCCGAGGCCCCCGCGTCCTCGCTGGGATGTGAGGGATGCTCCCACTGCGTGACTCCACTCTGAAAAAGACGCTCAGCACACGTTTCCGTCCCTCCTCTCCTCCACTTCCTCTCTACTCTCTCTTCCCTCCTCTCCCTCCTGCCTTCCTCCTCTCTTCCATCTGTCACCGTGTGGTAGTAGTAGAAAGCTCCACTCGCTTCATCCCACGCAGCTGCCCAGCCCTCCGGAAGCTTTTGACTTGAGTTAGAGAGAGGAGGAGAGAGTGGTACAAGGAAGGACTAGAAGAGCAGGGGGAAGGACGGGGAAGGAGAATTTGCCGCACCGGCTCTACAGGCTGCAGCTCCTCCTGTTGAGCCTCCTCCTGTGCTTCTAGCTCGGCTGCTCTCGCCTTGTCCTCGTTCTCGCGGGTGTCCTGCACTCTCTTCTCGAAGATGGCGGCGGCGAGATGAGAAGGCTTCTTTTTCTTCTTCAGTGCCTGAGAGGATGGGTGACATGTCAGCACACAGGAAGGAGGCGAGGGAGAGGCACGAGCATGGCGAGGAGAGGAGACATCGGAGTCAGAGGACGTGAGAGCAGACGGATCAGACGAGCGAGAAGGAACAAGAAGGCAGAGCACACACCAGATCTTCGAAGATGTCGCTATCTGCTTTTGTTGACACGAGCTGTCGAACAGTGGATGTGTCGTTCTTGGGAGCAGGGAGCTGGAGATGGTAGAAGTTACAAGACCAGAGACAAAACAGCATGCCATCAAGTTACGCTGGCCAGAAGTCCTCCTCCTCTCCGAGAGCTGCGGAAAAGTTTCTCATCCTCCTCGTCATCATCGTCGTCATCTGCTGTAGTGCTTGCGGGAGGATGTTTCAAGGAAGGTAGAGGTAAGGTCAGAGTTCTCCTAGGCTTGCTGCTGCCTCCCTGCGGCTGCGCGGACGTCTTGGCGGGCTCTTCGTCGCTTCCACTCTCGTAGGCAGCAAACGCGTCCATGTTTGTTACGAGGGATGTCAAGGCCGGCAATCTTTCAGTTCATCACCTATGATGATGATTAGCGACAAGAAATGATATCAATGTCGTCAGACTATCTCTTCCTCTTTCTCTCTCTTCCCTCCTCTCTCCTCCCTCCTCCCCTCACCCTCCTCCCCTTCCCTTCTACGCTCGCATGCGATTTTGGACCCCGGTGGACTCCCTTGGGTGGGGTACTTTTGTAGTAATTGGAGGGGGGTGGGTGAAAAGAGGAAAGCGAGGGAGGGGCGAATGGCGTCGACGAGAACTCCGTTGATCGAGGTCTCCTGCTCCTGCTCCTGCTCCTGCTCCTGCTCCTGATCTTTCTCCTACTCCTGCTCTTGATCCTGCTGCTGCTGCTGCTGCTGCTTCGCTTTCGCTTTCTGATCCTGCTCCATCGGCACATGTTTCTTGTCTCATCTTTATCACTCTTGTGCGCAATTACATTCGTTCTGTCTTGTGCCCTGCTGAATGCTCGTTGCTGGTCTTCTCCTCTTCTCTTCATTTATTTCGCTCGCAAAGTTTGCGCCGCAACGTTCTCACTGACAAGGGGGACAGGTCAATTTTCTCGATGACTACAACATCAACTTCGTCCTCAGCAACACGGACGTGAGCATAGCCAATGCCCTTCGCAAAGCCATCATCTCCGAAGTTCCAACCATCGCCATAGACTTAGTGGAGATAGAAGAGAGTGAGCTCCTCCTCACACTCTCCTCCCTTCTCTTCTGCTCCCTCGCGCCGTCTCTGCCGCTGCCTACGATGATCTGTGTGCCTTCAGATTCTTCGGTGCTGGCCGACGAGTTCATCGCCCATCGCCTGGGGTTGATCCCCCTGGTGTCGACGAGAGCGATGCACGCGGATGGCCCCGTGCCTTTCAGGTTCGGAGCCTCTGACTTGCAAGGGGTTGAATGATGTTGGATCAGAGATGTTGAAGGCAACATAACATCCTTCCTTTGGCATCATGAGGCATCAGAGTATGTCTGCGAGCTTCTTCTTTTATTTTCTGAGTATTGCTTTCCTTGCATGACAATGCGATCTGGACATCTGTTCGCTTCTCTCTTCTCTTCTCTGCAGCGACAAAGATTGCGAAATAAAGTTTGAGCTCGAGGTCAGGAACACCGAAGACAACCCGATGGAGGTGAGATTGATCCTCATCCGCCTCTTGGAGGTTCTGAGACACGGCGGAGGTGACGACAAGGCATCTCCGACTAGCGGCAATGCACGGAGATTCCTCACAGGAGAACTGCGGTTCTTGCTGCATTGCTTGTGGTCTTCTTGATGATTGATCGGATGAGCAGGAGTGAAGCCCGTTGAGTATGACCCCGAGTATCCTGTTGTGATCGCGAAGCTGAAGCGGTCCTCTTGCTCTGCTCTTGCTCTGCTCTTGCTCTGCTCTGCTCTTCTCTTGTCTGATCTGCTCTGCTCCTCCCTGCTCCTCTCCATCTTCTCTCATCGTCTGATCCTTATTCTCCTGACACTCTTGGTAGAAATCAAGCCATCAAGCTTACAGCAATTGCAAAGAAGGGGGTCGGTAAGATGCACAGCAAGTGGTCGCCTGCCAGGTTCGTCCTCTTGTCTCCTGGAACCCTCGTGACGGTGGCAACTCAGTGGCGTCTACTTCACCTACGAGCCAGTTGTCACCATCAACTACGAGAGGATGGAGGGACTATCAGCCCAGCAGCGCAAGACTTGGGTAGAAGCATGTCCGCCGGGGATCTTGAGGTTCAACGAGATGACAGGACAGGTCGGCACGTCTTGATGCTCTGCTCATTGGCTCTCTAGTGGTGACTTCTGGCTGTGCAGGTGGAAGTTGAGGATGAAATCAACAATGGTGAGAGGCAAGGCAGGGTTTTCTTGACGTCTCAAGTCTCTTGCTCGCTCGCAGGTATCGCCTTCAGCGGAGAGTGCGAGAAAGTCGCCAAGGAGGTACGAGACGCGAATAGCAATGGCAGGGCAGCTCATTCTCTTCAGTTGTTCGGTTATGACTTCTACGACTTGATCGTCATCAAGCCCAAGAGCGGCTCCGATGGATACGTGAGAAAAGTTCTCCTGCATCGTGTGGTTGATGGCCTGCTAGCCCGACAGGTTCAACTTCTTCGTGGAGACTAACGGAGCGCTGGACCCGGTGACGCTTGTGCGAGCGGCGATATGGGAGGTGAGAGGAGAACTTCTCTTGCTATCAAAGTGACTCTCGAGCGAAGTTGGTCCGCAAGGTTCAGAATATCGAAGAGTCTCTAAGAACAGGTTGACTGATGTTCGTCCAGCCTGAGAGGTCTCACTGACTGGCTCGTAGGAGAGATGTAGAGAAGCAAGCTCAACACGTGGAGGATGATAAAGTTTTCTCAAGCAATCACATGAAGAGGCCTCCGTCCACTGTGATGGTTTGGCCTGTGATATACGAGGCTCCTCGGGAGCACCTGCATCCGCAAGTCAAGCACCGCACGCTGCCTCCTCTTCCTCACAGGAAGGCGACAGCACTCGCGACTTCCTGGGCCTCTCCGAATCGATTCAGCGCGACCTGCTCTTGCCATTTTGCTCGCGTTTCTTGTTGGAGTGTCAGGGGTGAAGGAGTGATATCGCATCACCTGGCGGCAAGCTCGACGTGAGGTCAGTCTGGATGAACCCTGGCTCCTGCTCGCCCGTCAGTTGTCCTCCTCCTCCCCCTTCCTTTCTTGGTACCACAAGGTTCACTCGTATCCCTCGCGGGCCCAGCTTCATCCCAGCAAGTCAACAGGCAGGCAGTGCGAGCATGCCGGTACCTCGCGGGCGAGAGACTTGGTGAAGCCGATCATCCCCGCCTGCCCGTCACGCTCATGGTGACTCGTCACAGAGCAAGCGAGGGACCTTGGACGCTGAGTACGCGGCTTGACCGGCATTGCCATGCGACCCGACGACCTGCGCGAGGCTCATGGGAATGCAGCAAGCCCGCCTCCTTACACTGCCGATGTTGACGATTGACCCGTGCACCCGATGCTTCACCATCCCCTTGACGATCTCCTGCTGCCGCTCTCAGTCGCTCTGCTCGGGCTGACCTCAGAGTGACCTTGGTGAAGAGCATGTGCCCGACCAGATTCGTGTTCATCAGGTCGACTATCTGCTGCTCGCTCATCCTCACCAACAACGCGTCCTGCTGTCATGCTCAGGCCGATGTTGACTGACCCGGGAAGCAGCACCTGAGATGTTCCCGCATTGTTCACGAGGATGTCAGGGTTGAAATCAATCTCTCCCAGCTTTGACAGCTGCGCAAAGATGTAAGTCAAGCGATGGCTGAATATGGAAGCTTACCGCCTCCTCTCTGCTCGAGGCAGAAGAGATGTCGCACTTCACGAAAGTGTGCTTCAAGGATGAGTTGGGCAAACTTGCCTTGATGCAACTCATCGTGAGGTTCCAACAGATGTGGACTTACAATGACGTCTTGACATGCTTTCTCGTCACGAGACAAGATCGCAATTCTCCCTCCTTGCCTGGCAAGCTCATGGCAGATCTGCTCACAAAGAAGCAAATCAACACTAGACAATACAGTTTGATGGTTTCGCTCTGACTTGACCTGAAGCCCTATATGTGTCTCTCTTTCTCTCTGTCTTCCTCTCTTCCTCTCTTCCTCTCTCCCTCTCTCCCTCTCTCCCTCTCTCCCTCCCCCTCTCACCGCTCTTCCGATGCCTCGGCTTCCGCCTGTCACAATCGCCTTCATTTTCGTTTCTTACAACCCAACACCACCCACCCTGTTCCCCTCCTAAGAACCTCTTTATTACCCCCCTTTGATGCGCTTTGTACCCCTTCCTACCATACCTACCTACCCCTACTGCTATCAGTGGCTTAGCGATGCGACTACTAATGTGAAGCATGCAGCGATGGCTGCTGCTGCTGCTGCTGCTGCCTCCTTCCCCCGTCACTTCCGCTGCCTCCCTCCGTCTAGCAGGAGGAGGCTTAATGAGCAAGAGGCCTGGAAGCAATGTGTTGGTTCCTACCACCACTCCGGGATCGGTAAGTTCCAATGGTGGCGAGGACGAGTGCCGAAAGGAGGATGAGAAGGGCAATGGTGTGAAAATGTGGAGGCAGACGGGGAGGCAGGCAGAGAGGCAGGCAGGGATGAGAAGAGACAGAGAGGCAGGCAGGGATGAGAAGAGACAGGGTGAACGCAGAGGAATGGTTTGATTGATGATCAAGGTACATAAATTCGACATGCCTTCATACACAACCTTGGATGTCAACCCAGACTTTTCGTTGGATGATCAGGTTGGGTTAACCGTCAGCTTCTCTTGTCTTACCGCTGGTAGGATTGGTATGCAGGCATGGACGAGGACGAGGTAGTGCTTGCTGGCTTGCTGGCTTGACATTGAGCCTGACCCTCGCAGGCAAGTAACGGTACTGTTGGTTCTCTTCCTATTCCCGAACCATTGCCGCCGCTCGTTCAGGTTCCGTGTGCATCGCATTACTTTAATGTTTTGACTGCAAGCTTTCTTCAGCTCGCCATTGGAAATGTGAGAAATGCGCCCATCAATACACAAGTGGCGATGGCATGGGTGTTGAAGACCGATGAGAGGCTGATTGTGATCCTTTGCAACTAAAACAGGATGTTTCTTAACTCACACAACCAGGAAAGATTCCAAAAACGTTCCGATGAAGTGAAACATAACATTTGCAAGACATGCCTTGGGCCGAACGTGATGGTTGACGTCAAAGTGTAAGTTCAACTTGTTCCGAACTATTCTAACAAGTCCCAGGCTCCCCAACAAGGGAATCTGCATCATATGCAAAGATCGCTATGATCGTCTAAAGTGAATTCGATGTCGACTGTTGCTCCTGGGTGAAGAGCTCGCAGGTGGACACCAGACACCATCGACGTCAGGTTGAAGGTACCTTCAATTATGCCGCCCTTGAGACATGCTGACCGTGAGCAGGTTAGGACAAAATATTCGATCATATGCAAAAAATGTGCGGAGAAGAAAGATGTCTGTCAGGTGCTCGCCCAATGTGTGTGTATCAAGTAATACTGACGCTGCAATGCATTGATAGACTTGTCTCTTTGACATGAAGTTTGGACTGCCTGTGGAGGTTCGTGATAAATTGTTGGCAAGGTACGAAATTGGTTGTTTGGACGTTGTGAGAGACATGCTTTGGCGTTGCATGGATTGCAATCTTTACTTTCTACTCTCTTTTTTATGCTCTCAACTTTCTTCGAATACTTGCTGAGAAAGATCCTAATTTCGTCTCCTTTACAGAACCGACGGGGTGATCCCCAGCAGCATCGTCAAGCTATTGCCTGAAGCTCCCGACTACCTTCTTGACGATGTCTGTCTTTCCTCGAGCGAACTGTGTCTTGACAAATGAACAGGAGGAGGTGAAGAAGAGGAATGAGCGCATGTCAAAAGCTGAGGTCACTTGTCTCAATGTGTCTCTCAGTCTCAAGTAGAAGCAGGGCGCAAGAAGATTGAGTCACGGACCTGGAACACCTCTGCTCACCCTCCAGACACAAGGAGACGAGACACAACCTACCGACCTTCTCGAGCGACAATCATCCGAAATCATGGATGATCACGAGGACTCTTGCAAAACTCACAAGACGACCAAGATAGCAGGTTATCAATTCGTTTGTGGAAAGATTTCGAGACCAAACAAGTTGAAACAGCAGAAGAGCGAAGGTTATGATTGAACCATGATGCTTTATTTGTTGTGAATGAGAGAATGCAGATGCGATCTCAGAGAAGATATCACTCTCGACGTTCAAAAAAGTTGTTTGTGGATGATGTCAAGATCGATCTCAATATGAGCAGGTCCAGGCACTCTTCAAGAAAAAAAGATCTTGGCAAACTTTCTACCAGCAGAACAGGTTCTGGCATCAAATCCAGTCTTCGGCTCTCATTGTCCATTTCCGACAGAGCGAAGATATGCACGTTTTGGATGCGAGGGGAGTGTGGCAAGGGAGTGTTCTGTGAGTTCCGGTAACTCCCTCACGGTCTCCTGCTGCTGCCTCACGGACTTGAAGGCACGAGAAGCCAACAGGCGGCGAGATGGTCTCGATGGGTCTGGTGAGAGGGAGGGGTTGGCCCGTTGACATGTGAAGGTGACTTGAAGTCGGTCAGGTGCCGGGGGTCAGGGCTCCTTCGTCCTACGATAGCATCCGAGCTAGATACATGGGCACCGGGGGAGATCCTGTCGGCCTTTCCTCCTCTCCTCTGACGTGCTGAAGCTGCCGGCAGGTCGGACTGGAGATGACCAAGTTGCTCGTGGGGGAGGGAGACGACCTCCTCCAAGGCAGGGAAGAAGCGACGAGGGTGGAGAGAAGGTTGGGTCGCTGGTTTTGGCGAGGTGTAACCAGAGGTTAGCAGTACTTCGACTCGTCCTGTGTGGAGTAGCAGCGCCTCTAAAGGCAACCCGACGTCTCCTCGCTCCTCCTCTCACTCGCTCTGCAGGCGAGAGCACCATCGTCGTAACTTGGGACACTTTCGCGTCCCTTCAAGATCTCTCGCTGCGCACAAGATTCTCAAGATTCGGCGAGGTGAGTCAGAAAGGTGGAGGAGAGAGCGTGACCGAGTTGGTAGGTCACGAGCGTTCGGGTGGCGAAGGGAGCAGGTCGAGCATACATCAAGTTTGCTAAGGTGATTCACTTTTCTTCCTCTGCGCTCTTGCCAGGTCAGGTCGCCCGCCCTCACTTTCTTCGCAGGCTGCCTGTGCTGCTGAAGCGGCGAACGAGGCCAACGGAGAAGTTTTGGAAGGAGTGAAGATCAGCACGCAGCTGCGCAAGCCGTTGACGCGATGAGGGAGGGAGACACTTTGACGTGAGCTTGCAAGGAGGAAAGAAAAGCGATGGAAATGCGAGAATGAAATTCATGCTTTATTCGCCAGGTTGATTTAGCATCCTATACTGTACAGTAACCGCTGGCCGACGCCCATCCTCGAGTCAAGCTCAGGATTGACTGCAAGAAGGTCAGAGTTAACGCTCCTCCACCACCACCTCCTGCTCCTGCTCCTGCTCCTGCTCCTGCTCCTGCCCCTGCGCCTGCGCCTGCGCCTGCCCCTCCCTTCTTACCGCTCCCCCTGCTCGCAGCACAGCGTTTGCGACAAGAAACGAGCGGAGCCACCCGAGGGGACGCTGTGCAACTAAGTCAGTCGGACCAGCTTCTAACCTCCCCTCTCCTCCTCCAAGTCTTTCCACCCTTCCCAGATTCTTCCTCACCAGCATTCTATCATAGCTCTCGCGTCGCAGCAGAAAGGCTTTCAGTGAGAACCCCGCATGCGAGGACCGCCTGCAGCAGCAGCATGAGGCAGCGAAGGAGCTCGGAGTGACAGACCAGGAGGTCGCGAGAGGGAAGAAGGCGTGATTGCTCCGCGTCCTCTCTGCTCTCAGCAGCGGCCTGTACGCTCATCAAGGGAAGATAACGAGACGGCCAAGGCAGACAAGTCCAGCTGGTCGTGACGAAGGAGGTTGACCCCTGCAGCATCTCCTCGCTCCCTCAGGATCTCAGGCTCGTCGTCAGCTACGAATCCCCTTGGCTCTCCTCACCGCTATCGCCTCGGGCAGATACGCTCCACGGCCCTCGGAAAACTCAACGCTGACATTACGAGTGAGGGGGGGAGGGAGTGGGGGCAGCTTACTCGTTGCTCGCAAACAAGATGTAAGGAGACCGGGAGAGATGAAGTGCCACGTCAGCAGCCCGCAGCTCGTCTGCCTCCTCCGACAGTCGCACAATTGCGACACCCTGAGCAGCGTCAGAAGGATGCGACAGACTTGAAACGGACGATCATGCGACCGTTCGGGGATGCAAGAAATGAGACGAGGAGCAGCAGAATCGAAAAGCGCGAGCAAAGGTAGGTGGCGAGAGCAGGGAAGATGACAGCGAGCGTGACCTTGAACTCCTGCAGGATTTCTTCGTTATACCCAGAAGTCTCGTTACGTCGCACCAGGATGAGAATCTCTTGCACTGGATAGCTGTTTGAGTCGAACAAGCTCTGATGGACATTTCAGTGCCTCCCTCCTCTACTTGTGCCTCCAATCACCAGCAGCAATCTCTTCATCGCTTGTATGTCTCCACTCAGGCAGAGCAGGGCGACGGTTACTTCGCATTCCTCAGGGGCTATAGATTTCTGCATCGAAAATCTCTTCGCTCTCTTTGCCACCAGCTCATCGTCCTTGCCCAGTAAGCCTTCTTGCCTTGCGCAAGGAACGGGGACTACTCCCTCCCATCCGCACAGAGAGTTGCACGAGTCTCCTCCCGCTAGGCATGCCATGTCCATCTCGCCCACCGCCTCTGCCTCCTCCTCCTCTTCCTCGGCTTCGCTTGTCATGACCTCAACTGCCATGCTCGCTTCGCACTCCTCATCCTCTTTCAGATTCCTGATGCTGCCGCACCCCGTTAGAGCTCCGTCTGGGCTGCCAAGGACAGATCATTCAACCGCCTGCCCAGCTTCTGTGCTCACCGATGGATGGCAGCGATGAGGACGAGTGAAGAGGTCACTTGCTCTTCCTCGGAGAGAGAAAGCTGCCGGGAATGAGCGGCAGGAGAAGCAGCAAAGGCGTCTCACCTCGAAGCTCGCGGACTCTGTAAAACTCACGAACTTGTTCATAGCAGACAGGCTGAAGGAGGCGTACGAGTTTGGATGAAGTGCCTATAACAAGTAAGGCATGCTGCCCTTGTCCTTGCCTGGCTTACTTGCATCCCATTCATCCTCACGCTCACTGACCAGGTCGATCTTCTCTCCACGAGAGCTGAGACGCTCCAGTCAAAGGAGATACCAGCGCAGATCGATAGATTTCTGCTTGAGCCGCATCCTCCGAGTTCCTGTCGCTACCTCACCCTCGATCGATCAACTTTCCCCTTCACCTTCGCAGTGATTGTCAATCTTTTGATCTTTGAAGTCTTTTGGTCTGTCAAATGCTTCAGACGATTGTCGTTTCAAGTGCTACGACCTGGAAGAGGGTCGCAGACTCGGTCAAGCTCGATGACGTATTCTGCGTGAGGGAGAAAATCGACTACTTCATCCATGTGCACGTCCTTTCCGACATCTTCGCTTGCAGTCGCTCGGAGAGAAACAAGCTTGCAACATCTTACAAGACCGAGGCGAGACGAGGCGAGGAGTCACCTTGAAACACGCTTGCTTGTATCTGCCTTGCTTGAGGCAGTCGAGTTGTGCTAGCGCGAGCGACGAGACTTGATCCTTGTAGTTCCTCACTCGCACGTATCCGTCCCAGACTTCACAAGAGAACTTGTTGTCTCGGAGTTGCCTGCAGATCGCATGAGGCACAACAAGCGTGACTTGCTCCTCACTGAAGCTCCGACGCTGTCACGAAGACCACAACCTCCTGCATTGCAAACTCACGCGGAGGAGACAGGAGCGAAAAGTCTCCACCTTGAGCGAACGGAGCCATCCGACCATGTCGGCAAAGAGCTGCATCAGCTTCGCATGCTCTTCGGGGGAGTAGGTCCTGCAGCTCAAGGTCAAGGGCTGCAGGACGCGCAGGTTGAGGCTACTCGGAGAGAGCGTTCTGCGAGTGCCACTGGAGGGCGACGTAGTCTTCCTCCCTCAGTCGCTTCAGGATTTCTCTCTGCATTGACCCCCATCACCTCCTCTCATACACGTCCCTCTCACCTTGGCTGCCTTGAAGCAATCTTCCCATCTCTCCTCCTCCTCGAACGCGGGGTCGAACATAGTGCGAGCCATGCTTGCGATCCCTGGAAGAAGACCTCTCCCGCTTGCTTCTCCCTCGACCATCCTCAGCCCTGAGACGGACATTCACGACCAGCCGCTCCCTCCCTCGCCGTCACCTGAGCGAACAAAGATGCTCCCCATGGTGGGAGGGCCATAGTGGCACGGCATGGCTGTCACCGACGGCCGATAGCCCCAGAACTCTTGGAACCCTTCGATCCCTTCCTGTGCTCTACACTCAGATGTCGACCTAGCAGCATGCGCTGACGTAGTCAGACCTCAACCCATCGTGTCAGCTCCTCAAGGTCTTTCTGATAGCTCCTGTCGTCCGACAGGTACTCCGAATGTGTGCTGTGAAACAATCCCGACGAGCTGTTCCGAAGACCGTAGTGGTAGTAGGTCAGCCCGTTGTTGAAGTACCAGGACGTGATAGCATCCTCTGCTCTCAAGTAGCCAACCCAAGCGCTCGTGTCAAAGTGCGACCGCCCATGATACTCGGGATGCCAGAGGCCCTTCTGGAAGCCTTGCTTGTACTTAGCTCGAAGATCTCCTCGCTCATACGGAGACCTGGAGGCCCCTCCGGATGAGTTGTGCCACCAGAGCTCACGATACGAGCAGCTTGCACGTCCAGGACAGCCTGAGTCTCTCATGCTATCGTAGTCGGGACCTGCTACCACCCAGAATGGCGTGATGACTACCTGCTTCGGGGAAGGGTGCCCCGAGTTCAGTCGACTCAGGAGGTCGAACAGCTCGTCGAGGTCTGAGCTTGTCTCTACTGTAGCTCTTGACGGAGACCCACCTGAGACAGCTTGTTGGCACACATGCATCCAACTTGTCGCTCACCTGACAACCACAGTCCTTCTTCTCCGAACATCTGTCGAGCGCTCTTGTCCGGCCATACTGGCCCATGGTTCGACCATCGTCCCCAGTCGTCACTGCCGATTGAGATGAACTTGAGGCTCTCAGACGCTGGCAGGAGGAGGAGGAGGAGGAGGAGGAGGAGGAGCTGCGACGGAACCGGCTTGACGCCCTCCCTCATCCTCTCCCTGTGCCCATTCCCCTCTAGTTCCCGTCCTATCGGGGCCCCGTCCAGTCCTCGTAGAACATTTCGCAGTCACCGTATATCCGTCTCCCCGGGCCCGCCCGGCCGCGAGGACGCCGAGGCCCGTGACTGACTCCCGAGTCCCGTCACGGGGCCGCGCCGCCGCACCGCGGAAACTTAGGTAGTCGAGTGTCAGTGGTTCTTAAACTTGACCCTAGGAAATGAGTCACTCAAACGTCCTTTACTCAAAGTTAAGTTCAAGATCAGTGCTGGGACAATCAGGAGAGTCCGAGCCGCTGAGCGGTCGACTGAGGAGGCTTATCCCTGACACTGTCGCACTGGCCAAACGGCGAGACTCTTGAAGAGAAAAGACAGCGAGCGGCCGGGCCCGGCCGCGGGGCCGGGCCGTACCCGGTGCCATGATTGGAAGTACATTGTCACACGCTAATTATTGAACCTTTCAACCACTGTGCAGCAAGTTTACTCAAAGTTAAGTGAGCAAGTGTGTCGCCGCAGGAGGCGGCTCCGGAACTGAGGTGTGTCCAGTCCCGTTCAGTTAAACTTGGCAGCACTGAGCTGAGCTGAGGAATACAGCAGTCACGGTCGGACGGTCAGTCTTCAAGCCGTGGCCGACACTGTGACAGCCTCCGTGAACCGGAACCGTCACACTGAGTGACAGTCACCGTACGGCCGCCGCGGGGGGGCTCAGGCCAGCTTGAATCCTCCGAGTCCGTCGTACTGTACTACGTAGTAGTGACGCCGCCGGGTAGTGCGATGGACACACTGATGACTCACCCGTCGGAGCAGCCTGCCCAAGTTTGAGCATTCCATTGAATTTGAATCGCAGCTGCTTGAAGCAGAATCGCTCTAAGGTTTTAATGGAAAATTGTGAATTTCTTCCTGTTTTACCCATCCCCACTCCTTTTCGATGCCTTGCCAAATCCATCTCATCGGAGACAAGAAAGATCCAGGCAAGCGATGATCTGCTTCCGGTGGTACAAACACAAACCACGATCGATAGACTGCTCAACAACAATACAACGGGTGAGAACTCCGTATCCATGTAGAAAAGGATTCAAGAATTCACCGTCATCACAGGCATCAGTCAGATGAATTCTGAGACCGTTTTCATTTGCAAATTTATTCACATGGTGATAGGTCAACGGCCACCTGTGAAGCATTATTGAAGTCATCCACCACATATTGACCAAAAGCGCAAGAACAACACTTACTCCTTCAAATCGTAATCATGTCCGGCCAGGATCCCTCCACCCCTTACTTTTCCTAGCAGGATTTCAAAAACAAAACCACAAGACAGTGAGAATCAGAATTGTGAGAACTAGAGCTCAAGCTCGTCTTACCGTACCACTCCTTCAACGTGTTGCCGTTTTCCTGAATATTCACAGTGTCATCTACTTGCGATTAAGCAGAGTGAGAAATACCTGTCCATTGTGGGCATAACCATCGATGTAAACAAAATCGAAAAAACCATTTGGAAAGAATGAGGAAGCATGCTCAAACGTCATTCTCAAAACCTAAACTTTGAATGTCATCATCTTCTTTTCTTTCACATCTGTACTCAGACCATGTTTTTGTGACAAAATGGCGCCAAATATTGAAGCGTAGCGAAATATTCATCGATGACTGTCAAAACAAGGATATATGGGTTACAATCTCGATTTTCGACTGATCAGAAATGATACAATGATCACGTTGTTCGTCATCCCAACTGTAGGAAAAGATCAGAATAGAAAAGCAGTGTCAGCCTCAGCCTTCTGACCTATCTACAGAGAATAGGTATGATATGTTCCGAGTCTGAAGCAGCTCAAACGAAAACTTCCCCGATGCAACTCCGAGCTCTGGAAGGCATACTCATTTTCGTGGTAGAGTCCTGACTGATGGCTGTAACAATGTGTTTGGTAGTCACCTATTGCTCGTGAACCATTGGTCTTGGGATCATAAATCACAGAAGGGATGTCCCTCCTGAAATGCCACATCAGCTGAAACAAGTGTTCTTGTGCTTTCCGACCTGCAGAAACTTGTTGCTCTTTCATCTATCCTTTCGACCAAGTCGAACTTCTGTGTGCTCACGGACTTTAATGGCAAGAGATGATAGCAGAAATCACCTACCGAACCCTCAGCAAACTTCACGAGAATGGATACTTGGTCTTTCGAGAGCACCATCCCATCGTCAAAGTCTTGAAGGGTGGCTGATAAGGTGATCTGACAAGACTCAACAGCTCTACCTTCACACACATCGTTTCAGATGAGAGATACTGTATATCACTGAGCAACCCAAAAACGTGAGGGAACTTACTTTTGTCCCTCCCTTCAAGAAATGCAGAATTCGGAATACGAAACAATATTTCTTCATCGACAACAGGTCTTGGTTGAAAGTTTGATCCATGACAAATATCTTGTGAAAAGTATACTGGATCCACTTCCAAATCTTGAAACTCTATGCTTGCAACCAACACCCATGCACGGCAATCAATCAAGGTTCCAACACTGGGTTAAGGGATGAAGCATAAAACATCGCCACAGCAACATGAGAAACTACCTTTTCATGTTCAATGCAAGATGCATAGAATATGACTTATCTTGTATCGGCGATCCAATCCATATCTCTCGAGGAGGACTAGATATGCGAACCTATCCTTGATCACTCCAGGAAATGCTCGATGAAATCAGCATCAGCATACCGTTCCTTCTACGACTCTCCCCGGATCAACAGTCTCATGCATCTTTGATTGATCTTGTTGCTTCTGAGAGCTTAAAGTTCCTCCCCAGGTCTCTTCCTCTCCGCCCACTACTAGCACCGCAAACAACGCCATGAGCAGGCGCATGTTCTCCAGTCGGGGCGGGCCCGGCGAATCCGACTTGCAAGGCTTTAGTAACCTTCCTAGGACCAAGTCCTATAACCTTTTCTACCTTTTAGTCTTAGGATCGGTTTTAGGCGACATCTTTTTAAAATTACTCTATGGGCAATGGTACTAGACTTGGTATAGCAAGGATCCTATGTAATCACATTCCTAGACCCTTCCTAGTACCCGACAAGGGACCCAATAACTCCAAAAAGTTCCTAGCACCTCGACTAGGACCACATCCTATACGGCCTTATCAAGGTATGCAGATGTTTACGACCCTTGGGCCTACAAAATGGGAAGAGAGAAAGGGAGATGGAGGGAGCGGAGTTGGAGAGCATGTGTGTTGTGATTCAAGAGGAGAGAGACGGGGTGAGAGGAGACTGGAGCGATGCCGGTGGGGCTTATGCAAAGACATCTATGATTGTAGAAACACAACAGGAAATAGAGAGCAACACGCCATACAACTGACTGCTTCCTGTAGATTGTTTAGGAGTCTTTTTAATCATGGGCTGCGGTTCATCGACACAGTCGAGTCAAGTGGCTCCGAACAACAATGTCCAGTCGAATAATACAGGCCATGTGAAAGTAGAAGCAGCGAAAGACAATGCCATTCGCCCGGATATCAAAAGTTCAGATACAATGAAGTCAAATGTTGCCTTGAAGCAAACGATCAATGCAGAGACACCCACTACCTCCCTCGTGAAGGACAGCAACGCCAAAGGAAACGAAGAAACAACAGGTCGGCAGAACCCTCCAGACACCCGCACAGAAATACAAGAGAAACTTAAGGATCTGAAGAGCTCCAAGACTGATTTCTGCGCCTTGCAGGATATTGAAGACAACAATGAGCAACCTGCCGAAGATTGGCTCCCAGAATACTTGCCGCAAAATGTTATCCCTCCGCACTTGGAACACAACACAACCTTTTCATCTAGAGGAACGCGGACCAGCAAGGCAAGCATTCTTCAGAAGCAAAAAACAATCAGAAAAACAAAGATCGTGTGTACCATGGGCCCCGCCTGCTGGAGCGAAGAGGTCATCGGTAAGCTGCTCGACGCAGGGCTCAACATCGCAAGGTTCAACTTCTCGCATGGGTCCCACGAGGGCCACCTGGAGGTGCTCGAGCGCTTCCGAGGCGTGTGCGCCTCCAAGGGCAGCCATGCGGCGGTGCTGCTAGACACCAAAGGGCCGGAGATCAGGACGGCGATGCTGCGGGAGCACAAGCCGATCCTGCTGACCAAGGGGCAGGAGATCATCGTGGAGGCAGTAGGGGACGAGTACAGCAGCTGGGAGGGCTACAAGGACGAGTCGGAGACGCGGATAGGACTGTCGTACGCGAAGCTGTGCCAGAGCGTGAGGCCGGGCAACAGGATTCTGCTTGCGGACGGATCGATCGTGATTGAGGTCGCGGAGATACGGAGCGAGCGGGAGCTCAGGGGCGTGGTGCTCAACGAGAAAGAGCTCGGGGAGCGGAAGAACTGCAACCTGCCCGGAGTGAAGGTCGACATCCCCGTGCTGACGGCAAAGGACATCGACGACGTGCAGAACTTCTGCGCGAAGCACAAGATGGACTTTGTTGCCGCCTCGTTTGTGCAGACCGGGGAGGACGTGAAGCTGATCCGGAGAACGCTGGACGAGGCGGGAGGGCAGGATGTGAAGATCATCAGCAAGATCGAGAACGAGGCGGGGCTTGAGAACATCGACGACATCATCCGGGAGACAGACGGAGTGATGGTAGCGAGGGGCGATCTCGGGATGGAGATCCCGTCGGAGAAAGTAGCGCTTGCCCAGAAGATGATCATCACGAAGTGCAACATTGCTGGGAAGTTTGTGATCACAGCGACTCAGATGCTGGAGAGCATGGTGAAGAATCCGCTACCGACACGGGCGGAGATGGTGAGAGATAGAGGAGGAGGGAGGAGGGGGAGGGGAAGGGATGGGGAGGGGAGGGGAGGGGAGAGGGGAGAGGAAAGACGATAACGTTTGTGTACAGACGGACGTAGCGAACGCGGTGTTTGACGGGACGGACTGTGTGATGCTATCAGGAGAGACAGCCAACGGGAGCTTTCCGGACACAGCGGTGGAGACGATGGCGTCGATTGTAGCCAATGCTGAGCTTGGAATTGATTACTATTCGCAATATGGGTTTATCAAGCAGCTTAATTTTTTGTCCTCCAAAGGTTTGTCCATTGACGAGTCAATTTTGGCCTCCGTTTCCAAAAGTGCAATTGAATTCTCTGAAGATTTAGACGGGAATGGAGTTATTGATTCCGACGAGGTAGCGGTTGTGATTGTTTTTACTGCAAGTGGTCGATCTGCCGATATTGTCTCCAAATATCGTCCTTCGGGACCAGTCCTCGTTGTATCAGACAAAGATGAAGTGATCAAGAAGACAAATTGTCGATTTGGTCAACACGGATACAAAATAGAATCTCTGCAAATTGGATCTCTTACTTTGAAAGAAAAGATGAAGCTTGTTTTGGACGAAGTGGTACGGCGCGGATATCAAGACGGATTCATAGTTCCAGAAAAACACGTTCTGGCAGTCTGTGGTGTCCACGAAGTATCTGCAGATCAGACTGCAAATGTGTCATATGTCGAAGGCCAATCGGAAAAACGAAATCCTCTTTTATATCTGAATCCAGGAAAGCTGGGATATATTCAATCCCTGATCACCACTAGAATACACAAGGATTTGCTTGTTAAGAAAGCCCAGAACCGAAGGGCAACAAAGATCGTGTGTACCATGGGCCCCGCCTGCTGGAGCGAAGAGGTCATCGGTAAGCTGCTCGACGCAGGGCTCAACATCGCAAGGTTCAACTTCTCGCATGGGTCCCACGAGGGCCACCTGGAGGTGCTCGAGCGCTTCCGAGGCGTGTGCGCCTCCAAGGGCAGCCATGCGGCGGTGCTGCTAGACACCAAAGGGCCGGAGATCAGGACGGCGATGCTGCGGGAGCACAAGCCGATCCTGCTGACCAAGGGGCAGGAGATCATCGTGGAGGCAGTAGGGGACGAGTACAGCAGCTGGGAGGGCTACAAGGACGAGTCGGAGACGCGGATAGGACTGTCGTACGCGAAGCTGTGCCAGAGCGTGAGGCCGGGCAACAGGATTCTGCTTGCGGACGGATCGATCGTGATTGAGGTCGCGGAGATACGGAGCGAGCGGGAGCTCAGGGGCGTGGTGCTCAACGAGAAAGAGCTCGGGGAGCGGAAGAACTGCAACCTGCCCGGAGTGAAGGTCGACATCCCCGTGCTGACGGCAAAGGACATCGACGACGTGCAGAACTTCTGCGCGAAGCACAAGATGGACTTTATCGCCGCCTCGTTTGTGCAGACCGGGGAGGACGTGAAGCTGATCCGGAGAACGCTGGACGAGGCGGGAGGGCAGGATGTGAAGATCATCAGCAAGATCGAGAACGAGGCGGGGCTTGAGAACATCGACGACATCATCCGGGAGACAGACGGAGTGATGGTAGCGAGGGGCGATCTCGGGATGGAGATCCCGTCGGAGAAAGTAGCGCTTGCCCAGAAGATGATCATCACGAAGTGCAACATTGCTGGGAAGTTTGTGATCACAGCGACTCAGATGCTGGAGAGCATGGTGAAGAATCCGCTACCGACACGGGCGGAGATGGTGAGAGATAGAGGAGGAGGGAGGAGGGGAAGGGATGGGGAGGGGAGGGGAGGGGAGAGGGGAGGGGGGAGAGGAAAGACAATAACGTTTGTGTACAGACGGACGTAGCGAACGCGGTGTTTGACGGGACGGACTGTGTGATGCTATCAGGAGAGACAGCCAACGGGAGCTTTCCGGATACTGCAGTTTCGATCATGAGTGCTATCGTTGTCAATGCTGAAAGGGGAATAGACAAACCGGACGTGTACAATTTTATTCGCAATTGGACACCAAAACCAATGAGCTTCAGAGAAACCATTACTTCCTCTGCCATTCAAGCTTCTTTCGATATGCGTGCGGCTCTGATAGTTGTAATTACAAATGATGCCCGTACTGCGAGTCTGATTTCAAAATGGAAGCCGTTCTCGCCAGTCATCGTTGTCACTTCATCGAAGTCGCTAACAAAGTCGTGCAGCAGTAGGTACGGCCTCCATCCTTTTTACATGGAAGAAATACCATCTATGCAAGAAACGATGCGACTCGTTGTTGACTTTGCAAAGCAAAAACAGCTGGCTAAATTCGAAAACAAGGAATTGGAAAATGGTCAGATCGTAGTCGTTTCGGGTAGAAACATGAACCTAACTGGCACTTTGTTACAACTGACTACTTATCTGTTTGGCGAAGAGGCGAAAAACCTTGAAGAGAATCATGGCTACGAGGGAAAACACACATTTACCTTCAAATCAACAAAAATTGGACTTGACTTGGTATGTGAACCAGTTTTTTCAGTGCGCAAAACAAAGATCGTGTGTACCATGGGCCCCGCCTGCTGGAGCGAAGAGGTCATCGGTAAGCTGCTCGACGCAGGGCTCAACATCGCAAGGTTCAACTTCTCGCATGGGTCCCACGAGGGCCACCTGGAGGTGCTCGAGCGCTTCCGAGGCGTGTGCGCCTCCAAGGGCAGCCATGCGGCGGTGCTGCTAGACACCAAAGGGCCGGAGATCAGGACGGCGATGCTGCGGGAGCACAAGCCGATCCTGCTGACCAAGGGGCAGGAGATCATCGTGGAGGCAGTAGGGGACGAGTACAGCAGCTGGGAGGGCTACAAGGACGAGTCGGAGACGCGGATAGGACTGTCGTACGCGAAGCTGTGCCAGAGCGTGAGCCGGGCAACAGATTCTGCTTGCGGACGATCGATCGTGATTGAGTCGCGGAGATACGGAGCGAGCGGGGAGCTCAGGGCGTGGTGCTCAACGAGAAAGAGCTCGGGGAGCGGAGACTGCAACCTGCGGGGAGGGGGAGGGTGGACATCCCCGTGCTGACGGCAAAGGACATCGACGACGTGCAGAACTTCTGCGCGAAGCACAAGATGGACTTTGTTGCCGCCTCGTTTGTGCAGACCGGGGAGGACGTGAAGCTGATCCGGAGAACGCTGGACGAGGCGGGAGGGCAGGATGTGAAGATCATCAGCAAGATCGAGAACGAGGCGGGGCTTGAGAACATCGACGACATCATCCGGGAGACAGACGGAGTGATGGTAGCGAGGGGCGATCTCGGGATGGAGATCCCGTCGGAGAAAGTAGCGCTTGCCCAGAAGATGATCATCACGAAGTGCAACATTGCTGGGAAGTTTGTGATCACAGCGACTCAGATGCTGGAGAGCATGGTGAAGAATCCGCTACCGACACGGGCGGAGATGGTGAGAGATAGAGGAGGAGGGAGGAGGGGAAGGGATGGGGAGGGGAGGGGAGGGGAGAGGGGAGGGGGGAGAGGAAAGACAATAACGTTTGTGTACAGACGGACGTAGCGAATGCGGTGTTTGACGGGACGGACTGTGTGATGCTATCAGGAGAGACAGCCAACGGGAGCTTTCCGGACACAGCGGTGGAGACGATGGCGTCGATCGTAGCCAATGCTGAGATTGGAGTGAATTACCCTCAAGTCTTTTCAAGTCTTCGAGATTTCACTCCGAAGCCAATGGGATTTATGGAATCTATGTTATGCTGTGCTGCTAAGAATGCTGTTGATTGCTACGCTGGTTTGATTGTTTTGTTTTCAAAGACTGGACGAGCGGCAAGGCTTGTTTCGAAGTATCATCCTTTTGTTCCGGTGGTGGTGATTTCAGACAATGAAAGGGTTACAAAGCAGCTCAATGCATCTTTCTCACTTTTGCCATATCCAGTTACTGAAATTCCTCAAGAACCCGACCAAATCTCAAGAATGATGCTGGACGTCATCGATTGGGCAGTAGACAAGCAGATATGCTTGTCCGATTCTAAAGTAATCATTGTAAAAGGTGCACATGAAGCGGATGCAGATATCCAACCAACGATTCTCCTTCACAATGCTGACAATTCTGGAAGACATTTCATCCGAAGGAGGACATCTCTTCAGCATAAGCCATTCCATGTGGTACCAACACATAGCGTCGAGAAAACAACCTCTATAAGGTGTAACAGCATATCCCTTGATCAGATAACAAGCAAGTATCAACCTCCAAGGAAGACAAAGATCGTGTGTACCATGGGCCCCGCCTGCTGGAGCGAAGAGGTCATCGGTAAGCTGCTCGACGCAGGGCTCAACATCGCAAGGTTCAACTTCTCGCATGGGTCCCACGAGGGCCACCTGGAGGTGCTCGAGCGCTTCCGAGGCGTGTGCGCCTCCAAGGGCAGCCATGCGGCGGTGCTGCTAGACACCAAAGGGCCGGAGATCAGGACGGCGATGCTGCGGGAGCACAAGCCGATCCTGCTGACCAAGGGGCAGGAGATCATCGTGGAGGCAGTAGGGGACGAGTACAGCAGCTGGGAGGGCTACAAGGACGAGTCGGAGACGCGGATAGGACTGTCGTACGCGAAGCTGTGCCAGAGCGTGAGGCCGGGCAACAGGATTCTGCTTGCGGACGGATCGATCGTGATTGAGGTCGCGGAGATACGGAGCGAGCGGGAGCTCAGGGGCGTGGTGCTCAACGAGAAAGAGCTCGGGGAGCGGAAGAACTGCAACCTGCCCGGAGTGAAGGTCGACATCCCCGTGCTGACGGCAAAGGACATCGACGACGTGCAGAACTTCTGCGCGAAGCACAAGATGGACTTTATCGCCGCCTCGTTTGTGCAGACCGGGGAGGACGTGAAGCTGATCCGGAGAACGCTGGACGAGGCGGGAGGGCAGGATGTGAAGATCATCAGCAAGATCGAGAACGAGGCGGGGCTTGAGAACATCGACGACATCATCCGGGAGACAGACGGAGTGATGGTAGCGAGGGGCGATCTCGGGATGGAGATCCCGTCGGAGAAAGTAGCGCTTGCCCAGAAGATGATCATCACGAAGTGCAACATTGCTGGGAAGTTTGTGATCACAGCGACTCAGATGCTGGAGAGCATGGTGAAGAATCCGCTACCGACACGGGCGGAGATGGTGAGAGATAGAGGAGGAGGGAGGAGGGGAAGGGATGGGGAGGGGAGAGAGGAGGGGAGGGGAGAGGAAAGACAATAACGTTTGTGTACAGACGGACGTAGCGAACGCGGTGTTTGACGGGACGGACTGTGTGATGCTATCAGGAGAGACAGCCAACGGGAGCTTTCCGGACACAGCGGTGGAGACGATGGCGTCGATCGTAGCCAATGCTGAGTTGGTCAACAATTTCTACGCCATCTTTGCTTTCATCCGAGATTTCACTCCCAAGGTGAGATTTTTTGATTGCCGCTTTTGCTTCTCACTCTTCTTCTTCGCTTTTCCTTTCTTGGTCTTGATTCTTCAGCCATTCTCCACCAAGGAGTCAGCGGCTTCCAGCGCAGCACAAGCTTGCATTGATGGTCATGCAGACCTTGTGATCGTCTTAAGCAAGTCCGCGGAGAGCGCAAACCTAGTCTGCAAGTATCGCCCTAGTGCGCCTGTGCTGGTTGTGTCTGCGGACGAGAAGATTGTCCGGGGATCGTGCTCGCAGTTTGCCCAGTACGGGTTGTTGAAGAACGTCAAGGACATGTCGCTGGAGGACTTCAAGAAGTCCGGGGCTCTAGAGGAAGCACTTGCCTATGCTCGCGAGAGGAAGTTGATAGGAGACAAGAGCAAGGGGGTCGTGCTGGTGGCAGAGCAGAGCGAAAAGCATCTGATCGTCTCTCATGTTTGAGATCCAGATGTTTTCATGTTGCAAGCAAGCTGCTGTCTTGCTTTCTATTGTTTTTTTGGAACAAAATGTTTGTCATATCAGAATTGCGACAACAGTTTCTCCATGATCATTTGTCCCTTCCTCAGGTTGAGGATTCGAATCCTCTCATTGGGCAGGTGTGCGTTGTCCGACGCTTGTCCCATGGGCAAGTGAATTGCTGGGGCCTTGAGCGTCTGCTCCAGGAAGGTCGTCACACCCCCGTAGCTTCCTCCTTCTCGCACCAGGATGGGTTCTATCCCCCACACCTCGCTCACTGCCTTGGCTGCTTGCCGGAAGATGTTGTGGTCCGTGTTGCCCAGCCACCAGCCAGACGCCTGAAGGAAGACGACGGACAGCGAGTTGGTGGAGTTCCGCTGACGAAAGAAGTCGTGGAGATGTTTCCTTAGTGCCTCCTGCAGCTGCCCGATCTCCTGCTTGGGAACGAAGTGCAAGCTCAGGCGCCCGACCACAGCCTTGGGAATCTTGCGGAAGACTTGAGAGCGGTTGGTGGTCTCGATGCTGCTGACGCTAATCCATGGCTCTGACCACCTTGACTTGAGGATTTCTTTCCTGTCCTCCGTGCGGAGCTTGGCGACTCCGATGCTCTTGCAGTAGCTGTCGATGTCGAGCTGCAGGGCGGTGTACCTCGCCTCTTCCTCCTCCGACACCGGCTGTAACCCAACGAGCAGCTCCTTGACCTGCATCGCTTGTTAAGGAGGACGTGGAGGTTGCGGGAGGAAGGTGAAGTGAAGGATCAGGAGGAGGTTGGAGGGGAGGACGAGGAGGGAGAGACAGGGATACCGCCAGTCGTCCTTGTTGGTCCGTGAGAGAGGCAATGAGGGCGGTCAGGTCGTGCATTGGCTCGTTGACGGCTCCTCCGTCCACTCCCGAGTGCAGATCCTTGCTTGGTCCGGTGACCCAGAGCTCGAAGTCAATGACACCCTGGTAGAAGCGCTAAGGATGAGGAGAGAGAAACAGACAGGCGAGACGAGACGAGGGAGAGAGATGAGGGTATGTGTGTGGGGAGAAGAGAGCGACGAGAGAGGAGGGAGACTCGGGGAATGTGAACTACGGGGCGGCGAAGATGAACAGAAGCGAGGAGATAGCTTGAGACAAGGAGAAGGGCAAGGAAGATGAGGAAGAGGAAGAGGAAGAGGAAGGGGAAGAGGATAATAAGGAGGAATAATAGTGCATGAGGGGGAGAATAGCGGGATAGCAGGAGGAGACTGACCCGCATTCCGTAGGTCAGGCAAGGGCGCTGGTCGTCGATCCAGTAGTTGTTGCTGATGATGATGGCCCGGCAGTTGCCGAACCAGTGCATGTGGTCGACGATGATCTCCTCAAGGCCTCGCTCGGAGAGGCTCAGGCCGCTCTCTTCCTCCCCCTCGATCACAAACGTCACGTCCACCTTGAGCTCCCCCCTCTCCATCAGATTCTTCACTGCAAAGAACGACGCCAGCAGTGGGCCCTTGTTGTCCGATACTCCTCGTCCGTAAAGGTACCCGTCCCTCCCGCACAGAGTGAAGGGGTCCGAGTCCCAGTTTGATGGCTCCGCAAAGGCGACATCGTAGTGTCCATAGATCAAGATGCTCTCCTTCCCGCCCCCTGCCTCCTCCTCCTCCTCCTTCATCTTCTGCTCCTCTTGCCTCGCTGCCTTCACGTTGCATGCAAACTTGGCGAGCACGCATGGCAGACGCGGATGTTTGCCAGAGGGAGCAACGAGCTTGACCTGTGCTCCGAGAAACTCCAGCGTGGTGGCGGCGAACCTTGCGGCGTGCCAGCAGTCCTCCTGCAAGTATCGACTGGAGCTGATGGAAGGGAGGGAGATAAAGTCCCGCAGGAGGTTGTAGAACGTGAGCTCATCATCGTCCACGTCACCCGCGTGAAATCGAAACTTCTTGCGCGCTGACAGGGTTCCTGCTCCTGCTCCTGCTCCTGCTCCTGCTCCTGCTCCTGCTCCTGTTCCTGCGCCTATTTCCTTATCTTCTTCTCTTGGCCTCACCGCGTCTTCGCTCTCCTTGTCTGCATTCTTCCGCTTGCCTCCCACCCCGATGCCCAGAGCCTCCAGCACCTCCTGCGGCAGCTTGGAAGCATCTTGTGGGATAGCAGGAGCCTCTCCCTGCTCCTGCTCCTTCCTTGACACGAGCGAGCTGCCTCTCTGCTCCTTCCTTGCCCGCCTCAGGTCTGGGACGTTCCAGGAGACGATCCGCCCTGCGTCTGTGCCGCACATGATGACCGAGAGCGTCTCCTCTACCGACACGCAGTGCACGGGACCCCCGCCAGCCGAGAGCGTCTGTCCCACCCCATCAGAACAGACAAGAGGAGCAGCAGCTTCCCACACCTGCAGCACTCCGTAGCTCGAGCGGTCGATGATTTGGAGGAAACCGCTGGCATAGCCAGCGAGGAGGACGGAGGGAGTGACGGCGAGGGCGAGCACGTCGCTCTTGCCGGGGAGCGTTCGCTTGCAGGCCAGCAGGTCGAGATCCCAAACCCTGCGAGGAGGTCAGGGGCGACGACACTCTGCGCTCATACCTGATCGCCCCGTCCGTCGCTCCTGTGAACAAGGAGGAGGAGGAAGAGTCGGCCACTATCGCCATCACTGCTCCTCGATGCCCCGCAAGCGTCTTGATGAACCGCAACGTCGACTTGTGCCAGAGCTTCACCCGCCCGTCGCCTCCACCGCTGCAGATGAAGTCGCCGCAGGAGACAACACCGAAGACGAAGCCGCAGTGCGAGGAGACTCTTGTGACGCTCGACTCACAATGCGACTGACAGACTTCGAGCGAAGAATGGGGCTGCTTCCTCCCGTCGCTCTTGCTGCACTGCTGCTCAATTCTGCAGTGACGGATGGTCCTCAGACAAGCTCCGGCTTCTTTCATCTGCTCTTCCTTCAGACCCTGCGAGGCATCCCTGAATTTTATCCTCTCCTCCTCCTCCTCCTCCTCGCTCATCTCCCTCAGCAAGAATTGCAGTACGTCTCCCCTTCTCTGCCGCGTTGACTCTCCTCCTTCCTTCTCCTCTCCTCCTTCCCGCTGCCCCTCCCTCAGCGGGCATCTGTCTCTCAGGTCGAACGTCGCGCACCTCACGGTCGCGTCCTGCGAACCAAGAAGGAGGAGGCCGTCGGAAGTCACTGCGAGCGAGAGGATGTGACCTACCGACGGGCAGCGGATCTTGCAGCGGATGCTGATGCCATGCGCAGGTTGAGAGGCATCCCAGACCAGGAGGCTGTTGTTGGACACGGAGCTGAGCAGCCAGGGCCCTGTCTCTGCGAGACAGAGAGCGAGGATGCATCCGTTCTGCGGACTAGTACGGCTGAGAAACTGCCAAGTCTCGACATCGTAGACGCTGATGGCGCCTGTCTCGCCCCCGTCGCTTGAGAACGCAAACTTGTTCTTCATGCAGACGGCAATGACTGAGCACTTGCTGCCGGAGTTGAGGACATGGATGGGATACCTCGCGGGCGTCTGCGGGCTCGGGCGCTCGTTTGGTCGGCTCATGTAGCTCTTTGCCCACGTCTGGTTCATCAGCGCAGCTTCGCGTCCTGCAGACCTCGGGCTGAACTCCATCTGCATGCTCTTCGCTCCATCCTGTTGGCTCCCAGGGTCAACACGGTCGCCGTCTTCTCGGGAGTCAACGGAGGAGTTGAGGGATAGGTCCTTCGCTCTCCTCGTGTTGAGGGGAACCTTCCTGGAGTTGGAGGTGGAAGGTGACGACGATGACGTCACAGCGTGCAGGCCTGCCATGAAGCTCGACCTCGGGTTGCAGCCGCAACCAGGAGGACAACCTTTGCCGTGCGCCTCCCCCATGCCGCCGCGGAGACTCTCAATCTTCATGACGTTCTTCATGTGATCCAAGAAGCTGATCGTCTTCCCTGGCGACGTCACCTCCTGCATTCCCGGTGCCTTGAACGAGTCGTCAATCTGAACTTGCAGGCCTGTGAACGGCTTCTCCGAGACAGGCTCCATCGTCTTGAGCTCCCCCAGCTCCGCCTCGCCCCCCAAGCTGCGAGAGCGATCGAAGAGGTTGTTCACTTTGATGGGCAGGTGAGTCATGATCTCAATCGTCCTCCTCGACGCGTCCGACACCTCAAAGCCCAGGTCGTTGTACGTCCGCGGGGTAAGGAAAGCGTTCTCCAAGCCGCTCGTCCGACCAGAGAATCCAAGGGAAGGAGGCATGTCAAGAGAGGCATTGGGGCTCCGAGGTGTCCCGCTGGGAGAGCGGGAGAGGACAGGAAGGCTTCCGTTGCTCTGGCGAGGCATGCCAGCTCTGTCATGGCCGAACTGCTCCAGCACCTCGTTGAGTTCGCTCGCCGCGTACTTTATCGACGTGTTGGCCTCTCCCTCCAGCATCACGGGAGCTAGCAGCACCTGCCGTAGAGGCGTGACGAGGACGATGTGATTCTTGGGCACGGGGATCCAATCGGCTCGCACGTTGGTCAAGGGCTCGGAGGTGATGATGACAACATCATCCCTTCGGTCCTCGTGCACCATCCTGTACTCCCTCAACGGCTCTTGCATCACCGCAGGGCACTTCTTCCCCTCCGGCATGTCGGGAGCTTCTGCAGGAGTCAGGGAAGGCTCGAAGCTCGTGCCGGAGGAGAAGTAGAGAGAGGCCGCAGGCACATTCTTGGTCCGGTTGATCACGTAGCGCGTCGCTGCCAGCGAGTTACCATCCGTCACCACGAAGTTGAGGAGGGAGGTTTCGTTGACGTTGTGCCTCTCCAGAGCATCGCTGAGGGATTGGATCACCTTGGTCAGCTTCATCTTCATGTGCTGAGGGGAGATGGCGGCGTGCGGGTCGTCCAACTGATCGATAAAGAGTGCGAACGCAAGGGCGGAGTCGGAGGCGCTGTTGGCGATGCAGAAGTCATACGCGCACTGGCTCAGCGTGTCCATGAGCTCCCTCCGGATCTTCTTGAACCCTGCGACCTGCCCGTTGTGCATGAAGAGGAACCGCCCGTACTCGAAGGGATGGCAGGAGCAATGGCACACCCCCATGCCGGGACCGGCCGCGCGCACGTGGGCGAAGATGACGGAGGAGCGGACCTTGCAAGCGAGACGGTGGAGGTTGCGGTTGTGCCATGCTGGTCCGACCTCAGTGAACACGCAGGGGGTCACGTCCTCGGAGTCGTCCTGGGAGTACCATCCCAGCCCGAACCCATCGGCATTGAGGTTGCCGAGGTCGTACACCTGTCCCCCAGACCCTCCCAGTCGCTCCCTCGCGTCAAAGGATTGTCTGATGACGCTCCTCGTGGGTCGCGTCACCACATCTGCAGCAAGTGTACTGTGGCCGAAGTATGCCGTTAGCCTGCACATCTCAACTCCGGGGAGTCGAAGGAGCTGACTGCTTCCCCCCTGCTGTGACTGCTTTTCCCCTGTTTTCTTTATCAGGCCCCCACCCCTCTCACTGTTTGTCCTGAAACTCCTCGTCACTTCTATCTCTTGACCTCCCCTGTCAACTTCATCATCTTGTTGTATTCACTTGCTCCTCCTCTCCTCCTCCTCTGCTGCTTCCCACCCCCTTCTCTCTCTTCCACCATTCTCTACTGCCACCCCCTTCGTTCCGCCCCCAGTTTCGCCCTCATCCCCGCACTGACACCATGCATTCTCAGCATGTCACTGAGCGTGTTTCACCGGGCCGAGCGGCCCGGACAATCTAAACGCCATTGACAATTGTGCCTTTAAATTCAAATTCCTCTTTTTGCTTATAAATATTTAATTTTCAATAGAATAGTTTCAAATTTTCCTCGTCGAGGCTTGTAAGAATTCCTTGGGTCATACCCCACCCTTGAAACCCTGGAGAAATGTAAGGGTGGTCATGAGAGGCCGCACCCTCTCAGCGGGTGGGGCGAGAGTTCTTTAGGCAATAATATAAAAGTATTTAAAGTTACCCCTCATCACCCCCTCAAACACTAATTGACTACCCACCATCTGGCTCCATACCCCCTCGCTAATTACCCCCTCTATTAAATTGCCTATTGCTCGCTTCCTACCACCCCCATGTCGATTACCCTCTTTATGGCTAAATAAAATGTGATAAAACTACCGGTAGTGTCTGAGATAGGCTGCCGTTCCATCGAACTGGATCAGTGAAGGCCTCGCATGCGCGTCCTTCTCCTCCTCCTCCTCGTTGCTCGCGAGGCCTCCGCCTTCGCTCCGACCCCACTCACATTCACCTCCTCTGCATCAACTAGGCTCTCTCTCCGTCAGCCAGCCTTGTCCGCGAGCCCCTCCCTGCTCGCAAGGAGTAAAAGATGCGTGATCCTCCCAAAGATGTCGGTGAGTGAGAACAAGGCAGTTTGCGCCCAATCTCTTGCAAGATCTCAATCAACTTGTTCTCATTTATACACTGTCTTCATTTGAAAACAGTTTCCACCAAAAATCTCTGGGCTATCCTGTTGAGCTCATGATCTATTCAGGCTGACAACGACCTCGCCATGTTCTCCGGATTGGAGCAGCTCAAGTTTGACGATGAGGGGACCGATCGGGAGAACCTTTCTGTGGAAGGCTTGAAGGCGACCAAGGTGCATGATCCTTGCGATGCTGGCAGCTTGCAGAAGCTACTGCCTCCCGCTTACGAACATAATCTATGACTCCAGGTGACCGACAGTGAGCCGGCATTTGCGATTTTCGGGAACGACATGTCCAGTGGGGTTCAGAAGGTCGGTGTTCGTGTGCTGAAGAGAAAGTTCAGCATGTTCGTTGGGTAAGAATGCTACTATGTCTCTGCCATGAATCAATCTGGTCCAGGATTTTGTCTCAACCTCGTTCACCCTCCAAGCCTTGCTGGGCAGACACTTTGCGCACTCCCGCCGTGATGTTGGGCAAGGGCGGCAGGTCCGCAGCGAGTATTCCTTTACTCGTCATTTGACAATGCTCTTCATCAGCGTCTACCGAACAGGAAGGGTGGGAACCAAGCTGAGTGAATACCTCGGCCCTGAAATCAAGTCCCAGTTGGTGAGTAGAAACAAGGCACGACAAGATCTCTGACGCGTGCTGGTTCAGGGAAATGCCTATCCTCCTAAGTTTCAAGAGGGCGACGTCATCCACATGGAGCTTGATAGGGACAATCAGGTCAGATGAGACTGAGAAATTTGCTCCGTTGAAGCTTCGACAGGTGTTCAAGTGCTGGGTTAACAACGGAAAGCCTTTCGTGGTGAATGGAGTGGCAAAGAACTCCAAGTTCTTTGTCAACATGGAGGTTAATTGCTTGGGATTCATGACTGTCTTGCGTTGACTTTGTAACAGGGTAAGGAATCAGCTGTTGAACTGGTCAAGCTGGATTAAGGCAGATTCCGACCATATGCTCGAAATTGCATGTTTTAACAGGATACATTACATTATGGCAAAAATGAAATCGACTTTCAAGTAATTGGATACCATATGATTGCTCAATTTTCAAACTTTTCTTCTCATCGGTATGATGTACAGGCCGCAATTGAAGAACTTTATGAGCCGTATCCAATGGCAGAGGTAGCGCGTTGCTCATCACCTGCTTCATCTGAAGCAATATGAACATACCTGTGGCAATCAACCTTGAGCCGTAACCATGACATCGCACAAACAAGTACCACAGAGAAATAGCTTTCATCAGCTCAGGCTTGTCGATGACACCATCTCCAATGACATCAGCATGATCCAAGACCCACTTTACCTCTTCGTCTCTGAAATCGAGTCATTCATATCGAACAAAGACGAGGGGGAAATCAATTCACGTCGGCATGATGTTGTCATTCAGCTCCATCAAAAGCGTCTTGAGTTGATCCCGGTTGAGTGAACCATCCCTACACTGAAATTCAATTGGGCGAAACAATCAAAGTACAACCGCGCTCACTTGTCCACATCGTGCTTCTCGAAAACTTCATCAATCACATCTCTGCTCTTTGAACGCTACAGTCAGATGCTCATGATTGTAGTATGTGATAGCTACTTCATTGTACGAGAGCCATGCCTCGGCTGCAGTAGTGAAATATTCCGGTCTGGAGGTATGTCAGCCTTGAGCGTTCTATGGGCTGGTGACTCACTCAAGCGACAGGAGCGTGTAATCTTGTTTCTTGCTAGCAGCAGCCATAGACATTACCCACTTGACCTGAAATAGCCAACTTCACTTCAAATTCAAATCGTAGGGAGGATGGCAGAATCACCTCATGGTCAGAGACATCTCGTCCTTTGGAGATAGATGACAACCACTGGCGAAGCTCGTCGTAGCTCAACGACCCTTGAAGCAAATCAGTGAATCGCGAGGTATCAAAGTCATGCAACCAGTTCCACTCTTGTTCCAGTTCAGCAAGACTTCTTTGACGAACTATTGAATGAAATTCAGCGAATTCCCATGTCACGATAACAAGCCATACTTGTTTGTGCTCTTGCTTACGGTCCACCAATTCTCGTTTCTTAGCCTTGAATCCGGTATCAACAACCAAAAATTGCAAGAGGCATAAAAGTTACAGATGATTTCTTCACAAGTGGATTGGTTTCGTGCAGTCCGAGGCTTGCAAACATGTGATTCACATCTCGATGGTTTGCCTGAATTCGCATGTCAACGTGTCGATAGACAAACACACAGAGCACACCTCATCAGCTCTGACCACAAGGAACAAATCTCGCATGGTAGCATCGGGTTTCATGTGCCAATAGTCAATCGCTATTTGTGGCGCACGCTGCCCGTAAAAGTACGTCATTAGGTCATGAAAACCAAGAGAAGCACTATACAGCATTTCGGAATGACGAAAGCCTCCCATCATCAATGGCATTGAGAATATCTGTGTACGTCTTAACAGCTTCTTCTTCGAGGTATCCGACGAATCTATGGCAAATCTTGGGATAGATCAGGTACGTGACGAAGAATAAGTTCATGAAGACTCCTTGTGTTCCAAGAACAGCCCATCGGAAAATCGGGCCAGGCTTCTTGATAGTGACAAAGGTAAGCAGGTGCATCCGCTCGTTCTCAGCTTCCTCCAGCAGTGTGTGAATCCAGCCATGATCGCGAGTCATTGTCCTCAGAGACCTCAGATGGCGAAGCATCCCTCCTACCATCCCAGGTACTCCAGCCACTGTTTCAAGGAAGATTGCACGATTGATGACCTTCGATTCAGTCAATTGTCCGATTTTATAGCCAGACAGTGTATCAAACATCCATCTAGCCGTTTGAACAGCACGATACGCGATCGAATCTGCCGTGTCTTTCGGATCCACGTGGGTTTTCTGAACAGCGTAGATCTCCTCCTCGGACCACACCTTGCAAATAACAAGTCAAAACGCAACCAATCAGGATAAGAAAGTTCTTGTTGGACTTACGGAATGCTGGAATGGATTGTCCCAGACATCCTTCTCTCCCGTGCTTACTTTCTTCACACCCAGTGAATGTCTGTTGGGAGTGACTTTGAAATGCACCTAGGACACGAGTTACAAGGGTTTCAAAGAGGAGAATGGCGATGAAAGGATACCATGTCATGAATGATTTCTGGACGAGGTGGAAGAGGGTTAGGCCCATGAACTTCCCGGACTTGAAGGGGACAACGCTTGTTCGCATGTTTGTTTCGTGGCGCGTTCAATACCGATCTCCCGCCCATATGTGTTGCAGCCATGGCGAAAACAGGGACGTGGATGGAGCGAGAAGCAGAGGCAATCCACATGCATGCACTGGAAGAAGGAGAAGCTGACGCACTAGCCTTCCGCAACGCATTGAGCGCGGCTACTCCCTTTTGAGGGCGACGCAGCAGCATTGCGAATGAGGGGATGAGATGGGGGTAATCCACGAGGAAAGGAAGGGGTACAAGAAAGGAGGGTCGTAACACCTTAGAGGGGCCGTAGTGGGGTAGGGTCAGTGGTGGTGGGGTGGCACCACCTGTGGTATGTCCACAGCAGTTAAAATGGGGGGTAGTTGAAGGTATAATGTAGGGTGTGATTCAAGATGGGTGGGAGAAGTCCAGGTGGGGTAATAATTTGTGAAGGGGTGTAATGGCCTGCAAGCCACATTGGGGGTGGGGTGGAAGTTTCGAGGGTAGACGAAGGCATACGAGAGTGAGGGGTGGGGGGGGGGGGTGGGGCGGTACATTACACTGACAATGTCAGGGGTACTTGATTGTGTGGAGGAGGAGGACGAGGAGGTGGGGGTAGTATGTATGAGGGGTAGGGTTCTGTTCAGTAGTGAAACGACGAGTTTTCGGATAAGCGCTCACCGTCACCCTTCACTCAACGGCCGCCTCTGACTCCGGGGGCTCCCGAGGCCCGGGTCCCGGGGGCACACTGCCCGGCCGAGTCCGACCCCGGGTGCCGGCTGAGTGACTAAGTTAGGCAACTGGGCCGCGGCCCGGTCGGTGGGTCACTAAAGTTTCCGAGTTTCAGTCGGACTCGCGGGGCCCGGCCGCCCGACTCCCCGGCAGTCCGTGGCCGCGCCACTCAGCCTTCACGGTGCGGCAGCCTTCAGTGACCGTGACTGAGTCGCCAGAGGCCGAAGTTCAGTAGTCAGAGTCGGAAGTTACAAGTTACTAATACCGTTAGGCGACCGTGGGCCGCCCGGTGGGTCACTAAAGTTTCCGAGTTTCAGTCGGACTGTGCCATGTGACCATCACAGTCTTTACTCAAAATTAAGTTAAAAATCAGTACGCGTGACTCCCGGAGAGTAGCAGTCGAGTCCGTCGCTCGGCGCCCCCTGCGGCGGCTCGTGGCCTTCGGAACTGGTGGGGGTGCCAGAAATTAACTCGTGGGTAAAATCAAGTTTTAAAGATGAAAGGGTTAGTACCAGGCAGGTACAAGTTCTTTCTTTACAATTGAGAAGTAAAGTCACCCTGCGGCCGGCGCTTTTTGGTTTTCAAATATTGGGGTTTCATTCCGGTACATCCATAAAATATCTTTGAAAAATTTAGAATTTACAATGATTCAAAGGAAGGTTCGAAATGTAACCGCGGCTTGCAAACACGCGCCCTGCTTGTCGTCGGTCTGAGCAAGAAGTAGCCGGAAGTTGATTTCGACATATTATTATTATTACTATTATTATTGTATAATATTAGTACCAGTATACATTATATGGACAACCCCTACCCCTGCTTCCCCTCTGATGACCCACCCCTACTCCTTGTGCCCTTTTGCTCCTTCTATGGACCCCTTTTCCCACAAATAGGAACACATTACCACCGGTGTATTAGTATTCCACTGGGGGGGGGTGGGGTAGGAACGAGAACAATCCAAAATCACGCCACTTTGGTACCCCTGCTCCACTCCCTTGCACCCCAGCCCCTTGCGCTTCCGCTGTCCCCCTCTCCCCCCGTCCTCCCGTCCTCCCGTCCTCGCCTCATTCTCGCTCCCTTTCGTGCTCGACTCTTCTAACTTCATAGACTTCTTGGTATCCATCATATGCTTGACTTGAAGATGGAGCATATCAAAGAAAAGGAAACAGATCTGAATATCTTGGAACCCTTTCATGGGCTTGCTACTACGGTTGATAGCTGCGCAAAGTTCTCTTTGAACTTCATTGTAGAATCTTTGGACAAGCTAAAAGTTGAAGTCGGACAAAATAGCAGTCTCCTTGCCGACACCTTTAATCAGATGTCTTCTATTCCCGAGAACAATACAGTTCTCGAATCTGATGCCATGAGCACTGATTCGCATGATTGGGACAGCATCAGCATGCGGTTTCGTGATAGGAATAATTCCTTGACAAATTCATTTCATTCCACGGGGAAAGACAGCCGGTCCTCTGCAGGAAAGCATTCGTCAGGAAAGAGAAGCAACCATAACTCTCGTGCGAGCAGCGTAGCTGGCAGGAGCAGCCACAGCAGCAGCGGATCATCGTGCAGCTCCTCGCCGACCTCACAGGTTGCTGATTTCGAGCGGTTGCGATCAGAGATGGTAAACGAGACAACCATGCAAGCGCTCAAGGCGAGATGCTGCGAAGCCACGAAGCGGGGGACACAGAAGCTGAGGAAATCGGACGACGCCGATTGGAGGTCGCAGGTTGCACACGTTCGAAGGGGTTGCGGAGGGCAGACGATCCAGGGAGTGAACGTGAAGACAGGCCAGCTCTTAGAATGAAACAAGTATTCGTGATTGCTCGAGAGGGTGGTGTGAATAAACTTGTACTTGCTCCAGAGTCTTACTCCTTCTCCTCCTCCTTCTCCCCCTCCCCTCCCCTCCTTCCTTGGTCATGTCGGAACCACTGACGACAGCCTGACCTCCTTGCTGACAACAAACCCCTGCTCCGCAAGTCAACCAGGAAGGGGAGGAAGAGAAGAAGTTTGATACCCTGGTCACGTTCTGCCATTCTTTCGGCCTCTTGCGGAAGGACCTCCAGGCACCGTAGAAGGGCAGGACCGAGAAGATGGCAGCAAGAAGCGACAGGTACCACCCCACGCTGAGGTAATGGCTAGTTGCATACCTGAGATGAAGTTGCAACAGCGTTCAGAAACCTCTCAGTCTCTTTTTCTAATTTTTGTTTTTCTCTTTTTCCCACCTGTGTGTCCCTCCCTCCCTTCCACTTCTTGCCTCCCTCGTCTACTCTCGTCTACCCCTCGTGTCATCCTCCCCCTCCCCGTCCCCTTCCCCCTCCTCCTCCCCCTCCAACTGCTCTCCTTTCTCTTACCTCATGGTGTCTCCAAATATCTTCACGTAGATTCCATATAGCATGGCCGGGACTGCAAGCACGAGGGCGGTCGCCACACAAGATGCCAGCACAAACTTCTCCTGCTGCCATGCGTCTTCCACGTTCGCCTCGTCGCTAGCTCGGATGGTTCGCCAGATGATCCAGAAGTTGTGGAGCTGCAGCGCGAACGCGAGGACATGGAGGGCGACGATGATTGAGGTGACGGGGCAGAGGACGACGAAGAGCTCTAGCAGACCTCGCATGGGGAGCGTCGACATGTACTCGCGCACTGTTCCGGTGTAGGGGAACATCTTGTCCAAGACCCGATCGAGGAAGAGCGAGCATGCTCCACCAGCGCAGGTCCATGGCGGGTTGTATCCTGCCCTATACGCTGCGCTCCCTTCCATCCCCGAGACTTGAAGAAGCTTCTTGAGCCCGCAGGAGAGGTTGCTACCGTATTGGACTCTCCGGCTTGGAAGGAAAAAGTTGCGGTCGACACATGCGTCGATGCAGGCTGAGCAGTTCCCGTTCACAGCACATTGACACTGCAGCACCTTCTTCTTCATGCCCGGGTTGCTTGCTGGAAAGTCTTGCATGCTGTTTGTGGGCTCTTCCAGTGTCACCATGCTGTCTTTGTAGTCGCCAACTAAAATCTTGTTGTCACACTGTAAGAGACGAGAAGTCAGTCAGACAACGAGTAGCCGGACACGAAGGGAGGAGGGAGGAGGGAGGAGGGAGGAGGGAGGAGGGAAGAGCGAGAATAGCCATCGACAGGGAAAGTGAAGATGAGGGGGGGGGGTGGGGGGGGGGGCGGGAGGGGGCGCAGTGATCCTGCAAGCTTCCCAAGACCTGGTCGAGCATGACGGCTTTGAAACGAGACTTTTGCGACAGAGCTGAGGCATCCGTGACTGTTTCTTGCATGACTGCTTGAACGATCTCTCGGAAGATGTAAGTCTGTTGAACATCGCATCAATTTGCCACCCAACACAACCTTGCTCTACTTGATTCAGGATGCACATGGTGTCGTAAATCGCCGACATCCCCGACGTCCCTCCATGCACGTGAAAGTTTGAGGTTTTTTCCTTTGGCCAAGACAACAAACGTGAGCCGTCTCTCCGATCATGCAGCCCATTCTCTCAGCTCACCAGCACCAGGGAGGAGGAGTTGTGTGGGTACGAGCAGGACGGGCAGGTTTGATCCAGGGGGCAGCTGTCTCCTTGGATTCCAGTCCCAATCCTGTTGCAAGCAGCTCAGGCTGCAGCAGGAGACAGGCGCAGCTGTAAATTCCTGGTGACGCAGGTGGGATGAAAGGGCGAGTTGGTCGCTCTGTTCTTCCTTACCGCTATCGCTGGGCCTGCCAGACTTTCTTCACAAAATTCGTCAGCCAACTTCCTCCGCCCACCTGGAGCGCAACCCGCCCCGAGCTCGGCCTTGCCATCTGTGCCAGAGGAGGAAGTTTAGATCATGGCAAGACGAACCGAAGAGGAGGGGAGGAGATTGTGAGTTAGAATCACTGGTGGGACGCGAGGGAGGGGATGGGGTGGAAAGGGGAGGAGAGGGGAGAGGAAAGCAGGAGGATGGACAAGAATTCAAGGCTTGCCTGGTCGACATTTGACTTGACAGCCGTACTCCTTGACCTGATAATCAAAGGTAGAAAGCAGCCACTTGGCTAGAACCCGGCACTGTCAAATAGTTCTGTTATTCCTCTTCCTCCTCCCTTGCCTGCTCCTCCCTCTGTTCCCCCTCTGTCCGCTGCCTACCTGAGGAGGCTGCGGAGGACTGAGAGGGTCGAGGTTGAGCGGGATGTCGTATCCCTTCTTGTTCCAGAAGTCGATGGTCCCGACGCAGTGAAACCCCGGCTGGGCTTTCTTGACTCCACGGTAGTCGTAGAAGGGTAGCTCGTTCCTTGTCTCCGTGAAGATGCTTGCGCAGTTTCAGCCCTCCTGTCTCCCGCAAGAGCTCTCGACGCACCTGTGGCAGCGCTCCGATGCAGCATCGGGGGCCAAGGTGACGTCGATGAGGAAGTTGAGGGTAGCGGATCCCAGGAAGGAGTGGAAGCTCACGTTCACGCAGTGATTCGACTGCGCCCTCTCACTTTCCGGCAGCCCTGCACCAGCCGCTTGCAAGTCAGCCGGCGTCAGGAGCCAGTAGAACTCACCTGGGACAAGCTGGCGGGCGAAGAGGGAGAATTCCACTATGTCAACCTGCGTGCGCTGAACACACTTGGCCTCCTTGGACTTCGGAGTGAGGAGGAGCCAGTCGGTCTTGATCGTGGAGCTGACACAGTCGTCCCCAGTCTGCTTCACGTAGTTTTCGTCCATGAGGTTGAAGATACAGCTCTGCAGTTTGATAGGATCTCTCATCAACTGGTTGTTCGTTGCTATCCACTGCGCCGAGCCCAGACAAGTCGCTCGATTGCCTACCGCGCACTTGGACTGCAGGGTCTTGACCGCAGACTCCAGGCAGCTGCTACTGCGATCAGCTAGGATGGCGCGCATCATCTCGGCATCATTGCGGTAGTAGGAGCCGAAGAAGACCTGGTTGACGTCCTTGAGAGCGAGACTGAGCTCGCTGAACTCTAGCACGTTGTTGGCGTTGGCGTCGAAGAAGTCAAAGACTTTGCGGACCCGCTCCAAGTGGTTGCCGGTGAAAGAGGTGAACTCCAGCCATGCGAGGAAAGGCGAGGCAACAGTGAAGGCGATGAGCACGAGCTGCGTGATCGCCGTGACCCTGTGGAACACTGTCCCGTTGTGCCACAGTGCGCAGATGAAGCATCGCAAGCAGCCGCACCAGAGCTCGCGATATTCCTTGCGCCTCGGCATGTGTACGTCAAGACAAGCTCATGTTTCTAGCTGACTGTTATGTCCTCGCGGAAGAAAACAAACCATACGACACGAAACGTGCTGCCGGTGACCATCGCGACTTTGTTTCTACTCAAGAGTGTCCCATGGATGACAACTTCTTCCTCCTCCTCCCTGCTTCTCCTTCTGCTCCTCTCTTCGTGTCCTCCTTCTCCTCGCTTATTCTCGCACCCGAGCTCTTCTCATCGTCGTTGCCTCATCCATCTTGACATGTACAGTGCGTTTCGTTTTTCTTCTTTAGCTAATTGGATTTCAAAAGAATCAGCCGCCGCATCATGCTCAGATCCGATCCGATCACCGATCGCCGGCCCGGCGCCGCACCGCGGCGCAGCGGCCGGGCCGGGCGGGACTTCAGCCACTCACCGTTTCAGTACTGACCGTCGGACGGTCACCATGGCGCTGAGTGACTGAAGCCTCTAGACTCTTCGAGCATGGCAGGGTTCAGAGATCTCACGAGTCTTCATGCATGACCTTCATATCTTCGGAAGACTCAGATGATGAAGACGCCCAGAAAGAAGGGAAATTTAAGCATTCTTTCAGGCTTCAGGCGCCACTGATAACTTATTTGACTGCCAGGTGACACTCGGTATCAGCGGCGAACAGACACAGAAATATTGTTGATCAAGTTGGCAAATGTGCCCGGCAATGACAATGAGAGTCAGTCAAGGGATGGTGTTTGAAAACAGTTTTTACTGTGTGAGGTGAGACTCTCTTTACTCAAAGTTAGGTTAAAAATCAGTACTAGGACAGTGAGACGGAGTTACAAATGAATAAATGACATCTAATGATTCCAATTGGACGATGCGCGGAGATTCCGCAAGAGTACATCCATACAAAGAGAGCCATCCATGAGAAAGCTGAAGTCTGTGCCCCCCCCCTCCTCTTCCAGGTTACTTGAATCTTGGTGATCTTTCTCTATCCCAAAGTGCTCAGACGTTGAGGTGAGTGATGCTAGCGTGCTTGCCATCGAGTCCATATCCGATTGACCTTCGATCTCTGTGTATTCGTCCTCTGAGCTGTTCGATGGATTTTGCACCAAAGCAGCATACCTAGTTTCCCCATGGATGATATTTTCAGCCGTCTCTTGCTGTTCCTGGAAGACCATTGGCACTTTTTTCCTGCGTATGCGTGAGCGGCCCTTTGTGCATGGACGCCTGTAAGGCCATCGATCTAAACCGAGCTTGCGACATAGCTGTTTCATGGCGGTCAAGGATATGCCCAAAATCTTACAAGCCTCGACCTGCGGGATGGTGTACATGGATTCAATGACCGACATGTCGATTGTGAGAGGAGGACGCCCTTTCTTAGGCAACTCGACTTCTCCCTGCTTTCTGCGCGGAAACAAAGAGATCTGACGGTCGTTGGCTTCATCCGGAAGGTCATTTCTTGGATTCTCGATCCGATGCTGTATGATTGCGCGTGGAAAGTTTGACAGTTGGAAAGTGGTGCTCATGCGATGAAGACAATGACGCAAAGAACAAGATCAATGTGCGATGGAAGGGCACGGGACGAGTGAAGGAGGAACTAGAGCGATGGCGAGACTAGTTGAGGCAAGTAATTCTTTTGTATGCACAATGGGGGTGAGAGAAGGCAAAGTACCGGTGTCAAGATTTTCGTCAACAGAGAAGGGGGGTAGCATTGATGAATGTGTATTTGTATTGGAGTTTCACTATAAGGAATGGAAAGCTTGCCTGCTCGCCCTAATTCTTCAGCTTTTCAAAGGCTATTTGTCTGGTGGGGTACTCTGTCTTCTACAAGGACTGGGTAGGGTGGGAGGTGGGGGCATAAAGGAAATTATCATTTTTAAAATCGAGGTGGGGTCCATGGGGCGGTATGTAGATGAGGGTAGGGTAGTGGGGGTCCCGTTTCGCCCATTCGTTGGTTACCGGTGGTTCGGAGTTGAAAGCCGGCTAGGGGACGGGGGTGGAGCAGAGGGGGGTGCAATACTGTTAAGGGAGCTATTCAGAAAAGGGGGTCCTTAGATACGAGTCGATGGGGTGTAAAACTAAATTTGGTCCCCTAGCCTAGAGTGGCTACGAAGCGATGTATGTTTTAAGGCCTGACGACATAATTTGATCTCTTTAAAATGCTCGGATCGCAATCTCTAGCCGCAACAGTCGCGATCCTAATAGAAGATGACAGTCTCTCTCATCACCTGAGTCCGTGGACATCAGCTGTCATGATCTGGCACGCATTCGGCATGGCCGTAGCAATTGGCCCGCCGGGGGCCGGCCCGGGACACCGTGACAGGCCGCAAGTTGAACTTCCGCCTTCAGTTCCGATCGCCGAAGTTCCCGGAGTCCGGGCCCGGGCCGGGGACTTCAACTTCCGAGTTCGCCGCCGGCGCGGCGGGCCGGGTCCGAGCCCGACCCGGTGCCGGACTCCCAGGCTCGCCCGGCCGACCGTCGGACGGTCGGCACCGTCCGGTCTCAGACTGGGCCGGCGGCCGGGCAGTGGCGGCCGGGGCCCCCGGCAGCCGAGCTCGGAGTACCCGGCCGTACGGTAGTACCCGGCCGGTACGCCGCCGAGTACCGGGTACGCCGATAGCCGGCCCGGTTGAACTCCTTTACTCAAAGGTAACGTAGTAAACTGTTCAGTACGAGGACACTACTCAGTGACTACCGGGCCGTAGTACAGTGAGTAAACCCTAACTGTGACGTGACTTAAACCGTGGCCGCGGCCTAACTTGAGGGCCGGCGGCGGCCCGGCCGCCCGGCGGCCCGGGGGCCGCCATACTAAGTTGAACCCGGGATCGGACCGGCCGCCGAAGCCCAGTACGGTAGGTTCGGAGCTTTCCAACTACGGCCACTGATGTTATCCGACGCACTGTACTACCGTACGGTAGGCCGGGAAGACTCAGTCGGGAAACTTCCGAAAGGTCTCTGCGACTTTGACCACAGCGGCCTGACTCAGTGAGGGAAGGGAAGGTGGTGCCACGGTGCGCAAAGCCTTCAGAGCCATCGCCAAGGGGTCCCCCTGAGAAACTCCCGTGGTGGCCGAAAAAGCCCGAGTCTCTCCGAGCGCCTGATCATCACGGTTTCAGAAATACCTTACCGGCCTTTACTCAAAGTTAAGTTAAAGATCAGTACGAGGACAATCAGGAGAGTCGAGGAGGCTTGACCCTGACACTGTCGCACAGGCCAAACGGCGAGAAGAGAAAAGACAGCGAGAACCCAAACTTAACTGATACCTTCACTTAACGGCGCGCAGGACAAGTCCCCCGCGCGGCCATGCCCCGGCCTGGTCACACGGTGCTCAAAGTTGAGTTGAAGTTAAGTTAAAGATCAGTACGAGGACAATCACTGAGCTCCTGATTGTACGGTCCGACCGTACCGTGATTTTTCACTTACCGGGCCGAAGTCGGACCGTCGGACTCTGTGACGGTCAAGCCCGGTTTGACCCCCCCGGCCCGGCGGGCGGTGGCACTGTGACGGCGGTCAGACGGCGTGCCGGGCTCCGACATGACTGCTGAGTGACTAGTTTGCTCCACTTATGGCTGAGTGCGCGACCGTGAGACTCAAGATAGAGGGCTAGTGAAGGGGAGACGGGCAAGACAAGGAAACCACCTCTTTTCGGCTCAAATGAAAGATACACCTTTGTCATCAAACATCTGAAAATGCATCTTCTCGAGGCATAAGCGACACTAGCCCTGCTCCCGTGAGCAGGTCTCCCCTACTGACTCTCTCGTCCTGATCTTATAGAGGCTCACGACGAGAATCACATCCCGCTCGCCACGCCCACACGTTGATCTCCTCTCCCTCATCTTTGCGATCCCATTCTTGTCACTCAGATTCGCCGAGAATACCTGATACACTCATGACCGAAGACAGCTCTGCAACTGTTCAGCTCTTCCCCCGTCGCAAGCTTGGCGACTCCGACATCCCCCAGCGAGGTCGTGCTCCTCTCACCATAGACCTCCCCGTCATCCAGTCTCTCTTCAGCATCCCGCAGGTCGAGGCCTGCAAGGTGCTCGGGGTCTCCTTGACGGCGATGAAGCAGCTTTGCCGGAAGCTGGGGGTCAGCCGCTGGCCCTACACCCGTCCTTGCACCACCGGACGCCGCCGACATAGAGCGAGGAAGTCAAAGCCCGACACCCAGCCTGAGCAAGCCAAGCCCGTGTGCGAGGAAGCGGTGGCAGACTGCCAAGGGAAGCAGGAGCTCGAGTCTGCCAGCTCAACGTCACCTGGCTCGTTGTCGGAGGACGACAGTGCTGTAGAGGACGCGGAGGCGTCAGGGGGTTCTGTAGTCGAGCCGACAGCAGCAGAGGAGGAGGTAACAGAAGGGAGCTGGATGCCGAACACGGGGTGGATCGACTGGTACATGGAGTGTGGAGACGAGGAAGACGTGTCTCAGAGGCTAATATGATTGGATTCTACGGAAAGTATTCCAGATTACGTCCAATGTAGCGGTTTGTTTTTTATTCCTTTTATTCCTTTTGGTTTTAGTAGAAATTCTTCCTGAAGTGTCTGTTGAGCTCAAATCAAGGCTCTTCATGAACTCTGCAGTTGCGTTAGCGAATTGCATCGCAATTTCCCGTTTTGCTAGTCTGCGATCGTCTTCAAACACTTTGACAGCGGAGGCTCATCAGGAACTAAGGTCTCGTTACTCAAAGGCGGTGTGAGGTCGGAGCGTTTGTTCCGAGACGAAGTTGACCCTTTTAACTGTAACAGTTCACGCCGGGGGCTAATGACCCATTGTTTCCGAACAAATGTCTTTTCAATCTCTATACTCTACATGGATATCAGACGATGTGTTTTTTTGAAGAGGTCCCGCCCCAGAAACAGTTTCGAAGTTGCACGGCCCCCCCCCCAAATTGAATCGATGTATGTTTCCTATAAGCCATGGATTACCACACAAAAGGGAGGCCGAAGAAACCCAACGATTCATATCTTAGGCAGGGAATAGGAGGAGAGGTCACCACCAACCCTTAAAATTAAAACCTTAGTTTAGCCCTCCCCGTTCTCTCCAACCAAGAATGCCCCATCCGATCCTCCCATCCACTGTTCAGCTCTTCCCCCGTCGCAAGCTTGGCGACTCCGACATCCCCCAGCGAGGTCGTGCTCCTCTCACCATAGACCTCCCCGTCATCCAGTCTCTCTTCAGCATCCCGCAGGTCGAGGCCTGCAAGGTGCTCGGAGTCTCCTTGACGGCGATGAAGCAGCTTTGCCGGAAGCTGGGGGTCAGCCGCTGGCCCTACACCCGTCCTTGCACCACCGGACGCCGCCGACATAGAGCGAGGAAGTCAAAGCCCGACACCCAGCCTGAGCAAGCCAAGCCCGTGTGCGAGGAAGCGGTGGCAGACTGCCAAGGGAAGCAGGAGCTCGAGTCTGCCAGCTCAACGTCACCTGGCTCGTTGTCGGAGGACGACAGTGCTGTAGAGGACGCGGAGGCGTCAGGATCCGAGCTAGGAGAGCTTTGTGCCCAGGGGGAGGAGGGGTCTGTAGTCGAGCCGACAGCAGCAGAGGAGGAGGTAACAGAAGGGAGCTGGATGCCGAACACGGGGTGGATCGACTGGTACATGGAGTGTGGAGACGAGGAAGACGTGTCTCAGAGGCTATGCTGAGTGCGATGAACGATGAACCAGGCGATACGGAAGTGTTCCTATGTTCTTTTATTTTCAGTATTAGTAGTTGCATCGAGCAAGTTCCTTGATGACTTGAAAGTTTTGATTTTGTTAACTTGTGTAGGGATTTGTGGGCTGGGTGTTCTCTACATTAATCTTGAGAGTATAGTTTTGTAAATATCACATAATCTTTGACTGCACAATGACTTCATTGGCACGCCTTCGTCTGCATTCACTCGATTTCTTCGTGGTTTTCACTCATTCTGGTTTTCACCACTAATTCATAAGTTTGACTGAAAAATCGACGCAGAAGAAGGAATCAATGATTCAAACAATTGGGGGATTGAGTTGGATTCACTTATCAGGTATTTCTGCTCTGCAACCAATGCACAAACGTCTGATGCGAGTTTTCCATGTCTCGTAGAAATTCACGAGTTTGATTCTAAATTTACCGTGAGCAAAGGCGAGTGTCTGGAGAATTTGAAAGGTTCATACCTCATCCAAGACTTCCGTGGCTCTCATTGCGCTGAGAATCTGTATACAGAAGTCATCTCGGGAAACGATTACACTCTACACAAGATGCTCACCTGCAACCAAGACTTGACTTTCATTTTGGGCTCGAAATCAGCCCTGAAAGTATCGTGACGCTCATTTGCAGTCGCATATCACTTGCGATTACGGTAGTTGGGCAATCTTGTTCAATGCGTTGACAACGTCGGCAGTAAGAGGATGAACCTAGGAAAGGATTGAGTTGAAGCTTGAAAACTTCATGTGTATTAGTCACTTGATCCACCGCTGTCATCCCGAGACGCAGAGAATCCATGAGCTGTCGAGACGGAAGATCAGCGACTTCGAGCAGCTGTAGAGCCTAAGAGCTCACCGTGATAAAACCTTGAACTGCTTCTGCCACAAAGAGTGCAATCTTGCTCGAGTCTTCACCGCCGCCGGCTGAGCACGTGGCAGGAACCCCTGAACCTCGTTCAGGAAGTGGGTCGGCATGCGGCAGGGTTGGCCCTCACCTGTTGCGAATCTGTTTGCAGCTCGTGCGGCTTTGAGCTGGTATCTTGCAAGGGCATGACAACATTGAAGGCTCATCCTCTCACCTTACCTTGACATGAACGTGGGGATCGCCATTGCGGGATTCTGTGAACCAAGCTTCTCAGAGGTGATCGGGTGGGAGCCAGAGAAAAAGTCTTTAAGCATAGACACAAGTCAACCTGCATGTCGCTGGGGAGGCACTCTTTGAGTGTAGAGAATCGAGGAAGGAGTTTCTGACATTCCTACATTCCAGATCACGGATGGAGATAATGGTCATCTAGCAAAGACGTCTCTAACCTTCTCATACACATCTGGTGCTATGGTGCCTCGGATGTACTGTGTTTCAAGTTTTTCCATGGTTCTAATGATAGCGTAATAGTCCGCGAAGGATTCCATTTCTTGCCTAACAAGGATTAGATTGTCTAACCCAGAAGGACATCGACAAGCACCTGTTTGAGTCATCTTCTACTTGTAGCTGTTTCTCTAGCTCTTTCTTGATGCTTGGACTTGCTTTGCTTGCAAGCATTCTCGAAGAATCATTCTGCAAAGTTATGTAAAACCATCAAATATCTGATGGTAAAAGAATTGAATCTGCATCTCACTTGAGCATGGGCGCCAACATTGTTTTGAGCCATCTACCACAAATTCATAAGCTTGCATTAGACACGAGTTTGCATACTCGAGCATTAGTAACACTATACGAAGGAGGAGGTGCACGATATGCTGCCATGCTTCTTGATTTCCAAGTTCTACAGCGCGCGATTGGAAGATTTCATGTGTGCGAAATTTTCCTGGAATTCAGTCTTATCAAGAACACATCCTTTCAAGATAGGCAACATAACAGCACTTCCACCCTTTCTCACTCCAACTTTGATTTGAGATTATCCTCTCCTCTTTTCTGAACTCCCTCCCTCCTGTCCCATTCTCTCCGCTTCCCATCATCGCTGCTCCCGCTTCGCTACAGCTGCTGCCATGGGCATTTGTAGCATGTTACAAATGCCCGTCGGACAACTTGAAACTTTCTCCAACAATTTGAAAACTATGGAAGATATTCGACCGGGCCCAGTAAAGGGCCGGGCCTTCGCCAGTGATGCCCTTGTCAGTTATCAGCAAGGTTATGAGTCCTCATAGCTGGGTGGCCCTCCTCCCCCAACAGTCCCTTAAAAAAAACCGAGAACGTGCGTGCGCCGCAAGCCAGCAAGAGGTGATGGCGGATGGAGATGGAGAAGGAGGAGGAGAGGAGGAGGAGATGATGCGACGATCTGATGTTCATGATCTGATGAGCTGAGATTTCATCGTGAACATTGCTGTGATGTGGCTCGGAGACGTTTTCCATATGATCAGAACACAGAGGAGGAAGGACGTGGGGTGGATGTGGGGGAGAGGGAATGCGAAGATCGGGCAACTAATTGCTGCACGTCTTGATGTGGACATGATTGAATCTAATGCTACTTGTGCGTGAAGCATGAAGATGAGAATTATGTGCTTTATATGTTTTGCTGCAGAGCAATGATGTGTTTTTGTATTACAGCGTATTTGATTGTGGAGTTGACCTTGTCTGATATTCTTGTTGAAGTTCGTGTTCGCTTTTGTCTGCCTTGAAGTCTGACGATTATTGCAGCAACTGAACAATGCCCCCCAAAGCTGAGAAGAAGGAGGAAGCCGCCGTGTCCCTCGGACCTCAGAAGAACGACGGAGAGCAGGTCTTCGCCGTCGCTCACATCTTCGCTTCCTTCAACGACACTTTCGTTCACGTTACTGATTTGACCGGACGTGAAACTCTCGTCCGTGTCACTGGAGGCATGAAGGTTAAGGCGGATCGTGACGAGTCCTCCCCGTACGCTGCTATGCTTGCCGCCCAGGATGTTGCCACCCGATGCAAAGAGCTCGGCATCACTGCCTTGCACATCAAGATCCGCGCTACCGGTGGAGTCAAGACCAAGACTCCTGGACCAGGAGCCCAGGCTGCTCTCCGCTCCCTTGCCCGTTCCGGCATGAAGATCGGGCGCATTGAGGACGTTACTCCCGTCCCCACCGATTGCACCCGAAGGAAGGGTGGTCGCCGTGGTCGCCGTTTGTAAGAGAGGAGCGCTCCTCTCGGTCTCGGCTGCGGGATCAGTACTTGTTCAGTCGCGCACGACGGCAGCTCAACAAGAAATTCATGTTGTTTTTCTCCTTCCCTGATGCTCCCTGGCGTGCTATCCGTCCTCTTTATTCTCTAGTAAACGGATTTGGCTGCAATTTCATTGCTGATTCTGGGGACCCCAACCTTACAAGCTTGTAGACAAACTCGTTGTCACTTCCGTTGCACTATTCCACGACTGTGTGAGATTGGTCAACTAACAAAGATACGAATAGACCTGATAGACAGTCCATGCCATCATTACCTGTGCATCTCTTGATTGGACCTGTAAATTGTCGGTACGCTCCCATGAAATGGATTCATGATTCACCTTCTTTGTGATTATCTTCGCAACATCTCTTTCTAAATTTCCATCTTTGTACAGTATGGCAATTTTTTGCATTAAAGATGTCACCTGCCATTCAGTTTGAGTCAAGAAAAAAATTCTCGCTAAAACCTCGGCATCTGTCGGCTTCGAAGGAGACGATTTCTAACCATATCAGCGTCAGATACAACCTCAGCGGGCATCAATTGATTTACCTTTGTTGATGCGGACAGTGAAGATCGTTTTGATTCAGGAGCACGATGATCGGATCGACTGGTTTCAGCTTCAAACTTTTTCTTTGGCAGATTTTGAGGCTTTTCAGTGAATGTGGGCGATGTTTACCTGCTTCTGGAGCTTGACAAGGGTGAATCTTATGAGCAAGTCATTCGCAAGCAGTGGCGCCATCAGTTTGGCAGTGAACTGACCCGTCCTGACCACGTCTGTATGATGGTGTTGCTGGCTCTGTGAAGGCAACTGTCAGCTTAAGATATGCAGGGCAACGAGGGAGGACCGTAACATTCTTTTCGCTTGCTGCGAGAGGTTCCTGTAAGATCTGCATTGCAGCAGCAGGAGCTCAACCAGTCAGTCCCCGTGGAGAACTGCTGTCGCATCGTTCACCTGTCGTGTCGAGGGGCGCAGTGTTGCCGCTGCTGTAAGGGTTATCACAACTCAATAACAAGCATGAGGTATGGCAAACCCGAGATGTCGCAGGCCAGAGGAGCCGTTCGCTGACCAACCCAGTAAGAGAGGACATGGGGAACTGAGCCTTACATGATCCTCGATGGTGACTTGTTGCACATTGTCATTGACACTTTCAGATTGAGAGCAGGCGTCACGGCAAAGATTTTGAAAAAGGAACAATCTCACCCACAGCAGCCTAGCATGTTTGATCGTGTCTCCTTCTCCCATTCTATCAGGCTATTTTGAATCCACTCAAGCATCATCAGACGAGACTGATTGGAACATGATCCAGTTGGCGACACGACCCCTTTTTCGGGGTATTAACTGAGTTCGTCCATTCCTGTAAACATACAGCAATTCATCAGCAGGGTAACTTGTAAATGATCCGCTCGGAACACACGATCGGACTTTACTCCTGACAAAGATTTTGAACGGTCCATCTGTTCACTCTGCGTGAGATTCCTTTTCCTGACTTGCGTCCGACTTGCACTGCGGACAGTATTTCCCTATTTCTGTCTGCTTTCTTTCTTGTCTGATCCGATCCTTCTCCCGGCGCGGCTGTGCGGCTTAATACCGTAACTGCTTGAGTCTCTATACTATGATACCAAGTAGCGGCTGAGCGGCACCGCGGCAGTGACTTATGATCCGCCGCATCAACTTCAGCGCCGCCGAGCCCCTGGAAGCGCTGCGCAGCTGTGGCTACTTCTGTACTCTTCGCCCTTTTCTCCTTACAACGGTCCCCCGGACTCACCCGTCAAACTTTGAAAAGAAAAGCACGTAAAAGAGTCTTCAGTCAGCGTGACTCACTCAGTCACTCGGGCCTGACTGAGGGCCCGGGCCCGGCGGGGGCCCCGGATTATCCAGGCCGGGTCCGAGCGGCCCCGAACGGACCGTGTCAACCCGGGCCGGTGACCCGACACGTCAGATTCTGATCACCAACCTTTACCACCCACCCTCGACAACTTGGGAAGGGGGTACTGGACGCATGAAGGGATCTTGACCCTGAAATGGTGGTTGCAGTCGTCTAGAGGCTGAAGAAGGAGAGCAGGAGGAGGGCAAGGGTAGTCGACGAGAGAGAGGATGGCAACGATGCTTCGGCTGAGGTTTGACCGTTGGTAGAGGGACATGTGTTGTGCGCATGTGGAGGGACAAGGAGGGTGGGCGAAAGAGGGGTTGACGAAGAAAAACAGAAGATAGGAATGGAACATTAGATGGTCTTGGGTTTTACTCGTTCATAGATTTAAGATGAGAAACAGAATGGTTCGGTGGTAAATGATGTGATGGATGTTGAAGGAGTTTGCAAGGGATGTTTGGCTTAGCTGCTGTTATTCGAATCTCAGTCTTGGAGTTCCGCTTGCTGTTGTCTGCACTTTGCATGGTATTGCTGATGGGCGAGTGTACTATGACGAGGATCATGTTTGTCTTGCCGACCCTTACCATAGCAGAAACGTTCACAGTGAATGATTTTGAAGCTGCTATCATGCGTTTTTGTTTCATTGACGCCATCGTTGTCATCAGCGTTTTGCAAGATGATTCGACGCATCATCACCGCTGTTCTGGTGTTCATGTTCTTGATGGCGGGCGCCAACAAGGTCTCGCCGCACATCAATGCAGAGATGCACAACCACCTCTCAAAGGCGTTTCCCCCCATGGGAAAGGTGCGCCGTCCTGCTGTTTGCTCGTGTGATGGCTCATGGATTGATTGCTGTTGCACGCGTTAGATGTGGAGCGGTCTCCTTCGAGACTTCCTCGCTTCCTTGAAGCAGGAGCAATACCATGATCTCATCGAGAAGAATCTTCTGGACGATGGTTCCGGCAGTTACAAAATGTTCATGACCAACCTTGGGTACATGTGGTTTCTCATTGATTTATCGTTTCTTATTTTCTCCTCGTTAGATACGTCGAAGTAGTGTGCGCTGTGCTGTTGATGACCCCGCTTAGTCCCCTGCCCTCGCTGATCCTCTTTCTCATCATGATCGCTGCAACCTATACGCATCATGTGATGAAGGAACCGGTCACTATGCTTTTGCGAGCAAGCAAACGATACTAATCCTTCAACGTGTTGCATCGACAGATAGTGGTAACTGTCGGACTGATGGTCCTGTTTGTCGTGCGCGCATTGCTGCCAGGTGACTTCGTTCAAAAGGGTGTTCGTCTGTTGTTTGATTACACATTTTCAGTACCGAAGTCTGCCGGCAAAAAAGTTGTCAAGCCGAAGAAATCGTAGATGACTTTGTGTGTTTTGAGCATCACTTGAATCAAAGAGATCTTAAATAGATTGCAATGTTAATCAGTAAAATGAATCTTGAGCTGCAACGGCCATATCGCCCAGCAACGTTTGAACACGTTTTGGGCAAATTCGCTTGGAAATGAAAAGTTTCTCTTCTATTCCGTTGTTGTGGTATTCCTTGTCAATCAGCTTTGGTTTTCTGGGAGAGCCAATCGTTTTGTTTTAGCCACCATGGCATTCTATTTAATCGATGTGATACAATTTGCATTTCACTTGCGCTGATCGCAAGTGATGTGATGATGCTCTTCTGATGGGCTTCGACTAGTTCATACGATCCATCTCTGTCTGTCACTGTCTGTTCAACAAGAACTCTGACCAAACTTGTGCGTGACCTATCTAGCAGCAATTGCTTCCGGGAGACTAGAGGACCGAAGGATCGTCCATCATGGCAGCAAAGTAAGCCGGGATGAGCAATACTGCTGCTGTCCAGCAAGCAGTCTCCACGCCTTGAAGCTTAAGGGAGAATTTCAGCAACTGCGTTGAGAGCACTCCCACTGGAAAGTCTCCATACTGTGCAAGGTCATACAGGGCAAGCTGGAACACAAAGCTGAAAATGTGCAGAACAACGAACAACGCCTTTTGTTGAAACAGACCAGCCGCACCAACGACGATGCCGTAAAGTCCTAACAGCATTGTGAAGACTCCGTCTGCTAACACAAGGTCTCTTCTGCTGACGAAGAAAGGCGCCGCAGTCGTGACGGGGACCGATGCTTCTCTCATCAACACGGCAATCGCCATCTCGCTGCATCCTTTCAACAGCACCAGGAAGCTGTAAAATACAACGAGCCCTCTCAGCACGGCGTTACTGAAGGCTTCGGTAGGCTCTTTCTTGAAATCCTGTTTGTAGAAGTGAAGGGTCAGACAGAACTGCCCACTGAGCAGCGCTGTGCCATTGGCTATCATATACAGCATGCACATCATTTCAAACTTGACAACTGACGGGTTTGAGGAGTATAATTTGGCCTCGAATGCCCAAGTTCCAAACATCATGGCAGCTAATGTAAAGATTCCAAAAACTCCTTGTAAAGACAACACAAAGATGGTAAAACCTTTGCTCTTGACGTTCAACAACACAGCGGTAATTCCGAGGGTAAGTCCTCCGAGTCCCATGCATAGCATGCACAATCCCGATATGAGGAGGACGACTGGCGGATACACAACACCGCTTCCTTTGTAGTTCGACAGATTGTCGTGGCTGGAATATAGATTCGCATATTCGACACCCAAAAGAACTAGCATGAAAGAGAAAAGAACAAGAAATGCCGATATTGCTGACGCTTGAAATGATATGTTTCCATGATTTCCTCTTGTGGGCTCTTCTTGTTTTTCAGAAGATTCTTGAACGGGCATTGCAGAAAGCATGACAGTTGCCAAGAACAATGTAAAATCGTTTGTCCTGCCATTTACAGTCATCTTCCTCGCAACAAGATTGGGATAGGAGCAGAACGTGAAGTGCTTGATGAAACAGGTAGTTGCGAGATGACCTCTCAGTCTACCTGAGTCTAAGTTGTGACTTAGTGATGATGAGTACTGCATGCAGCACACTAGATAGCCCTTGCAAGAAAGCTATCAGTATGGCAGGCTGTTACTAGTTCGTGGAACTGAGCCAACTCGGATCGACTAGAGTTGATGACACTGTACTTGTCACTGGCATGCAGCTACTAGGCTACTAAAGTTCTCTCATTGAATAAAGTTCACCGCTTGCCAAGTTTTCTCAGTCTCATGCTCTGACCGTGTTCTACTCGTTTTCAAGTTTCAATTTCGCCTGCATGGCATGTAATATTTTTCGGCTTCGACCAAGTTTTCAAGTTCCGGGAAATACGCCTCCCTCCGAGGCTCCCGGTGAGTCTCCGCCTGTCCTCGTACTGTTTTTTCACTTAACGGAAGTTTGAGCGCCTTCAAAAGCGCCACTGCCGGTAGTCACGGTACCGTACGGTCAGTACTGACCTGGGGCGCCGCCGCGCGGCCGGGCCGCCGGCCGTACCGGCCCCCCCCGGCCGATCCGGTGACCGCGGGCCGGGCCCGCCGCCGCCGGGCCGCCGCCCGCCCGGCCGCGCGACTCTCAATGGGCCCCGCCGCCCGCCGGGGGCGGACTCCGAGAGTCCCCGATCACCGGGTCCGTCGCCGGGAGCCACAGGCTCAGTGAGGCCCCGGCTCACGGTTAACTTAACAGGCTTTGAGTAAAGTTCCAAAGTCCGGTCAGGACATAACTAGGCTCTTCTTTACGCTAGGCTAGTTTGGAGTAAAACCCCGGCGGGCCGGGGGCCCAGCCTGGCCCGCGGCTGAGGGCCTGGCCTCACTGATCGCCGTACTGAGTCCAGTTGAGTAAAACCTCACGGTTAACCGGGCACTCTTTACTCAAGATTAGTTAAGTCAAAATTAGTACCGAAAGAGGAGACCGATGAGCACGTTGCGGTACTAAGTAGCAGGGGTGTTTGCGCCTTCAGCTTCCCAGTGACTCTCTGTCGCAAGGGCGTTGATGCAATTTGTCTACCTTTTACAGCTTCGTAAAAAAAATGAAGACTCCCTTCTTCAGGGTGTACTGGCAAAAGGAACATTCCAGGCAGGGTGGGGAAAAAAACATTTTACTGCCCGCCCCAGAAGGCAGGCTACGGGGAACTACTCGGGGTTGCCTGGTCGAATCTGTGACGAATTAACGACCCAACCTCTAGTGCTTCTGGTGGGTCATCAACACTAGCGGAGATGGTGGGGGTGATTCCTCGTACAATCTCATGGTACCACTGGTTGTACGCCGACTACCTTGCGGGATTTGTTAGTGGTGAGAAGGGGTGGAGGCCGGGGAAGTGTGTGCTAAGGGGAGAGGTAGGAGGTATTCCCCTTTTTATTGAGGACAACATATGAGATTCTCACGGTATGGTGGACAGAGCTTGAACCATGCCCAGAAGGTCATGGAGACACCCCTACCCCCCTATAAACAAAAAGGGGGTGATGGCTGGACGGTGGGGGTAGTTCTAAGGGTCTACATGTAAAGGGTCCCCGGGACGATGCCGCTCCTTCTTGGGAGATAGGGTGGAGATGTTAAAGGGGGGGTGGTAAGGAATTCGACTACCATGTAGGGGTATTGGCACTGAATTGCAGTAGTCTTGGTGGGGTGGTGGAGAATTACACAGAGAATCCATGTTGGACTCTATTGGAGGGGGAATGGAAACAAAACTGTATGGAGATGTCTTTTTTTCTTTTTTGCTCTCCCCACTCTCAAGCATGGTAGGGGATCCTATGCTGGTAGCACTTTGAATAGGAAGAGGTCATAGGACCAGCACCCCCAAAACGCACACTCTACTACCCTACTGGATGTTTTCCACCCCATTACAAATACACCCCCACCCCTCATTTCGTACCTTTGTGGGGCTGCCTCATTGACTGTACCCAACCCCTCTCTTCAGAAAATGATTACCCCCACCCCCTCATTTCCCATCAATTCGGAGATGCATCTGATGCCTACCCCATCATACATCTTTTGTAGCACCGGTTATTTTCCTTTGAGAGTACAAACTCCTTGGGCTGTTAGAACCCCCCACCCCCTCGTTTGTGAAACTCGAGAACCCCACCGTTTCCTATTGTACCCCCTTTCGCACACAGGAGACCACCGGATCTGAGCGTAGGCATCACCCAACCAACTTCACGACGAGATCTACCCCCACCCCCTCTTTCAACTGCAATTACCTACTTCTTCTCCAGGTTCTTTTGCAAGGATGAGCACCCCACCCACCCTTTGTTCTACACTACTACGCACCACCGTACCTATCATTGACAGTACCCCTTCAAAAACTAACATCGATATACTACCACCACTGATTTACCGATGATGAAGCTCTCACAAGATCAGACCACGGTAAACAGACAATTTTCTTAAGTACGTCCATAAGTGACAATCAGCATGTCTTTCACATGCTTATTCTTTTTGCCCCGCAAAAAGCAAGTACCGTACCCTTTGATCACAAACAAGTACCCTACCCACACACAAGCTTAACCCTGAAGGAACCCACCACCCACTCAATCCCAATACCGAATGACCCTACCCCTTCAAAGACCCCCTTCTGTTCCTCGGGTTGGCCCCCTCAAGACGTCTCCCCATCCCCCTTTCACCCTCAATCCGCGTCGCACCCTCACCACACGCCATGCTTCGCAAGGTTGTCCTCGCTGGTCTCGCCGCCACTGCAGTTGATGCCTTCACTGCCCCCTCTGGCTTCTTTGGCAACCGTCAGGCCCCTGCTGCGAAGATCAACTCCGTGAAGCCTGTTTCCGCCAGGACTCAGCGTGTGAACGGTGCGGCCTCCCTCAGGGCTGCCGAGGCTACCAAGAGCAAGCTCCCTGCCTCCGTCAAGCCCGGCGTTGTCACTGGCCAGGCTCTCGTTGACCTTTTGAACTATGCCAAGGAGAACAACTTTGCTATTCCGGGAGTGAACATTGTTGGAACTAACTCCATCAACGCTTGCATGGAGGCCGCTGCTAAGTATGGCGGTCCCATCATGGTTACCTTCTCCAAGGGTGGAGGACAGTTCATTGCTGGAAAGTCTCTTCCTAACAAGAACGATGAGGCTTCCATTGCTGGATCTATCGCTGGAGCTCTTCACGTTCGTGCTGTCGCCAAGCAGTACGGAATCCCAGTTGTCCTTCACACTGACCATTGCCAGAAGGCTTGGCTTCCATGGATTGATGGGCTCATGGCTGCCAACGAGGACTACTTCAAGACCCACGGAGAGCCCCTCTTCTCTTCTCACATGCTTGACCTTTCCGAGGAGCCCCTTGAGGAGAACGTCGCTATCTGCAAGAAGTACCTCGAGCGCATGGCCAAGTGCAACGTCCTCCTCGAGATGGAGCTCGGAGTTACTGGTGGTGAGGAGGATGGTGTTGACAATTCTGGAGTCGACTCCTCCCGCCTCTACACCCAGCCTGAGGAGGTTTGGTACACCTACCAGGAGCTCTCCAAGGTTCAGAATGGACACTTCACCATAGCCGCCTCCTTTGGAAACGTGCACGGAGTTTATGCACCGGGAAATGTTGACCTCAAGCCAGTTATTCTTCACAACACTCAGAAATACATCAGCGAGAAGCTTGGTGGAAAGGACAAGAAGCCCGTTAACTTCGTCTTCCACGGAGGGTCCGGATCCTCCCTTGAGGATATCCGCTATGCTATCGAGGCTGGCGTTATCAAGATGAACATCGACACTGATACTCAGTGGGCATTCTGGGATGGAGTTCGTGGATACGAAGCCAAGTACCACGATTACCTTCAGGGACAGATCGGAAACCCTGAGGGCGCAACCAAGCCAAATAAGAAGTACTATGATCCCCGCATGATGTTGCGCGCTGGAGAGGAGTCCATGGCCAAGAGATTGATGCAGGCCGCGCAGGATCTTAACTGTGTCAATGTTGTCTGAATATTTGTGAAATGAAACTGAGGGTAGTGATAAAACGAAAGACAAATTTGTTGTTGTCACTTTCATTCTCACGTTCAATATTCAGTACTTTATTCATTGTTCTGCCATCCAAAAATTCATGCCTGTTCAGTATCCAGGTATCACTGCACCCCGTTGAACCTGAACAAGCTATGTCAATGCACTCGAACAGTTATGTGTTGGAAGACCTGCTGGGAATACTCTCGCCACCATTCAGCATGTGCACGGAAGTGTTCACCGACGTCGGATTCGCAGTCATTGTCTCCATGCGGTTGAACTCCGTAGAGGCTCATCTGATCTTCGATCAATGCTTGACAAGCCTGCCGCCCGTCCACATTCATTGCGTTGCTGCAAACCGGTTGTGCTGGACAAAATTTCTTGTGAATCGCCTCATACCCAGATTCAATGACACAATCAAATGTTATTTGCCGTTTCATCGGATGGACAACGGACTCAGAGATCTGGTCTCTCAGGCTTAGGCGCTCAGAAGCTGCCTAAAAACCTTGTGATCGGAAATACCTAGAAAAAACGGTAAGTCTCTTTATCATCAACATTCTCATTGTTTCATTGATCAAATCTATCATGCCTGTGTTTTCTCCTTTTTATCAAGCTTTTCAATCTACTGTCCCTCGCTGTTAATCTACCCTTCTCGAAAGTCATAACTTGGTCTATAGATGTGTTAGAATCTTTTCTCTGCTTTTGTTAAAATTGGGGCGAGACAACAAAGATCTAGGCGGGGGTTGTCGAGCTATAATGTGTTTGATTGAAATCATGCATTCTTAGTCCTTGCTGTATTCCGTCATGAGTGATCCTACCTCCGGTAGTTGTGCTTCAAACGTACATTAGCCAGTATCCTCACCTGCTTAGATCTGAGTCTGGGTTCTTCCGAATATTTGCCTCGTTTTCTCTGAACTATCCTGGGGGCGAATATTTGCCTTGTTATCTCTGGACTATCCTGGATCCTCGTTTGCTAGTGTACCTCCTTCCTACAGTTCTATTCTGTTCTACCCCGCCATTGTTTGTGGGTGGGCGGGAAGCCTCTCACTCACCGGACCCCCTCTACCCCTGTTTGCCTACAAGACCACCCTCTTTTTGACCCACAATCCCAAAAATTCCTTACCACCGGTGTGAACATGTATGTCTGTACCTACCCTCCCATCTCCATTGTCTGTACCCTACCCTACATCATCAATGACTCCACATTCCTGCAGGTAGACCTAATCAAATCACCTGATTGCATTTTGGTATTAGTGGCTGATCTATATTTTATATGACCTTGAGGGATATCTCTCCTACTGAGGGTGGCCGTGTTCAAACCCCTTAGGTCAAACTCTACCCCCACCCCACCATTGGACATAGTATCCCACAGTTACAACCCTGCCCCCTCCCCGTTTTGATGGACCACCCTACTACCCCTCCTAACGAGTCCCTCGTTCTTACAACCCCCTTTCAGTTGCTTGAGGGTTGTATCAACAAACTGTCTACCCCCCTCAGTCCTATCATGTACCCCCTTGTCTCTCCATCTAGGAGAGCGAAAGGGATCGATTCTGAGGGGTGGGGTGCTTGATCTGTCCTTTGGCAGGGGTAGTATGAAGTTGGACGAGGGTGGGTTGGGCCCACTGACATATTGGTACCACCACCACCCCTCTATTTCCAATAAAATCTCCACCACCCTCGATGGAACTAAAACTTAGTTTTAAACTTGTGCGTGCGGCCCCCACGGGTGTGAACCACGGTGATGGTAGAACAGGTCAAAAGCTCATGAAGAAAGTTTGCTGGTAAAAGTTTGATTCTCAAAGTTGTAAATAAAAGGCTCAAAGTTGTAAAGTCTTGTGTTGGTTGCAGGCACAAGCTGGTTGTACATGCGCAAACGCTGTTAGTGTCGAAACATGGGTGGGTCGCAGAGGAAGAGGGCAGTGCAGAAGACCAATTCATGCTTGCCATCGTGTCTCCAGAGCTGCCTGATGTTCTTATGCTGTTTTGTTTGCTACATTTGACCGTACTGTACCCGATGTTTGTCGGATCCCTCGGCATCGAGGCATCTTGCACTGAGTCTTCTGCTCTTAGGCTCTAGACTTGAACAAAGACCGTGCAGTGTGCAGTGACCTTTGAGTGATTCAAGGTAACAGCATATCTCCTCTCACTCCTTGGATGTATCCTAAGTCGCGATAAGCAAACAAACTTGTGCAAAGATTCTCGATCCAAGCGGGGGAAATGCCTCTCAGAGCTAGGATGATCCTCTCAGAAATGCGAATGCCTAACAAATCAATCCTTTCATCTTGGATCAAAAGAGGAAACCCCCAGGTTGTTCAAGATAATGCTCTATGTCTGCTATTGTGGGTGCTGAAATATGTCGAAGGATCCAGAAGACCAAAAGCAAAGCATCCAGCTCGACCAGGTGACCTCTTCCTCTAACGTCATGACCAGACCTGATGCCATCTCTTTTGTCTGCAGTCAGAAGCAAAATCAAAAGCTTTTGGAGGGCTTGCACCCACTACGATGGTGTGCAGATCCTTCGTGCAGCTCTGACCAGGTTTTGTGTTTGACGATTGGTGTGATTGACTTGTAGGTGCGTACTCGCCGAGCAGCCATGGAAGCGATGAGGAGAAGATCAGCAGAGAAGTACATCTCTCTCGGCAACTTCTAGTTTGACTGTGAAATTGGGAAGATCGTGGGAAGAAGCAGAAGAAAAAGTCAAGAGGCAGTTGCAAGTAGAAATGATTTGTTCAAGCAAAAACCTTTGAGAATCCATTTAGGCGATGGAAAGAGCAAGAGAACTTGAGTTCGAGAAGTTGAAGGAAAGGTTTGCACGTGCTTGATCCCCTCATGTCTTAACAATCGTCATGATTTCCCCCATGCTTTTAATGTAGGTTGCAAAAGGAAAAGCAAGGGGGAGATGATGGGGCCATCTCGGACGAACAAAAGTAACGCTTTCTTGATTTGTCATTCTCCTGTCTTTGATACTTGTGTGCATAACAGAAAGTCTGGAATCACTGAAGCGTATGAAGCTGCGTCGGAGCACATTCGCGAGGAGAGTGCAAACGTGATTGCCAACGATGATTTGAACAGCTCTTTTCACACATTGAACAGGTCTCCAGGGATAATTCGGCAATTCTATGGAGACATACAATCTCTGGCCGCCCAACGAACTTTGGAGGTGGTCTGTTGAACTTGTGTATGCCCACTGTCACTCTGAAATTTTATAGGCAATCATGAATCTTCGCTGAAAAGCATCCAAGATTCATCAGGAAAAGTATCGAATTGATTCAAATCTTTGATTTATTTACAAGAAAAAATAATACTTCTTCGGTTCTGAAGAGATCAAATGCTTGGTTTGATCATCCGCCGAACGATGGTGGATTGCTTTGATTCATCCATCTTTCAATCTTCATTTTGGTTTCTCTGTCACAAGTCTGCGTGTTCTTTCGTTCTATTGCGCCATGGAATGTGTCGTTCATGTACACTGTCTCCGTCTTGCGGCCTGGTTTCGAGTTGGCTGCCCTTGGCGTGTCAGCCCTTGTCTCGGCAAAAATCCCATTGAGAGGGGAGCTGACAGTCTCGACCAAGTTTTTTGCTGCATCCTCTACTTGAAACATCCAGTTCTGGAACGAGTGATTCACAACATACACCATCTGGTTCAAAGGATCATGTGCTGGTGGCGCAGGGGCTGTGCTATGATTCGCCCCCTTGCTTCGATTCGCGGACATGTTAGACGGCACCCGTGACATAGGAGAAAATCGTTTGAATGGTGTTGACGGGCGTAGAAAGGAAAATTCAGAAAGGCCCCTGCAGTACGAGAGAGGGCTGTATCAATATTATGATCACTGTTGCCTTCAGAACTATCTTGCAATCAACGATGAAAGCTGGCAATGCAGAAGAGCAATGCAGTACAGATAGGAGGAGAAGGGCAGGCAGGAGCAATGGATAGAGGAGTTGGTGAGTGGGAGTGGGAGCGAGGGAGGAACAGGTGGAGGTTGGATGAAGAGGTAGGAGGCAGTGTCGGTGTACAGGTGAAGGAGACCGACACCAGTAAAAGAGCACTTGTATCACAAGCCATCCCTAGGGGTAGGGGTATCTTTTTTGTGGGTGATCTACCCTAATTTTGATTGAGATTTGAGGGGGTACCTATCGTTATGGTGCATGGATTTAGTTCTCAAGGCAAGGTGGGGTATGCTTTACATGCTTTTTCTTTTTTCTGAAAAGGAAAAATCGATTAGTTGCAACACTACGGGGTAGGGTTATCAAGGGAGGGGTACAGCATATAATTTTGAGTTTTCCCTAATGCTCATATGCAGACTTGACACTATATATATGGTAGTAATATGAAAAGAGGTTAAAGTCTTGACCCCTATAACATTAATGACAAAGTTTTGACGGTATGGGGTAGGGTTCAAGAAAGAAAGGGGGTAGTCTGTCGTTGTCTTGTCACAGTGAAGAGTCAAAGATAATCCGGGAGGGGGGTGGGTGAATGTGACCCCTGGGGGGCCCTATGAACTTGAGTACCCCTTTTTCCCCCAGACAATAGTAGGGTCCACAATGATTCTATTACTGCAAAGGTGACCCCCACCCCCTTCGGAGAACAAAATCTAATTTCGTACCGTACAGGCTCGAGACCAGAGAGTACCCCATACTTCCCCTGTCCACTCCAATCATTCGCGACGGTAGGGTCCTTCTAGGCTTCACTTCCTGACTCTTTGCTTGTTTTTTCCCTTTTTTTCCTTTTGGTGATTTTTACATTTATTGTTCCGAACTTGAAGCCTGAGGCCGAACTTGCTGTCGGACTCTGTGAAGTCACGGGCCGGTCCGACCGGGCCGGCCCGGCGGACTCGGGCCGAGGCCGCCGGGAACTGACCGAGTCCGATCCCTCGGACCGTCCGGGGGAGTCCGACCGATAAGGTCAAGGCGCCGGATGCACTGAGACCGTGGCAGTGAGCCGGCGGCGGAGCGCCCGGCCCCTGCTCAGTCTCGAGGGCTGGTCACCGGGTCCGGCGCCGGGCGATCCGGGGGGCCGGCCGCAGGAGCCCCGGCGACCGAGTCGGACCGTACTCCGGCCCGGCCCGGAACGCGCCGCCGGCTCCCGGCACCCAGGCCGAATTTCACGTGCCAGCATGAGACAACAGAAGTCATGGCGGATAGACGGGAAGAAGAAACACGATAGGAATGAGGTCGAGAAGACGGGAGATTTCACTATATTTGTCATGCTAGAAGCCTTGAAAAGAGCTAGGCAAATGCATGGACGTAGAAGGAGAGGAGGGTTGAAAAGTAGATGTTGAAAAGTAGATGTTGAAATCGAAGATAGGAATATACGACAGGATAACTCTTACGATTGTCGAGCTCAGTTGTTGGCTGCTATTGGGCGATCATGAATAATTTTGATGCATATCATTTATCTTGACCTGCTTTGAATCGCTTGACAGGCTTTTGCCATATTCTGGGAATATCAAAGTTGAGTTGAGCGAAACTGTCTTGGAAATGGGGAAGGATTCAGAAAAATCGTCGAAAAAGCGAAAGAGATCGGCCGAAGATGATTCCGCTGTGAAAGATAGTGAAGGTCTAACATGAATTGCTTATTTTGGATCATGAATGACATGGTTGCTCTGTAGAATGTAAGACACTGAATGACAGTCGTCCTGAAACCAAGAAGATAACCAAGGCAATGAAAAAGATAGGAGAGTCCGTTGGATTGACGTTCAGCGGACAAGACAAGCTTGAAGTTGAATTTGAATCTCTCTGGGAAAATTTTCCAAAGCCAAAACGAATAAAGAAACTCCCCGACGCGCAGAAAGAAAAAGCTGTATGTGACAGCGATTTCATTTATGATTTTGCTGACTTTGGTGTAACGCAGATGTCAAGGATATTCTCTATTTGCACCAGATCGTCAGAATTATCGTCGAAGCTCCTTCACAGGTATGCTTTGAAATATGCCGGTATGAGTCTGAACAGACGCACAAGGTTCGGGGACAAACATTGTGTTGGCGGAGTGGCAGGATTGGGTATAGACATGCCCGACGAGCTTGTTGTCAGGGTAGAGAAGAAGGCGGACAGAATTCTTGACAACGAGGAACTGTGAGTTTTTTGTGTACGACATCATGGATACGAGCTCCATACTGACACTCCTGATTGTCAGGTGGAAACGAACTTTAGGTGCAAGCCGTCGCTGTGTGCATGCATCTCTCAAACACTTGAGCGATGCATTGCGTGAGGAAGATCAGTCAGACACCGCAGATGCTGATGCTGCATGGACCGAGGCATCTCAGGCAGATGTTGAGGCAAACGAGGAGGACAAGACAGAAGACGAAAGAGACGAGAATGCTGCTTTGAGAGCAGAGCGGGGAGGCAAAGCAGAATCTAGCACGAGCGGCTTCATGGAGTGGTACATGTCAAAGTTTACAGACTCGTTTGCAGAGGAGTTAGATTCCATTCGTTCGAAGGTGAAGGACGAAGTTGCAAGGTGCTGTGCTGGAATTGACCGATAAGCTCAGGAGGAGCTCGACGCAAACGGTGTCAGCCTGCTGGTGGATGCGATCAAGTCAGGAGTTGATGTCATTCCCAAGGTTGAGAGGTGATGGTCGGTGTTGGCGTCCGACCAGCGCTCACTGATGTCTATGAAGGTACCTTTGCATGCCAAGTGATAGGGCAAAACAAGACTCCTCCTCCTCCAAGTCGACGAAGAAGATCAAGAAATCCAAGTGAGATGAATTTTGCGATGGCAATGCCAATAAAGAGATAGCCATGCCCCGCGATTATGACAGGATTCATGTCATGAGAATATGATTTCTTCCTTCACGCAATTCTCCGTATTCTCTATTTCTTCTCTTTTTTTCTCGTCTTCAAGTGTGTAAAACCGCAATGCAAAGTCTTTGTGGCCCCTCAACTGTTTCAGCAAGAGATCTCACATTGTTGTTATACCATATCACTGCACCTTAGCTCGTCTTGTGTAATGTGCGTTTGCCATCAGAAGTTCCACCTGCACAAAAAGGAGAGCAGTGAGAAATGTTTTGAAGAAGATAGTCACTACCAATTCGGTCTGATTGTTCTGTTTCGCCATCTTGATCGCGTCGCTTCCATCCTCGTTGACTACCTCATACGAAGATCCGTACTCAAGGAGTTTCTTCACCACCTGTGTCTTGTTGTGACCCCTTCAGCATCAGGAGGATCAGCAAACTTGCCCTCCCCTGTCCTCGAGAGGTTGCCAGGAGGAGAGCAGAATTGCCATCCTTGTCTCGAATAGTATCATTCGCTCCATTCTCTAACAGCACGTCGACCTGCCAGGCACGATGAGGGTCGCTCCTGCTGACGTGGTCGATCTACCGAGCACTCCCTTCCCAACATAGCAGCATGATGGAGAGGGGTCTTCCCATGCGCATCCTGACTGTCAATGTCGGCGTCGTTCAGGATCAGATGTTCCACCATGCTGTATCTGTCTCAGCATTCAGCTCGAGCCTTCGGTGGCACAGGACACAGAGACTCGTCTTTGATGGCTGCGAGATGCAGAGCCGTCCGATTTCGCACATCCCTCTGATCTACATCAACCTGCTTGCATTACAGCAGCGTCATATTGTAACTGGATCCTTACCCCGTACTGCAGGAGCAGATCGACGATTGTTGCCTGCCCGGAAAGAGCGGCATGATGGAGCGGGATTCCTGAAGCGATCGAGATGAGAAGAGTCTCTGACTAGACAGAGAGATGAAAATGTTCCACCCGAGCTGATAGAACCCTCGGCCTGTCCTCACCGTCAGTCCACGGTGATCAGGTGCAAGAGTCAACCAGTCCGCACGGATCGTACGCACTCTCGAGAAGGAAGGTAATGTCGTGTAGGTGCCCCTTGGAACAGGCCTGAGAGTCTTGTCAGACAATGTTTGCTTCCTTCCTCCTGCTTTTCCTCGCTCACATACCTTACATAGCCTCCTGATCGCTTCTTCGTCCTCAGTGAGCGGTAGACCCCCCCACTCCTCCCGATCTGCCCCCGTGCTGTCCTCCCCAGACACAGCGCCTCTGCTCTTGGTGAGCATGTCCAGATCTTCGACCCGGGTCTCCTCCTCCAGCCCCCCTCGCAGCTTCATCGTCCTCCCCTTCTCCCCTTCAACCCACATCGCAATCGCCAGGATCGCTACCAGCATAGTTGAGCCGGGGCTCAACTAAAATGTAACGGACACAATAACGGAAGATACCCTCCTCCCCGCACTGAGCCCAGAATAGCGATCAATGCAGAACTTCACGTGCGGTAGATGAGAATGGGGAAGCGGAAGGCTGGGGGGGGAGGAGCAGGAGAAGATGAAGCGGGAGGAGGAGCGGGAGCGAGAGCAGGAGCAGAACTCGCTGCCATAAGTGCGAGCCCGGGAACGAAGGAGAGCACTCCCAAGTCAAAACCGTCTTCGAGCTCGCTGTCGTCAAAGAGAAGGCGCAAGAGTGGAGGACAAACAGCGAATGTAAGCGGCATGATGCGATTCTTGTTGCGACGAAGTTCTTGTCATGACTTCTCTCTCCCAACCTGCATGCTGTATCTCAGTACCGATCTGATCTTCACTTGTTGACAGGAGGGGTCGGAAAAGAAAATCAAGCTGAGAGCAGTTGTCCCCAAAGTCGTTCCATGGATCGACTGGGACGAATGGTTGAATGTAGCAGAGAATGTCTTCTCAGACGACAAGGAACGTGCTCGAGTTGCGGTTGAGAGGATACGGACATGGCAGAGCAGGGGAAAGGTGGGAGGGGGAGCCGCAGAGATGCAGAGGGAGCGATGATGAGATGATGCAGGTCCCACACTCAGCTGAGGCTACAGCAGCTCTGGTGGAGATCAACTGCAGCAGCGACCAACACAGTGTCTACGAACTTCGTCTGATGTGAGGGGAGGGGTGGGGGGGATGAAGGGGTGGGGGATGATTCAGGATGGACCAGGTACTCGATGAGTATCATACGGTTCGTCAACGGTATCGTCGACTCTGTTCAGCAAAGGAAGTTTGCTTCTCCCATCTCCGACCTTGCTGAACATGCGGCCGTACCGCGAATCCTTGTGGATGTGAGAAGCTTGTTCCCTGCTCCTCTTCGGACTCACCTGGCCTCAGATTCGACATGCTGCCTCGCATAACAACCTTCCCACGCTTCCAGTTCTCCGCGTCGCGACTGAGAGTGCTCTGGTATGCGACCTGATCTGTTGGGGTGATTGAAGTGACCTGATGCAACGCCAGGCTTGGCTCAGGCATCACTACTGGGACCCACAGGCTGCGGTGCTTTCGCGGCTTGAGTTGTTGTGGCGAGATGGTGACGTTGGTGCTGTCAGACATTGAAGAACGCGAAAGACTTCCTTGAGCCGTGCATCAGGTTGATTCTGTTGCAGCTGTTGTCTGCATGGACTTGGGTGACCCGTTTGCTGTCGTTACCAACAGAGACTATGTTGGGGTCAGAAGTCGACTCATTGCGGTAGCGAGCAAGAAGGTTACAGACAAGACAGACAAGACAAAGCTTGAAACCAAGAAGCGAGAGTTAGAGGTGAAGGACAAGGTTAAATGCGAGAGAGTGGACGGTCACACGTTGCTGCAGGAGAAGTCACTCGAGCTGCTCCGTCTCATCTTGCAGTCTACTCCCATCACCGACATTCACAACTCCTTGATCCTGCATGTGGGGTTCGTACTTCCCTCTCCCTTCCTCTGACCCTCAGCAGATTTTCAAGACCTCCATCCTCATTCTGCAGGAGACTCTTGCTGACGTCATCGACGCAAAGAGAACTCCGACGAAGAAGGTGCAAGGAATCGCCCCGCTCCCCGCACGCATCGTTTTCTTCGTATCAAAGACATCATCGTAGAAATTACGCATGGAGGGTGGTTAGAAGATAGATCAGAATGATGTTGAAACTAAGAAGAAGATAGATCAGAATGATGTTGAAACTAAGAAGAAGGTAGAGAAACACGAGGAGGAGCAAGAGGAGGAGCAAGGGGAGGAGCAGGCGTGAAGGGAGGAGGAGCATGGGGAGGAGGAGGAGGAGGAGGATGTAAAATGTTAAAGGGGGCAGTGAAACGAATGGCAGAATGAGTGAATAACTCCGTAGAAACAGGTTTAACAGTATATTGACATGACGAGATGGCAACGTTACTCCTCCTAGATATGGATGGTTGTTCTCACTACTAAACATGTTAGCAGGACTTTGACCGCATCACTCATTATGTTTTCGATATCTGGAAAGTTGCACTACAGGAATTCACAGGTCCCATCCTCTTTCTTCCCTTTCCCCACCTTCCCGTCCTCCTCCTGCGCATTCCTGCATTCACTGCTCACAATCTTGAAACGTTGGTATCAGATCAGTACCCTCAATTTCGGGGAATGTTCAACAGCGCCTTGCTGGACGCCCTTTCTTTGCTCTCCATCTTTGAGAAAGGTACGAGCAAGACATGGTTAGAGATGGTGATGAAGGGATGCACATAGACAAGAATGAGAGAAGGGCTGGGAGCAGACAGGGAAGAAGACGAGGAGAACGGGAAGGAGTAGCAGGAGGACGACGAGGTGGTGGTAGTGATGGTGCAGGAAGCGGAGGAAGAGGAGCAAGAGGAGAAAGAGAAGAAAGAAGGAGACACTTTATGGGCTGACGGAGAGTTTGCAGCAGAGGCAGGAGGCTCCCCCATGAAGGATCTGCTACCGCTCAAGACGGCGGAGGAAACCAGCACCTTCGGGCTTATCTTGGTCGAATGGATCTCGTCGGTCAACACGGATGACAAGGGCAGCAACTGGAAGGACGATGATGAGGTCAAGAGGATTGTTCGATGCTGCGTTGATTCTCCTAGCGCCTGGTCGTTGAGCATGTAAGACCCTCCATGTTGTCCCTCTCTTCTTCTTCCTGGTGGTTTTTTCTCCCTCCGCTCCCATGTATCAGCTTGGAGGGGTTGACTCCTTCTCTTCTCCTGCTGGTCAGTCTGGAGAAGATTTCTGCAAGCTCAAAGGGGAGGGAAGTCGCAAGAGCTCTCGGTGAGCTGCGCCCCGGCCCATTGCGCACTCGCTGACCTCCCGCCCCTCCTGTCAGAATACCTGCGCGGGTTTCAGAGCTTCTTTGACGAGAAACCGTCAATATCGTCTGCAACTTCGGAGCTCGGGATGGAGGAAGTTTGCAAGGATCTCTCTATGTGGGAGGAGAGATCGCAGCGAAGGCATGCCCCGTCCATGAGAGGTTGGAGCGTCGTTGAAGATTGGCTGCCATGCCCTATCGGGACGGTACTTCCTCTTCCTCCCCTTCGCTCAGATTGCTCCTTCTTTCCAGGCCTTTCCGTTTCTCCTCTCTCTCACCTCCTCGTTTTCCTCCTCTAATCCTGGACACATTTGTGAAGGTGTTCGGCAAGCAAGTCTCGTTGAGGCTTGGGGAGGAGGATTGCAAGGAGGAGCAGACTGAAACTGTTCTTGATACTGCGCTACCTCCGTTCCCTCGAGCTCATGAGCAGGCGATCACGTCACCAAGGGAAGAAGCGGAGGGAGGGAGGACAGAGCGTGCGTGCTCCCCTGTGGACAAGGGAGCTTGTGCTGTGTCAGACCTGATAGGTGAAGTTGGAGATGAGGAAGGGAAGTGACTGATGAGTCTGACATGGCAGATGAAACCTGGATCCACAAGACGTCCTCGATGATCAAACTCCTCGTGTGAGGGCAGGAGATGCTTTCGACCACGTGATGGTGATGGCCATGATGAAGACGATGATGACGACGACTTCTAAGACAATGCCAATGATGCCAATGATGCCGATGCCGATGATGAAATGATGATGATGATGATGATGATGGAGCAGCTAGCACAGCATCATCAAAGTCAAGTATAGGGGCCCAGAGGCATGAATCAATCTTTCAGTTGTCAGCCTTGTTTTCCTACCCTCTAGTTCTGCAGCAGGAGCGAGGTCACCTCCGTCACGTCCTCTGTCTTCTCCCACAGCTTCTTCGCATCCTCCTCACTGTAGAATTTGAGCGAAGAGTAGTCCTCTAGCGTGTTGCCAATCACTACCGGCGGCCCCGCTATCATGAAAGCTGGGCCGATGTACTTGTCGCCAGGGGCATCGAAGGCCGCACGAAGGAGGGATAGGACGCCCCTCCTCGGAGTCATTCCCAGACCAAGTCTGTTTCCTCTTACCACCATGCTCCTGAACAGATCGTCGCCGGTCGCGCGCTCCTGCAGCTCAGTCACTGTCCATCCGGGGTGGGCGGCAGTGGCTGTGACTCCGATCCTCCTGGCCTTGCGGTTCAGCTCATGCGCGAAGAGCAAGTTCGCCCTCTTGGAGGATGCGTACGCTCTGAACGCATCGTACGGTCGCTTCTCATAGTTGAGATCGTCGATGTCCAGCCCGGGGAACGAATGCACACTGCTACTGTGCATTACGACCCGCCCGACTCCTTTAGCCAGTAGCGGAAGAAGCTGGAGGGTGAGGATGAAGTGTCCGAAATGGTTGACAGCAATCTGCCCCTCCCATCCTTTGGAGTTTCGAGTCTCCACAATGGCCATAACCCCAGCATTGTTCAGGAGGTAGTCGATCCTGTTGTACTTCTCGCTCACCCGCTTCACAAATGCATCGATGCTGTCAGGCTCCATCAGATCGAGGATCTCCACCACCACCTTTCCCTTCACACGACCAGAGGCTTTCATCTCTTTCAGCGCCTGCTCTCCCTTCTGCTTGGATCGGCAGCCCATGATCACATTGTACCCCTTCTCTCCCAGGATTGTAGCTGCTGCCAGACCCAGTCCCGCGCTGGCTCCAGTGATGACGACAACCTTGTCCTTGCCATCTCCAATCTTGTCTTCGTTCCAGGACAGGGGACCGTCTCCTCCTTCTGCCCATATAATCCACAACCTCACAGCCACTGCCACTAGCGCTCCACCGATCACCAGCCCCCACCGCATTGTTCCGCGCGGTAGGACGATGAGGAATGAGGGGTGGTGAACCCCCACGGAGAAAGGAAAGCAAAGGGGTGGTGGTGGTTGGTCCAGGAGCCGGGGAGTCTGGTAGTTACAATTCCGTTACAATCCTAATTTCACTCAGTTCTGAAGTAGATAATTTGAAGTGCTGTCCTCACAAAAGACTCTTCTAGAAACGTGAGGCGAACTTGTATTTATAATGTATTTCACATCCAATTATCGTGGGGGTGCCAACATTGTCACAGGAGACACATTTTCTTCAAATTCATTGTCTAAGTTTGAAATTATATGATGTAAATATCAAATTTCGACCACACCAGCTGCACTCATGAAACAAATCTTGGGTGCTGATTTTGCCGGCTAAATGAATCGACGATGGAACATGGACTGGAGCGCCGTGGAACAGCATGGAAGGGAAGGGAAAGGAACGAGAGGGGATACACAGAACATCGCTGAAACAATGATGAGCATCAGTAAGGAAGATCTGAACCCCGCCGCTCTCTGCTGAGACAGTATCCTCTAAAGTCTCTTGGTCCACATGACCGTCAGGTTGGACAAGTCTGAACCAAGAGACTTCATCCTGATATCGTCGGATAGCTCCGATGACGAGAAACCCGCCCTCAACTTCTTACTGTATGGACTGTCAAGGAGTGAGCAGGATGCCTATTGCGAGGGCAGCTCCTCTTCCAATCTCGAGGTCCTGGGTCTCCCCGAGCCTGCCAGCCACGACATGCTTACGACTGCACGGACGGCCTCTCTTTCAGAAGTCAGATGCGGACGCATCGCAATCTCAGATGAGTTCGATGAGAGCGGATCAGCAGCTGCTCATGACCGTTCGCACCCTCCCCGACACGCTCCCACGGAAGCAGAAGAGGAGGAGTACCACTTCATTCAAGTGAAGCCAAGCAACAACAGCCAACGCCCGAGGACGCAGCAGGTGCGGAAGTCTAGCAGACCGAAGAAGCGGTCAGTGAGATATGCAGCGAGGGAGGAGAGCGCCGAGCCGGGCGCGGGAGGCGGAGTTGCCGCTGGCAAGAAGGAGCAGAAGAAGACAGAGGAAGCGAAATCTGCCCAGAGTCCCTCCAAGGGGCTCGCAGCCTCCCAGCTCGATCCGCCCACCTGCTCCTTCTGCAAGAAACCCTTCAAGAAGGGAGCAGGGCCGGAAGGGGGGGGGAGACTGCTGGGGCCGATCGGAGTGAAGATGGACGTGTATGTTCATGAGTATTGCGCGTTGTTCTCTCCGCAGGTTTACTTCAACCGGGAGATCACCCCTGATACAGACGTGCTGCGCAACCAGGATCTTGATGGTGAGTGAGTGCTGATGGAGAGCAATGCCTGTTGCTGCTGGCTGATCGGTTGTTCGTGCCTGGTTGTATCCCTTGAGGGTTGTGTACTACACCCCGCACACCCCTCCTTTTCCGCCATCCCAGTCTTCCCCTTGCCGTGTTCGAGCAGGTTATGACACGCCGAGCAGAGAAGTCGATTCGCTCAGAGCTCCGGAGGTCCAACGGGTTGAGATGTGCCCTCTGCAACCTATCTGGAGCCTCCATCGGCTGCTACATATGCTCGCAGAAATCTTATCACTTTCCCTGTGCGCAGGTGTTTATTCTTGCTCCGCTCCCCTTCCCCGCTCTCTTCCTTCCTTCTCTAGATCGTCTTGCTCCCTCGTCCTTCGTTTCCTTGTCGTCATCCTTCTCCTCTCCTTGCCCTTGACATCGTTTCTTATAGCGGGCTGGGCTGGTCGAGTGGCATTGGTGGGAGAATCATGGCGAGAGGATCGTGCACTGCCCTGCTCATCGAGATCCTCTTTGCGAGGTCTAGACTCCTGCTCTTCCCTTCTGCTCCACCTCCACCTCCAGCTCCTCTTGCTCTCTTTGTTTGTTCATCCTTCTCGTTGCTCTTCTTTCACCTCTTGCCGGTCCTCTCCTCGTTCTCATTCTGCTCTATCCTTGTCCTCTCCTCTTGACGTGTTCTGGTCTGCCTCAGGTGTGGTGGTCGGGCGACGACTCGTTCCCCGAGCAAGGATGGTTTCCTTGCGCGGTGGTCGACGGGCCAATCGAGGGGCATCTGACTGTCCTCTACTCCACCCCCCCTTGGGGCGAGGAGAGACTCAATATGCGTGCAGTCAGGATAAGATTTCCTGTGAGGAGGAGGGAATGAAGAGAGGAGGGGGAGGAAGGAGGAGGTGTTAAGAGTGTGAAAGGGAGGGAGCGGGGAGAAGGGATCCTTGTTAAGGAGTCTGCAGAAATTCTGATTCCTCGATTTTGTTTAGGAGAGTCCTCCTGTTGGCTGTACAAGATGGCAAGCGTTCGCGGATTTGTTTGGCGAAGAAGGGTGAGAAGAAGAGATAGGAGAGGGGGGGGAGAATGGCATGCTGCAACGTTGAGGAGAGTCCTCACGGGGAGGGCAGAGGCTGAGGATGGAGCAGGAAAGAGACGAGATTTGGGGAAGGAGAGGTCAAAGGAAAGAGGGTAGAGAGGGGACACGGAGGGTCAAGACAGAATCTTTCCAGTGACCGGGGAGGCAGGAAATACGATGCGGACAAGAACACCATGGAGAGCAAGCTGAACGACCTCTTGCCGTTGGCAATCGGGTCAAGGCTGGGGAGGAGGAATGCCAAGAGGAGCAGGACAAGAGAAGACATCTGCTTCAGAGAGTACTGCGCCTGCGAGAACGAGACCCCCAAGAGCCTGGCTAGGAAGTTTGCGGTGGACCTCAAGGAGTTGATGGAGCTGAACGTCTCGCGATTCCCCGAGCTCGTCCCGAGCTCTCGTTTCAGGAAGAATACCATCGTCCTTATCCCCACGAGCCCCGCCATGTCGGCGCCGCTCAGCGGGGAGCTGATGGTCCAGGAGTACTTTGTGGAGGAGGATGAGACTCCGAGGTCGATCGCCAAGAGGCTCAAGGTCGACGTGAACATCGTCCTCGACTTCAACAGGAGCTTGTACCCCAGGATCACTCCCAACTTCAAGCTGCCGCGCAACTCCGTCCTCCGTGTTCCCGCCCTCTACTCCAACGATCCTCCGTCCTCCCCCCCCTCGATGGCTAGTCGCTTCTCCAAGGGTGCTGGGGGAGTGCGGTCGCACACAAGTGCCCTGCTTCACATCCTATCCAAGGATTGTTTGTACCAGGTTAGAGAGGAGAGGATGCGTCTTTTGAACCCTCTCCTTCTCTTCCACTCCCCTCCTTCTCTCTCGCCTTGGTGCATTGTTTTCATGCATTTCGTCTCCCCCTTTTCCCGTCTCTTTCTAGTTCCCCATACTTTTTCTGATCCTGATCCTCATTCTGATCCTCGTCCTCGTCCTCATCCTCGTCCTTGTTCATGTTGATGTACTTTCCTCTTTCTCAGATTGCCAGCAAGCTCGGGTCGGACGAGTTTCTCTTTCGCTTCCTCCTGAGCTCCAAGCAAGTTTCAAGGGTCTTTGATGAGATGCCATGGTGCGTGTGGAGGGATGGCAAGGGGAGAGAGCGGAGAGGGGAGGTTGTTAGTATTGAAGAAGATGTCACCTGATACATTTACGTTACTTGAGGTCGTTGAGCTGGTTCTGAGTCGAGCTATGATGAGTGAATTTATTGACCAGCATCTTGACTGTGATGACTGCAGCATTTGGAGGCATATCTTCCGGTGTAAGTTCGGCACTGAGATGGAAGATCAGATTGAGGTTGGAGTGTGTTTCAATTGTGATCATTGTTTTCATCTGCCGCGTCTTTGTCTTCTTTCTCGTCTTGATCTTCGTCATTATGATTCTATCATCGTCACTGTTCTCATCAATACCACTACTACCTCCATATTCGTTTTCATCATTAAGAGTATCACAAACATGATCTCCAACCTTGTCATCTTCATCATTTTGCTGCCGTTTACCTCATTTGTTTTCATTTCTTGCTGGTGTATTGACGTCGTTGTGGTACCTTACTAAACGCTTCTCTGCTCAGTCAGGGGATGGTTTCAAATCGACAGTATCAGCTACAAGTAACGCTGGTAGACTAGAAGAGAAATTGTTCTCTTTCAGCTCACTTGTTTCCGGCAGAAAGCGCAAACTGCTCGGACGCTTGTTCGGCGAGGTAGGATGATTGAAGTGCTTCTGCTCCTGTCACCAGCTGTGTCTCTCTTCTTCCTCCCGCCCTCAGCCTCCTCTTCTCTTTCTTTTCCTCACATCGTTCTCTGTCTTCCCTTCGCTGCATGGACCCGATGGATCTGATTTGTGTCTTTCTTCTCTGCAGAACAAATGAGCTCGCAGAAGAAGAAGACAACGGAGGTGACGATCGTACACGATTTTCTATCTCTTTCCTGTATTCTGTATGCTGTATCCTCTATCTCTTTATCTGTCTCTGTCTCTGTCTCTGTCTCTGTCTCTATCTTTAAATTTTTCCGTCTCTCTACCTGTGTGTTTCTTTCCCCCTGCTGATGCTCCTCACGCGCTCGCAGATGATTCTGCAGCATCTAGCAACGACGACAACGTGATGATGAGTATGGCCACTTGATTTCCCGCACGTGTCAAGTTTTCTCACTGCCAAGTCAGTCGCCTCGACAGCAAACCTGATGCAGCTGTTCGACTCCTGGTTCAAGGACGACACGCTCTTCGAGCTGAGGAAACGACTTCTGCTGTCTCCTCGGCAGGAGAGTGACTCTGAGCGCAGGCTGGGCAAGGGGAAACGCTTCCAGGGAATTATCGACTCCAATGGGACTATCTTCAATATCTCCTCCTCCTTCTCCTCCTCTTGCTCCTCCGAGCATACCCAGATGTTCAGAGATGCGATGGAGTGGTACCGGCACTGCCAGGTAGTCAACTGTACTATTTTGCTCCCCTTCCACCCCTTCTCCTCCACGCTCTTGCTCCCCTTCCTGATCTTCTCTTCCACCTGATCTCCTCTTTATCATCTCTTCCACCTGATCTCTTCATCATCCCCGTTTCACTGTTGTGATGCTTCTCCCCGCCCCTCCCTCCCTCCTGCTTCAACCTTGTGACTGGGCTACAGCAACTGACGAAGCAGAAGACACCGAGGGGGGTGAGGGGGAGAAAGGTCCATGTCATGTGTCGAGCTAAGTCTTTTGGCAGGAGGTGAATCTGAAGCAGTACATCTTCTTCAAGAACCAGAGCTTGGCAGACTGCGAGAAGTTGTTTCAGCAGCACCCTGTAGAGCAATGCATGCAGCTGATAGCAGAAAGAACGGGCGGGGAGGCTGCAGAGGAGATAGAGGAAGGCAAAGACGAAGGAGATGGAGGAGGAGGAGGAGGAGGAGGAGGAGGAGGAGGAAGAAGAGAGAGAGTAAGGGATGTGTCGGGGGTGCAGCAGCCATGTGCTTCCCTGCCGCAGACAGCAGCAAGCATACCCACCACGGATTACAAACAAGCGTACAAGTATTACAAGGAGATGAGCCTGTGGCATATCGCCGACCCGTACAAGGCGGGAGGAAGGAGGGGAAAGGAGGGAGGAAGGGAGGGAGAGACTCTAACAGGAGCCTCACTTTCTTCTTCCTATGAAAAGTTCAAGATGAAACTGCAGCATTCTTGTTGTGGTACCATCCTCTCGAGAGATCGGCGAGAAGTCAACAAGCCTGTGTCTGAAGACTGCACGTGCATTGCAGGTGATAACATCTCCACCGTTGTCTCCTTCTTTCTTTCGTTTCTTCTTCTCTCCTCCTTTCTCTTTGTGTTTTGGCCTTGTCCCTCACCACATTACTGCTGATGGTATTCACCTCATCTCTTACACTTGTCATTTCAGGGCTTCTCAACGAGATTGGCTTCCGTCGCGGAGCTCATCTCTGGTTTATCAAATCCCGTCAGATGAATCCAGGAGCGACGAACGAGCGGTCGTCCTTCGTAGTGGGTGAGGAGTAATATCGGAGGAAGCTGCTTCTCGCTGTTGCCATTTGTTCGTATGCGTTCTCTTGACTCACCGGGATCAGGAGTTGTCACCGAGCAAAGAAGTCCAGGTCGAATCTTCTTGGGTTGCGAGCTGCAGGGCTGCGGCTTAGGTAAGTTCTCACTTCCTTAACAACCCTAGTTCGCCCCCTCCTCCCTCCTGCTCTCGTCTCCTTGTCTCCTCGTTTCGTCGCCTCCTCTCCTTGTCTTCTCCTTTCTTCTTCCCTTCTTCCCTCCCTTTTACATCCTCGACAGGTTTCGCATACCAGGGGAGCTCGGGGGACATATTCATGACAGGCAGAGAGAACAAGACCTACGGTAAGCGCTGGAACTCCGGTTCTTCCTCTTCGTCGTCATGCCTTTGCCCTTGTCATTCTTGTTCTCGCTCACCTTTTCTTCCTCCTCTCGTTCCTGTTCCTGTTCCTGTTCCTGTTCCTGTTCCTGTTCCTCATCCTGCTCCTGCTCCTGCTCCTGCTCCTGCTCCTGCTCCTGCTCCTGTTCCTGTTCCTGTTCCTCCTTCTCTTCCTCTTGCCTTCTTGTTCGTCTCGTTGCCCTTCCAACTCGTTCCATCCCGTTGTTCTTCCTCCTCCCATTTCTCATCAGCCCGGGCAGGCGTCAAGTTCATGGCTGGAGACAGCGTGGGTGTCTTGCTCGACTGCGATCAGAAGAGACTTTCCTTTATAGTGGAAGGGGTGAGTGTGGACGAGGAGGGGGAGAGGAGAGATGGTAGCGGATGATGGGGATGGTACAGCCAAGGTTGGGATGAGAGGCAGGAGTGGTAGAAAGAATGGTAGAACGAAGAGAAGGAGAAGGAAGAGGTGGGAGAGGAAGAATATGAGGAAGAGGAGGAAGAGAAGGAGGAAGAGGAGGTGGAAGAGGAGGAAGAGGGAGAGGAATATGAGGAAGAGGAGGAAGAGAAGGAGGAAGAGGAGGTGGAAGAGGAGAGGGAGAGGAAGAGGAAGAGGAAGAGATCTGTGCTTTTCTTATATGGCGTGGCAGGTGCCTCAAGGGATCGCCTTTGATGACTTACCCGAGGGCTCGAGCTTCTGGCCAGCTGTAAGAGATGAGAAAGGACGAGGCGAGAGGAGGCAGGGGAGAGTGGATGAGGAGGAGAAAGAAGGGAGTTGGGAGGAGAGAAGGGGAGTAGGATGAGGTGATGGGAGATGTGAAGGAGGAGGAGGAGGAGGAGGAGGAGGAGGTTAAGGAGTGATCTGCAGGTGGGTCTGCATACAGAAGGAGTGATCATATCGATTGAGCACAAGAGCGCGGCAGCTTTCCTGGAGAAGAGGAGGAAGGAGCTGGAGGAGCTGGTGGTGGGGAGGAGAATAAAAAAACAGGTGAGATAATGTTGAAGACAAAGTGGGATGTTCGCAGAAAGTGGTGCAAGTAGAGGCTTTAGGGGAGAGGAGGAGGACGTGCCGGTGTGTGTGTGGGGGGGGAGGGTAAGAGAGGGGAATGAAGACATAGGTGATCTGTTTTAACTGACACTTTCCAAGTTCCCCGACGGCGTTTGGCGGAATGGAAAGGTGAGCAACGAATGGCTGCAATCAAGGGAGAGGGGAAGCAAAGAGAGGAAGGGATTTTGGAAGATCGTGGACAAAGAGAAGGGAATGGGGAGGAAAGGGATGAGTGGAGGGAGGGTAAAGAGGGATCGAGGATGAGGAGGGGGGGGAGGAGAAGGTTGCAGCTAGAATGCGATCAGGGGATTGACACCAGCTTGCAGATCAAGGAAAAGTTGAGTGAAGAGACCTTCATGGTAAAATCACACTGACATCTTTTGATTCCGTTTTCTGTTCCTCTTCTTCGAGCTCTTTCTCTTCGTCGCGATTTTCCTCAGCCTGTCCCTGCCTGTCTTTTGCTCTCCCGCTCTTTCCCCTCCATCAACTCTCCTTCCCCTTCACTCCTCTATCTTACCTGTCGCAGGTTCGCTTTGACGGCGGGCAGGACCTGCAAGTTCGCTGTGGGGTGGAGGACGGGGTGGAACTTCTGGCCGACGAGGCCCAGTGACGTAGGAGCGATGACGAAGCAGGGGAAGGATAACTTGCCAGAAGGGACTGGATAGTGGAGACGACGGAAATAGGTGGAGGAGGGAGCAGGAGGAACAGATGGAGTAGGAAGTGAAGGAGGAGCAGGAGGGGCAATTTTGGGGGGGGGGGGGGGGGGGGCAGGGGGAGCCGGGAGGACTGAACAGCCGCTTCACTCGCATGCGCTATGTACAGTTAATAGTTCCTACAAGGAAAACTAAATAATAAAACCCAGAGACCGACTCGTGAGCCTTAAGATGGGCGGAGAGAGAAGGCAGAGGGAGGAGGAGGAGGAGGGCAGGGGAGGAGACGAGGGGAGGAGGGGAGAGGTTACTGTGCCGCAGCTTCCTGCGCGTCAAGCGCCTGGTGCAGCCAAGTAAGAGAGCCGGAGGAGGCGATCAAAAGTTGAAGGAAGAAACGTGAGGAGGACGAGGAAGAGGGCATACGAAGGAGAGCAAGGGGCAGCGAGCGATGGGGAGAGAAGAGAGGACGAGAGAAAGCAGGGAAGCAGACAAGGGAAGTCGGAGGGGGAGGAGACCTTGAAATATGACTGCTTCTTTCCTCTCCTCCTGATGTCAGTGGTGACGCAGTGGAAAGAGCCTCCGAACTCGAAGACGTTGCGGAAGGGGACGGGGATCGTGTCGAAACCCTGCGAGGAGAGTTAAAGCAGGTGAGGGAAGGAGCAAGGGAGAGCTGGAGCAAGAGACGCAGAAGAAAGGCCGAGGAGAGATGGAGAGGGAAGGGGAACAGAAGAATCAGGAAGAAGAAGAGAGAGGAGGATAGAAGAGGGAGAGGGAGGGGAAGGGAGAGGGAGAAGCTGATGAGATCCTCACGTAGTCGTTGAAGAGGTTCATCATCTCCTTCTCCGTCTCCTCACAAAAGATGACTTTCTCGCTGAGGGACAGGACGTTCATGCACAGCCAAGGGGAGCACTGGGACAGAGCGGGCATCTCCATGGTGTTGGGTTGAGCTGCTGTTATGAGCTTCCAGTCGTTCTCCTGCTCAGCAAAATCACACCTTCCTCCTCGTCCCCGATCCCTCACTTGTACTCTTCATCCCCTCCCCTTCATCCCCCTCCGCCTCTCTTGTTTGCGTGATCTTGTTCCCTGCTGCCCACTTCCTTCACCCCTCTCGGGCCTCCTTCTACCTTCTCCCGTTCAATTCTCTCCTCTCTCTACGTATCCACCCTCTCTCCGAGCGATCTCATCCTCTCATCCTCATTCTCACCTCGAAGATCCTCCTCTCAAACGGCTCCATGGGCCGAGCAGGGTTCTCGAGCGCCAGGTAAGGGCGGAGGGGGACGAACGTTGCATCGCAGTGGAAGGGGCAGAGGTCGTCGGGGAAATGCAGCATGTGCGCGCGCATGCCCCTTGAAGCGCAATGCCTCCTCAGCCACTCAAACCCAAACTCGTTGGTGGTGAATCCCATGTGAACGAAGATGTCCTTTCCGAACCTCATGATGTCCGCTGCGTCAAAGATCGGCTCCTCCTCCGACGTCAGGTATATGTAGTTGCGCACGAGCTCCTTGTTCTTGGCCGAGTAGTCTGTCGGGTAGTCTGAGCGGTAGAGGTTGTCCGCCATGAGCGGCTTTGGGGCGCAGGTCCAGAGCATGCAAGGATCTCTCTTCATGTAGTCCTTGAGAATGCCGCGGTAGCTGCAGGGGAAGCTTCAGAAAGAAGGAGGAAGAGGGACAGAGCGAGGAGGCGAGACGGAGGGGAGAGGGAGAAAGGAGGAAACATCAGCTTACGGGCGATACTCAAAGAAGCGCGACCGCCATGACATGGTAGCTTCGATCACTTCATTTCCTGTCACACAAAAATCAGTTCTCCCCTTTCCTTCTTCGCTGTCCAGTTTCTCCCTTCCTCCCTTGATAATCTGACCCTGTTCTAACGCTCACCAAGTGTTAGGAGAAGGTCGCGAGGGCATGCGGAGGTGTTCATTCGCGGGACCTCCCAGTCAGGCGTCTTAACGGGGACGTTGAAGTCGACGACATCAGGTCGGCGGACAACAACTCCCTCTCCCTGCCCATCACCCTTGTCAGTCTCGAAACATCCACGATTGTTGCAAGAAGAAGAGGAGCTACAAGGGACAAGGCATGTGAGGAGGAGGAGGAGGAGGTGGAGGAGGTGAAGGAGGTGGAGGAGGTGAAGGAGGAGGAGGAGGAGGTGGTGGTGGTGGTGGTGGTGGGCTAAATGACCTCGAGCAGCTCTACGAAGTAGTTCAACTGATCGTTTGCCATCTTGATCGACTGTTCTGTCCTGTATCCTACCGAGCTGCATGTCAGGTCTAGATTAGTCACAGACCCCCCTCCTGCTACCTGTGCCCTCAAGCATGTGGATCTTCCCAGAGTCCTTCACTTTCATCTGCGCAACTCACTTCAGCAAGGACCAGCCGGATGTTGTTTCTCGCTGCACCTCAAACGCCGGCTCTTTGGGAGGGATCACAGCCTTGTCTGCGATCCCAACGATGATCTCTTCCAAGGTGTCCCACTCATTCCATGAGTTGACCAGACCCTTCTGCGAGCACTGGTGAGACATGGAGAAATTCGGAGGTGCAGGACACAACAAGAAAACGAGGTGAAGGGAGAGACGGTAAGAGAACATAACGCAGATCAAGGATTCAAGCATAGCACGGCATAGGCGCTATTCACCTCATTTCCGAGGGACTTTCGAAAAGCAGAGACAGGAGCTGTCGTCTTGGTCTTCTTTGGTGCGTGTGGGTGATCGTTCTCGCTCATGATGCCAGCCTGCACGAAGAGGGTTAGCAAAGGATCACTTCATTTCGATGGAACGTTGCGAATATTGTGAGCATTGTGAGTTTCATGCTACATTCACACCGAATTGCGAGCTGCTAAAAAGTTTCTAGCAAGATAATGGGTGATCCTGTTTACGGGGCGAAATATTCATTACGCAACAATGATGATGACAACAACGGAACGGGATTGTGCCACTGGCTCCACAAAATCAAATCAAAATCTTGGGGGAGAACTGTTTCTACATATGAAAAGAGTGCATGTCGCAATGACAGTCCGTACGAATCTCCTACAAACAAATAGTGATCCAAGGCACATGCAAGCAAATGAAACAGTCAAAACATCCTGAATAGGTTGCATTGACACATTCCGGTCACATCCGAGCATTGGGAGATGTGATGAAAAGGCAGGAATCCAGTGGATGAGGACTGGGGGGTCCCGGGGAACGCGCAAGGAAGCTGCGATGGGATTCGAGGCGCAGCTCACGCATTTTCATCAGTGTCAGCGCAGCGTGAGTGGTAGTTGGTACCACCATGGGGGTTGTCATGCATGGGGTAGGTCTATTCTATCCCGGGGGTAGGTAGGTTGACGGTATAGTACGGGTACTCCATTGTATAATGTGAACTTGACTTTGGGAAGAGCGTCGGGTCATCGACTCACCCACCTCGGTGATACCGGATACCTGACCAGACCTTGGGTCCCTTCTACCAGGTAGGGGTGGTGTATACTACCAGGGGATGTTAAAAATACGATTCGGGACCAGATCACACATAGTGGGTAGGGGTGATATTTTCGATGAGGTGGGGTCATTTTCGAAGGTGGGTGGTTAGTGCATCCTAGTCCACTCTAAGGAAAGGAAGTACCCTACCCTATCTCAGGCCTCGCCTCCGATAGGGTCAATTTTAGTACCCACCCCGTGACAAAGACGCACATTTCCACCGGTCAATGCTACCGTGTACCCACCCCCAAAATTATTCAATCCCGGGTCAACACCACATTCAGGAGGTACATGGAATAGTAAATGAGGGGGTAGTGTAAAACCTCCTACCATCATTATTGGACCCCGATGGGTACCACCCCACATGTTAACAACCATAATAATCTTCCACCCCCCAAATTTTTCACCCACCCACCTCTGCTCTACTTCCCCCACATCGTTGCTCATATTTTTTGGGGGGAGGATCCCCGGACGAGCACCCCTCAAGCACCACCCCCTGCAAATTAGATGACCCGGTTTTTCTCCATCTTAATACCCACCTTTCTCTCTCGGCCGTTGATCAATGATACCACCCCACCTATCTTTCAAGATCTGTATATCTTGAGCCCTCGGCCCATCACAACTACCCACCCCTTCTGGCAAGATTCTTCTACACTACCCCTATCTCCCCATGTACCCCCAAAAATCAGAACCCCCTTGTGATCCGAGTTTTCATCCCGTCATTGGCCGACTTACCAGCTAAACATCTACCCTACCCAAGTACCCTACCCTATTTCAACCGGAGGTGATGACTTAAACAGGTGTGGGGGAATCCTGGACCCACCCATGAACTGCAAAATTGTTCATTCGAGGTACCCACCTTGAGCAAAGTATGTCAATCATCACCCTACCCATGAATGTACCATCAAAGTCCTCTCTTTTCCCTACACCCCTACCCTCGCTCCCTATTCTCAGCCTCCCTTCCCTGCCTCCCTCTGCCTCCCTTTCCTCCCCTCCCCTCCCCTCCCCTCCCCCTCAGATTTCGACCTTCACGCTTTCCCCCAGTCTCTACATCCTTCGCCCTGGTCCTCTTTCCCCATGTTTCATTCACCACCCCTCCCACAAAACCATCCACCCTTCTCTCTACATCCTTCCCAAGGACCCCTCCCTCATATTGATTGTTATCCACCCACCCTTGAGAAGCATGACCTGTCGGTCAACTTACCGAGACATAGAGAACCACCCTACCCTATCTGACCCCCCTTCGAACGCCGCCACTGTCAACAAGTCCCTCAGGGGTGGTCCGGTAAAAGTCATTGTTGATCTGTATATGGTTTTTGTACCTGATCCAAGTCTGGTACCCAAATATCTACATCTTCCCAATCAAAACAGTACCACGGCTGATTATCCTCGTACTAAATCTTTACCTAACTTTGAGTAAACACTGCAGCGGCAAAGGATCGGGCCCGGTGGGCCGGGTGCAGTAGCTCCGACAAAACTGCAAATACTGAAAAACTGCTGGTCCATGAGGTATATGACGAGTTCGAGTGGTCGCAAAGGCCGATCCATGGATGGCGGGCCGGGTGTTGATGGTGGCGCTGGTAGCGCTGACGGCAGGGCAGGGACAAGAGACATGGCTGCATCATGACAGAGCGGATCATCCTGCTCCTCCCTTCTGCCAGCCTCTCCTTCACGCTGAGTGTTCTCTCCGCTCGGAAGAGGCTCCAGCCCTGCCGTGCCTGCGGGTGGTGGGAGGTAGAGGGAAGTTGAAGCAAATGTCGAAGGGGGCAAAAGTGAGGAGGCAGAAGAAGAAGAAACAAACTCGGAAACAAAAGAGAGAGGATGAAAGAAAGAAGAGAAAGGAGGAGTTTTCTATGGAGCCAGTGAGGATCGGCGGAGGGCTCGTTCATCCAACGCGCCTTGGAGGAGTTACGAAGGAAGACGTGAAGGAGACCCTGCAGCAGAAGAAACAGCCTCTCAGCAGGATCAAATCGAGGCTAAAGTTGAAGCAGCCGACCAAGAAAGCCATGGCGGGGGAGATAGGGCACTATCCGCGGAAAGCAAATTTCATGCCGAAGCGTGACAGGAGGAAACTGAGAAAGTTGCAAGCCTTGCAAGCACTCAAGCAAAGGAAGGACTCCATCGCGGGGCAGAAAAGGCAAGCAAGTCAGGTTGCCGGGAGGAATGAGGAGGAGGAGGAGGAGGAGGAGTCTTCAGAGTCAAAGGCAGACGGGTCTGAGCAGGCTGTGGCATCGGACGAGAGTTTGTATGAGGGGGACTTTGAAACTCTTGAGGAGGAGAAAAAGCACAGGGAGATGCTTGCTCGCAGATCGCTTCTTTCCGTGCAAGGCAAGGAGGACAGGCTGCAGAGCTTTGTGTCTCAGCAATCAGGTTACCCGCACGGCAAGAAAGGCTTGCATAGGAACCTTACGCCCGAGAACTTGGCTGAAGCTGGTTTCCGGTACCTGCCAGACTGCGCGGGATCTGATCAGACAGTTTTTGAGCAGACGGGAGAGCTGTTCAAGGACTGGCAGAAAGATGATGTGCCGATGCAGATCAGCGTTGGTTTGCTCGAGAACATGTACTGGTCAAAACGATTCTCTTCAACCTCGAGCGAGGTAGCGAGACAGATCGAGTTTACGTACAGAGTGCTGGGGAACACAGAGGAGGCAGAGAGATGGCATCGAATCTCACTAGAGGAGGCTCAAGCGAAGCAGGAAGAAGCTGGAGCAGAAGCTCTTTCAAGACCGGAGAGAGCCCTCGCAATCGCCGATGACGTCATCCGTGACGCCTTAGCCGAGGATGAGATGGACAAGGTCTTGAAGGAGAACGCTTTGACTTGGAAGCAGCGCGCACAGCAGCTCACGCAGCTTCCGAAACGGGGAAAGTTTGAGTGGGAGAAGTACATGGAGGGGGATGCTTCCAACGCCATCCCGATGGTCACAAACGAGCATACGGAGGGAAGGGAGAGGAAAGCGAGGCCGATCGACCCCCAGGAGTCGATGATGCTCAAGGTAATGAAGGAGGACATTTCTCTATCTGTGAATTTCCGCGAGGAGACGGTGCTGCTCAACAACCTCTCCTTCCCCCTGCCTACCTCTGCCCCGTGCAAGTTCGACGACTTGGAGGTGGAGGGAGATAGGTTAAATGGTGTGAACTTCTCTCAATCGGGCATGCGAGTTGTCAGGGTCGATGTCTCTGCACACCCCATCGTCCGCTGGGCCACTAATCTCCTCACGGGAGCCGATAAGCGCAAGAGGAGCAGCTGGAGCCTGCGGGTGGTGAAGAACAAGGGAAGGATCGTTGTGGGCTTTCTTGGGAGCAGCCTGCAGTCCTCCTACAACCTTGAGCTGAACTCTGCCGTGAACGGATTCCTGCTCGACAGCAACGGGAAGGCGGTGCGAACGTCAGAGGACATCTTGCGCCCTGACAGGCTGGGAGAGAGGCAGATGAATGTGCTCGAGCTTGCAAAGCTCCATCGCAAACTGGTCACAGGAGAGTGCAGGAGGAACGCGACCGTGATCTCCGTGCGAGAGCCTCCTTCCTCCTCCCCTGATGCCAAGTCGCATCTGGACCTCTCTTTCGGCCAGGACTCCATCATCGTCCTTACCATCGACCGCCGGAGGCAGCGAGCAAGGATCGACGTTTACAAGTCCCAGCTGCTGGACCATGTGGGAGGGTTGGGACGTGTGTCCACGGGACGACTCGAGTCGGTCGTCTCCTTCAGGATCCAGGGGGTAGCCAACGACTCTGTGCCGTTCGTGGTCTTGGAGGAGTACGGGGATACTGTTGACCTGATGACGAGGAGGACCTTCAAGAAGGAGCTTATGCGCATGATCGACCCCTTCTACGTGGGCGGGAGGAAGAGGAGGAAGAGGAGGAGGCTTCCTCCGGTGGACCGAGAGGACCTGTACGTGGAGCGGGTGAAGGATGCGATAAAGGAAGAGCGGGCTAGAGGTAAGGCTGCAGGCTTGCTCAAACTCTCGCTGATGTTCTGCTCCGCAGAGAAAGAAAGGATCAGGCAGATCTTGAGGGAGGACGAGAGCAACGAGCCGGGCGACTATCAGTCAGCGTCCTCGGACTGATACGACCGGTGGGCTGCAGTCCGAACAATCTCAGTCACAATCCCCAGCTGGTAGGCTCGGAGGTGCCTCCTAACAAGACCCAGTGTTCCTGGCTGTTTGACATGGAGTTGCCTTTCACGGCTCAAGGCCTCAGTTCGATTTTATTCCAACCAGCCTTGAGGGGAACCATGAAAGGTGTCAAGTGAAGACTGGTTGCTGCCAGCTCAGACCCATCGCTGGTTCGAGTTGTAATGGAACGACTTCTTGCGAATCACGTTCTGACAAAGGAACGTCAGGTCTTGCTCCGTCTCCCCACACACAGTCATACATCTTTGCCTTCCTTTTCCCTTCCTTCCCTCCTCCCTTACTCTCAACCTCCCCCCATCGTCCTCTTGTATCTCTGCAGACCTGCCTCTCTCCCCATCTCTCCCCTTCGCGTGTCAAGCTCTCCTCTCACCGGGTTGTAGTACGCGGGGCCCGGTGCCACGGTCCTCGCCTTGATGTCCACCTCTCTCTCTGTGCTAGAGACAAACGCCTGTAGCAGCTGAGTGAGCGAGGAGGAGGAGGAGGAGGAGGATGAGGAGGCGGTGGTGGTGGTGGTGGTGGTGCCTGAGGAGGAGGCGGTTGATGTGGAGGAGGTAGAGAGACAAGGGCGGAGAGACAGAAGGAAGACTAGGGAAGAGAATAGGAAGGAAGAAGGAAGAGGAGGGAAGAGGAGGAGGGAAGATAGGAGGGAGAAGGCACAATGGATGAGGAGACGGAGGAGACGGAGAGGAGGGGGAGGAGGAGGAGTAGTCTTACCGACATCGTCGCCTCCACTTTTTGTGATTGATCCTTGAGCACCTGCCGGGAAAGTGAGGAGAGGAAGCGAGAAGAGCAGCAGGGAAGACAAGAGGCAAGAAACGAGGAAGCAAGGCAAGGTAGAAACAATAGAAGAAAGCTCGAAAAGAAGGCATACGGAGCTGAGGACAAGGAAAGAAGGGAAACCGGGAAGGAAGAAGAGGAGGGCTGGTAAGAGGAGGACGGCAGGTGGATCGTGAAAGGAAAGAGGCGGGGAGAAGGTGGGGAGGATGGGATATACCTCGTAAGCACCCGGACCAGGTGTTGCTTTGTATTTCTCTGCTGGTTGAGCGAACCTGTGGGAGGAGGATTAAGAGGTGGAGGGAGAGAGAGGAGAGGGAGTGGAGGAGAGGAGGGAAAGAGGAGGAGTGAGCAGATAGAAAAAACAGATGAAAAAGGGGAGCAGGTAGGAAGAGAATATGGCAAAATGGAAGCAGGATCACGACGAAGAAACGATTGCATTGGAGTAGGCTGAAGAGTTGGAGAATGAGTTACCGGTCTTGTTTCGATGGGACAAATGTCGCCGAATGTCGGAGCTAGCGCATGAAACTTGTTACTGCCTTCCTCTTCCCTCCTCTCCTCCAGTAACCATCACCTCTCTCCCCCCTCCTCCGAGCATCACCTTCTGCAACGAGTATTCTTCGGCGGCCCGAGGGTTGTAGTATCCTGGTCCTGGCTGTTTTGCAGAAGCTGTCACGGGGATAACAAAAGATAAGGGAAGAAAGATAGAGACATCATGAAGCTGCGCAGCATGATAAGGGGGAGGGGAGAAGGAGACGCAGGGACGGTCGCGAAGGCTCAAGGCGAGCAGAAGAGAGAGAAAGAGAGCAAACGATATGAGGGAGGCGAAGAATGAGATGAGAATGTAGATAACGAGGAAAACGATAGATGGGAGAGGAAGAGGAGGAGGAGGAGGAGGAGGAGGAAGAGGAGGAGGAGGAGGAGGAGGAGGAAGAGGAGGAGGAGGAGGAGGAGGAGGAGGAAGAGGAGGAGGAGGAGGAGGATCACCATCATCTCCGGTTTCAGTTGGTTGGGCTTGATATCCACATGAATGCCGAGCGATGGCCCGAGGGAAGGATGCGGTTTGAGAGCGTCAAGAGGATTGTCCTGAGATGAAGTGAGAGGAGGGAGAGAGACGGTAAGGAAGTAAGGGAAGGGGGGAGAGGCTGGAAAGACGTGCGAGGAAGAAACAGATGAGGAGGAAGAAGAGCAGATTGCAGGGATGGATAGAGGAAGAGATGGGATGGAAGAAAGTGAGTCTGCGAAGCAGCAAATGGAGTTGGCGAAAGAGGAGGATAAACGAGGAGGAGGGAGCAGGAACGGACCCTGCTTGCCCGCATGTAGTCGAATTTCCTTCCAGTGCGACTTCGAAAGGCAGCACTAGGAACCTGAAGGCACGTGATGAGTAGAATGTGAGATTACGCAGGATGAGGAGCGAGATAGGAGGGAAGAGGATCGACAAAGAGGAGAAGGATAAAGAGATTGAAGAGGATATGGAGGGGGAAGGTGGGGGGTGCAAAGCAAAGAAGTAATGACGATGGCCGTACGAGGATGAAGAAGAGGAAAATCCCACATTCCCTCCCTCTCTCTCTCTCCCTCTCCCTCTCCCTCTCCCTCCCCCTCTCCTCACCTTCTTGTTCAGCTCGTTGAAGGCTCCAGTGATCCTTGCGATACTTTCGTAGTCATACTCTACCGCCACGCGTCAAGACAATCTGGTAGGACGTTCAACTCACCTCCTGCTCCTTCCCCTGTCCCGTACGCCTGCAGACAAACATCGTGAGGCTTTCACGCTCTCCTCACCCTTCCCCTCCTCCGTGTTGCCTTCGCCTCCCCACCTTCCTCTTACTTCCCTTTTCTCTTACTTCGCACTGCTCGCCTCCTCCCTCACCTTCTTGAGCTCGTGGAATCTCTCTGTGCCCGAACTAAAGGGAACTTTCTTCCCAGCATACCGCGGGCTTGTGAGATCGACGCTGGCCTGAGAGAGAAAATTTAGACCATCAGGTGCACCAGACGAAGGTCAAGGACAGCGCGAAAAATGAAGGAAGAGGAAGGCGAGGATGGCGAGGAGGAGGAGGAGGAGGAGAAAGAGGAGGAGGAGGAGGAGGAGGAGGAGGAGGAGGAGGAGAAAGAAGAGGAGGAGGTGGTGGAGGAGGGAGGACGAGGACGAGGACGAGGACGAGGACGAGGACGAGGACGAGGACGAGAACGAGGACGAGGACGAGGACGAGGACGAGGACGAGGACGAGGAAAGGAGCAATGCTTGAGCGGATTGAGGGCATGAATGAGCGGAGGGAATTGTCTTCCAGCCCTCCCCAACTCACCTCGTACTGCCCTGGGCCGGGCCCGGTCGTGTTGTTGGACCTGCAAGGAGTAAGAGAAGTGAGAGGAGGGGGAATAATTACCTTCTGCCCTTCACGTAGTCGGGGGACACGATGGGCTGGCAGAAAGCGCGGGAGGCGCCAAAATTGAAGTCCTTCCGTGAATGGACGGCCTGTTGTCGTTTAATCAACGATAGGACGGACGAAGAGAGAGAAAGAAGAAGAGGACGGAGGGAGAGATGAGCGGTCTTCAGTGTGTTCATGGAGGGGAGAAGAGGAAGAGGAGGTGGCAAGGATCCAGAACTGGGAAGCGCATGAGGAGCAGGAGGGAGTGATGCGGAGGCTCGGAAGGAGGAGAGGACAAAAAAGAATCATCTGCGTCCTCGTTTCTCACCAGAAACCCTCGAACGGGGTCATAAGACCCTGGACATGGCGCCGTGGCGCGGCGAGGACGCGAGAATCGTTGCGACTTGCTCACCATGCCTGTCACAAGCTGAATATCACCCTCGCGTCTACCTTCCCCTTCCATCATTTCACCCTGCACCATCCTTCCTCCCCCCACCCTCCTCCTCCTCTCCCAAGCATGATTATCGTCGTAATCATCATTCCCTCACCTGTGTAGCCCTTCACCGACTGAGAGGGATTCGTCTGATTGGTCTGCAGAGACGCGCAATGGTGTCATCAAAACCCTTCGGAGATCATTCCTCCAGATGAACCGAACCTGCACCCCCAACTTCTACTCCCCTCGTCGTCCTCCTCCCTCTCATTGTATCTATCCTCTCCCCCCCTCCTC